CCCTCCCTCCCTTCCTTCCTTCCTTCCTTCCTTCCTTTTGTGTGCATCCATGCCTGCCTGTCCGCCTGCATCCGGTGTGAGCATGTGTGTACCCCAGCACACATGTGCAGGTAAGAGGCTGCCATGCAGGAGTCTGTTCTCTCCTTCCGTCATCTGCGGTCTAGAAACTGAAGTGAGGTCATCAGGATTGTTGGCAGGCACCTTTACCTAAACGTGGAGCCATCCTGCCATCCCTGGTTCTTTTTACTAGTCCAGAGTGCAAGACAGCAGTTCCTTCGAACGCCTCCTCATTTCCGAGGAGTTTTAGCTCCCCCCGAACTCTTCCTAGTCTTTTATCCAATGAAGAGTTGGCTTTTCCATTTTATTTACCCTAGAAGATTACAACTTAGCCCTCCTATCTGCCTCACCAGGTCTGTGTATACCTGACTTTGACTGTCTGCTCATTTCTAACGTGTCCTTTGGATTATTATGCCTGTGTGGCTCTAGTGGGAAGAGGCTGTGTCCTGGCCACATTTCTGTTCTAGAGCTACTCCCTTTTATCTTGATTCTTTGTGGCTGACCTTTGCTTGATACTCCTGGTGTTTGGCAGAGTGTTTCCCTCCCATTAACATGGTCAGCTATTAAGTGATGATTATCATTGTGATTCTTCTTGGGCGCTGGGCTGCCATGCCAGCCTGACCGCTCTGACCCCTTCTCCCCCATGTTCTATGTTCCATGTCATTGCTGGAGGACTCAGTTGTTCAGGGAGGGAAGCCCAAGGGTCAGGGTTCGCTGCCTATTCCTTCTGCCAATCTCCAAGGCTTTCGTACTTTAAATCTTCCTATACCATAGGGTAACACTATGTGCCATTTGCGTAAGCCCAAGACCCAAATGCTCTTTCTTTCTCCGTTCTTGCCCATTGCTAGTGAAGCCATGAGCAACTCAAGTTGCTTCTAAATCTGTCTTCAGTCTTCTCATCACTTCCGTTTTCAACACGCCCACCGTTTTCCTCCCTGTTTCCACTGTTCTCACCTCCCATGTCGGTTCTTCTACCACAGCCAGAATGCATTTTTTTTAAGCACAAGACTGTTGTGGAATATTATTTTAAGATGTGTTACATTTGTTTATGCTGTGGAGTATTTTTTTAATGGTGCAAAGATGTGTTGCATTCTTTCATGTTACATTTGTTTAACTCTGTGAAGCTGTGTTACTCTGCCTATCTAAAACACTTGATTGGCGTAATAAAGAGCTGACCGGCCACTAGCTAGGCAGGAGAAAAGATAGGCGGGGCTGGCAGGAAGAGAGAATAAGTAGAAGGAGAAATCTATAAAAAAAAAAAAAAGATCGGGGAGAGAAAGGAGGAGGAGGAAGCAAAGGGTCAGCCACCCATCTACACAGACAGCCAAGGAGTAAGAAGTAATGAAAGGTATACAGAAATAGAGAAAGATAAAATTCCATAGACAAAGGATAAGTTAAGAAAAGCTGGCAAGAAACAAGCCTAGCTAAGGCCGGGCAGTTGTAATTATGAATAAGCCTCCATGTGATTGATTTGGGAGCAGGGCAGTGGACCCTCAAAGAGCAAAGAGCCGAAAGAGAAAACCACACAGCAACTACGCAAGACGTGATGTGTTTAAGCACCCTCTTCCCCTCCAATGCTTACTATTCTACTTAGGCTGCATCTCAGATTCCACACAGTACGTGACAGTTTGGCCTGGGGTGACATGCGGTAATGTCGCCAAGGATCCTGTGAGAAGCTCTCAGTCTGGGCTTGATTAGAAAAGATTCTTTGGGGAGGCAGCCCAGGCCTCCGTACTTTATAAATTTTCCTGGCAGGTCTAAGGGGTGTCCAGAAAGGAGACACACTCCTCTCTCGCCCTCATGGGGCCTCCTTCCCATCTCCTTCTCTCGCCTTGAAGTTTTCCTGGCTTTGGACAGAATTCTTGCCTATACCCTTCTCCCAGAATTTGCTCCTGCCTGGAAGTTTCTTTCCTAGTCGTTTTCCTGTCTAGCTCCTTTTATTTTCTCAGACAGATCTGCCTTTGATCATCTTATCTAATCTAACCCCTACATCACCAGGCACTGCACGTTGCCCTCTCTGAGCTCGGATATTAGTTCTCTGTTCTTAGCTCATTCATGTAACCTACGTGAGAACCAACACATGCTCTCCACAGCTCAGCTTAGTATCTGTTAAACTACCACAGGGGGAGGAGAATGAGGTAGGGTAGGGGTGGAGAGCTGGTAGGTGGAAGACAGAAAATGCAGTCACTCAAGGGAGCGGCCCCTGGATAGGTGAATGAAGCAGGCAGATGGTAGAATCTTTTTTTTTTAATTTTTTATTGATTTTTATTGAGCTCTACATTTTTCTCTGCTCCCCTCCCTGCCTCTCCCCTCCCCTTCAACCCTCCTCCCAGATGGTAGATTCTTGACTGGTGATGATTATATCGAGGTAGATAAAGAGAGTGAATTTGCCTATTGCATTAGAAAACTTTGATAGTTTCAAATGAAAAGAGATAATTTTATCCTGGATTGGGGACAGTCCCCAAGAAGCTGAAAATGACTTCTTACCCCAGAAGTGCAGCCCATCTTGCGCAGGTGGCTGGAACTTATTTTTGGAGACTCCTTTCACTAAAATGGAGCTAAGCCTCACCCTCTGGCCTGCCTGGTCCCCCACCTTTCCTCCTGTTGTTATTCCATGATAACTTTGGAGCATCCCTTCAGTTCCGTACTCCCTGTTTTCTGCTGACTGCCGACCTCTTCCTGACACGCTGCCCACTGCCTCTTTGCATCACCATGTGTCCCGAAGCCTGACGGGAAACTGTTGAGTTATGAGCGTTGCACACCAAATATTGAGATTAATGGGGAAACTGTGTTCTTGTTTGTATTGCAACCCAGCTGTATGGTCTAGGAATAGCAAACACCTGTGAGCAGAGCCGTGGGAATTATTCGCAATCATTAGTGGTTGCCTTCTTAATAGTTCTGAAGGTAAGAATGCAACCCAGCTCCCAGATGTCCGTCAGGTGTTCACAGTACTCACTGCCAAGGAAAACGACTGTTCACTTTGACAAGTCCAGAATGATAATCTCATGGTTTTTCCTAGCAGTTATGTACACACCATGATCCTAGAGGTAAACAAGAAGGGTTGTGTGGAAATACCCCCCCCCTTCCAAGAGGACATGTTTGGGAAACATAACTTTGTGACGAATGGCTGTGTCAAGCACCATTTACAGGCATGCAGATGCCTTCTTCTGGATAAGAGGGTCCACGTCTATATTGTGATGTCTTAGTTTTGTATGACTTGAAAAGTGACAACTGCCTCAATTACTCTTACATGACGTCCAACTCTCCCCTTGATCCCTCCCGGGTGATGCTGAAGCCAGCCACTCATGCAAAACTGTTCTCAGCAGAAGCATGGAGGGGCATAGACTGTTGAGTCGCTGGAGGAATGTTCCATGTATTCTGGCCTCACCTCATTGCCCGCACATGGGCTTCCTGAGTTGAGGCTGGTGTTTCTTTGGGGAGATCTTTTTCTCAACCATGTAGCGGACTATAATTCCATAGGCAAGTCCTACTCCCATGCCCTCTACAACACATAGTAAATCCTTGAAATTTTTTAGTTTCACTGAAAATTTCAAATTTGTGAAGATGTTATTCAATCTGTAACCAAAGAGGTAAAGTCAATTTTCTACTTGTAACTCATAAAAACACAGATTATGAGACTATTTTCTGGTTGATATCTTGTGTTTGTTTGTTTTTATTCCTTTTTCAGACAGTACATCCTGACCGCACCCTCTTTTTCCTTCAACCCCTCCCACCCACTGCTCCTCCACTTCCCTTCAGAAAAGAGCAGGCCTTCCAGGGATGTCATCCGAACACAGCATAACAAGATGCAGTGAAACTAGGCACACACCCTCACGTCAGGGCTGGGCGAGGCAACCCAGCAGGAGAAAAGGGTGCTGAGAGCAGGCAAAAGAGCCAGAGACACAACCACTCCCCCTGTTAGGAGTCCCATAAAAACCCCAAGCTGAATACCACAGCATGTATGCAGAGGACCTAGCTCAGACCCATATAGGCTCCATGATGGTTACTTAAGTCTCTGGGCCCGTGAGCCCTGCTTAGTTGATTCTGTGAGCCGTGTTCTCCTGGTGTCCTCAGCCTCTCTGGCTCCTACAATCCTTCCTCCCCTCCTTCCACAGTCTTCCGCAGGGTTCTTCTGAGACAGACAGTTGTAGAGGCCTACTGGCAGGTACATGCAGTTCTAACTACAGACAGCATCTATGTACACATAATACCATTCACAGTGGGGTTTCCTGAGGCAAGATGAGGGGTGAGCACCTGGATGCCTTTGATGGGTGTGACTATAAGAAAAACCAATTGTTCAGTCATTTTTAATATAAAATACTTGTTTATGGGCACCTAAAGTTGTGTATTTCTTGATACACGGGAAAATGTCTGTATGTAAATACCTTAATGGAATTTTGCAAAGGAATTAAAGCCTGGCATGGTATATGGCATATTCTTGTCATCTCGGCACCTGGGAAGCTCAGGCCAGGTCCTCCAGAGTCATCTCTTTAGCCCCCTCTGTGCGAATTATAAGTCTTGTGGTTAGAGAATATGGCTATAAGATAAAACTTTACTGTGTAAGCAGCGGAGTGGTTCACAGTCCAAGGCAGTGGGTCTCAACCTTCCTAACACTGACACATTTTAATACAGTTCCTCATGCTGCGGGGACTCCCAACCATAAGGTTATTTCCGTTGCTACTTCACAACTGTACTTGTGCCTCTGTTATGAATCATAATGTTAATATCTGTGCTTTCTTAAGCAACCCCTGTGAAAGGGTCCTTTGACCCCCAAAGGGGTCGTAACCCACAGGTTGAGAGCTGCTGGTCTGTGGCTTCATAGGAACTGACCTTTTGGGTTCCACCTCAGGATTGCTGTTAGAACATGTGAACATTTATTGCTGACGTCCTTTCGTTCTCCCGGAAAACATAACCTGCTTTGTCTTCTCCCCTCCCCTCCCCAGGCTGGTTCAGAGGATACGCTCTCCAGAACAAATCCAAAAAGGTATGGCACTGGGTTTTGTTTCTTAGCTCCTTTGTCCGTCCACCAGTTCTCTGCCGTGCTGTGCGATCCCTTTATCTGCTATCTCTATTTCCTTTGGTCTGGAGACAAAGACTTTGGCCCCGGTGCTTAGGAGGAAAAGCATAAGTTCCATGGATGTGTTTCCCGGGAGCGGATTCAAGGCCCCAGACTTCCTGCTGTCTACCCTTGAAGTCCAATAAAGCAACAGGACAGTGATAATGCCCTGGGAACCTCTGCCAGGGAGGAAGGGGCAGGACCCACTTCTCCGCGCATCCTTTACATACCCTGCCAGAACTGACACTGCCTGTCACCAGATCACTCTGTCAAACCAGAGTAGTGGTTTCAGTCTGTGAGGCCCATGGATTACCATGGAGTCCTTTTAGTAAAGTGTAACCAACACGGCAGTGTAGTGGGATATTATTCGTATTTTGGTAAATAAATCTTGCCTGAAGACCAGAGGCAAAGCTAAAGCCACTAGAGGTTAGGTAATGGTGACATACACCTTTAATCCCAGGATTTGGGAGGCAGAGGCAGGTGTAGCTCTTTGAGTCCAAGGCCACCTTGGGCTGAGTAAGATCAATGCATAAAAAAAAAAATCAAGGTGGTGGTGGCTCACACCTTTAATCCCAGTCTTAAGGAGTCACACGACTTTAATCCCAGCACTAGAGGGAATATAAAATGGGAGGAGAGAGAGGTTTAGTCGGCTTAGTTTACAGTCGCCCAGCCTTGGTAGTAGAGGTAAGACTACTCTAGTACCTTGGCCGGTTTGCTTTTCTGACCTTCAGGTTAAACTCCAATTTCTGTCTCTGAGTTTTTAATAATTGTGCTGCATGGGAGCCCAAACGAGGCTGAACGAAAGAGACACTTATGACACATTCAACTCAGGTATTAATGTTTCTGTGGTTCGTGCTTTTTATTGTATTTTTGTTTAGTGCGGGACTGTGCATGTATTTCTCATGATTCAGGCGGAGTTTGAGAAACTCTGGCCTAGATGACTTGCTTCCCCGGTTGTCAGGGCAGCTCAGCATCAAACTGAAGAAAGGCCAGTAGCTATGTTAACACGCTCATGGATTCGCTTTAGACCCCATCAGCACTTTTCCTTTGATGTTGCTTGCTGGGGCAGGGTAACGCGCCAGCATTTTCTTTTGCAAGAACAGAGTTGATAGGGCTTTATTATTTCACAGTTAGCTCATGGGCCAATAGCAGAGGGTGAAAAAAAAAATGAATTCATCAGGGCAGAAAGGGTAGAAAAATTCTTATTCTTTGACCACACTACAGGCCAGATGTGGTCCCATGCAGGCTGGTTTGTGAAACCCTCAAATTTCAGAAGCCGCCTGCCTGCTAGGTAGAAGTCACAGAAACCCAAAGGCGAGCGTGGCTGAGTTGATGACTCTTCAGTCTTCGTGTTTGCACGCTTGTGTACACACACACACACACGCACACGCACGCACACACACACGTGTGCGCGCACACACACACACACTTTATTCACTTTGATGTTTTCATAATCGAACAGAGAAAGGAACATTTGCCGTCCCCGCGGGTGGCAAGTCCCCCCGATATGAGTCCACTTGTCCCTGCCATGCCCACAGTCAGCGTCCTGTGTCACATACTGTTTCCAGCTGAGCTGTTTCCGCTTCTCTGGCTGACTTCAGCATCCCCAGTGTCCCAGCAGAGACCAGCGTGGTAGCCAGACGTGCTGGTATGATGAGGGTCATGATCAAACTAGATTGAAGGCCGTTGGGAAGCTGCTGCCTGGCACACACCCTCCTGCTGTGTGTGGCTTTGGCCCTGTTAGCCGCCACGTTTACTCACAGCTGTGGAAGGTGAGTTTTCAGAAAGCAGTTACGAGTTCGCACTTGGCTGGCAAGATGGCCCAGCCAGACCCAGTAATCTGAGTTCCCTCCTGGAGTCTCACAGTAGGAGGAGAGAGAGCCAACTCCTGAAAGTTGCCCTCTGACCTCCACCCGAGTCCCGTGGCCACTCCCAGACCTGCACAAGTTAACAACTTTTTGCCTCAATTTTATGAAAGACAAGGAACACCCGGGTTAGTTAATGCTCGGTCCTTTCCTTTTCCTTTTTGTTATTTTAATATGCAAAAAGGTGTACAGAAACTTCTCAGACAAATTGTACGAACTATCAAGAACAGCCGGGCCTGGCCATGCCCTCCTGTTGTCCCAGCTCCTTGGGAGACTGGGGCAAGCCTGAATGTCTTACTGGTGTCCTGTGTCCAAATGACGTGACTGGCAGACACCCGCCAAGCGTGCACGAGGCCCTGGTTTGATCTCAGCCCAACCACTACAATCACAATGCAACCAAACCTAGTACGTACTATTAAAACAAGGTTTCAGACCTTTACCCTACATAGGGATTTGTTCCAGCATAGAAGACCTTGGTTTCTAAGGTATTCTGTGCTTTCCTGATATGTCTGCATCCATTGGTGTCCTCTGGTCTGACTCAAATACGAGATGGTCCAGGTAACAGCTGAGGTTTTTGTTGTTCTTGTTCTTAATTAAAGGGTTCTTTAAAACCCGGAATCTTAAAAAGCTTCACCTTTTGGAGAAAGCTATTTCAGTTAGAGCTCCTCTGCCCTTTGAAAAAGAAAAACATGAACAGAATTTGGCACAGTGACTGGGCATGCATTTATTTATTTCTTTTTTAACTAAACTGAAATTTCCTTCTTTGTGGAGATCCAAGAAACAAAGGTGGAATTAAAGGCCTCAGTCTTGAATTTTGCTGAGTGTGACACCCCTTCATCAGGAGATGCAGGCTGATAGAAATCCCCTCCCATGCTGGTCCCTTTTCCTGTCTCAGGGGAAGAGCTATTTGAAAGGACAATTCTTGTCATGGCAATTATTGGTGTCATTCATAAGCCAAACTAGCCATTTGGAATGATGGCAAAAGTAAGCTCGGCTTTGCAGAATGAGGAAGACTCAAAGCTCAAGACTTGAAGAGACTGGTCATTAATCTTGGCAGGATGGTGGGTGTGCGGACGGGATAACAGAGAAAATCACTAGCTGGAATGTATTCAAGTGAGTAGGTTACATTGAGAAAAGAAAGGCAGAACTGAGAGACACCAGAAATTCAAGACCCAGGTTGGCTCTGGCCTTTCCAGAGAAACCGGATGACTGTAAACTGGATGGCCAAGTGCTACCATGACGCAGAGCCGCTGCAAGACAGCAGAGCGGCGGGATCACAAAAGGAATGGACTCTGGAGAGCCACGCTTTTATGCCTCCTGCACACCTGTGTAAATCATCTGCCACGGTCGCCATCGGTGTCTCAGACTCATCATTTGTTTATAGTTCTGAGGACCTGTGTCATGGCTGAGATCAGCTTAGCCCCTCGTGTTCTGGCCATTTCCTGTTTTTATTGGAGAAGGATGAAAAGAGAGAGAGCATTGTATAGACAAAGACAGTACATGGAACTGGCTGCAAAAGCAACCACTGTCAAAGTTCCGTGGTTTCTTGCCCTATTAAAGATTATGGGGTACATGCACCTTTTAACTTATGGTCCTATGAACTGTGGGTTATCTCTGCCAACACCTGTGTGGTCGGTAATCTCTGACATTTACTGTCCCCAGAGATCATGCCAGCCCTCTCTTGAGCAAGGCTGGGAGGAGCTGATGCCAGCTCGCTCGTCTTCTCTGCCATGTGAGCCATTTCTAAGCAAGGCTCAGTGGCTCCTTCTCCATGTGGCACCTTTAGAGCATGGCACAGCGAGACGTAAGCTTCGGTATTCAAGAGAACGCCGTGGAAAGTTCTTTCCTACTGAGAGATCTTTGGTGTGGCTCTCTGGTTCCCACCCAGTGGTTTTATGCCCTTCCCCCTTGGGACTTTTTAAATTTTTGCCAGTGGGCGATGTCATAACACTGATATAGAAATGCCTCTTGGGGTTACAAAAGGAGAACAGTTGGAGACTGTGATCAGGTGACTGATGATTTGCCGTTGGTCTTCAATGAAAGCGCTGACAGGAATCGTTGTAGGAAGCTACTAAAATGTTGCTGGCTCCACTTCGTTCATGATGAGAGGCCCTTTAATGGACGCACCGTGGCATGTTAGCTTTGTATAGATTCTAGGTTCTCAGTATTACATTCCTTGCCCTTGCTGGATCTCTGAGCTGGTGGGGCATTTTTTTTGGCTCTTTATTTTCAAAACATCTTATGCATCCTGATCCCAAATCTTCATTTCTACCATTTCAGCATTTCTATCCTTCCTTGAAATGTGGTTGAGATATAGGCGGTCGTCATAAGCGATGCCCTGCAAACTCGCTTGGGAATTTCCTTTTGTCAAGGTGGTCATAGCTCTCCCCGCAGTGTTTATGCTCTTGACTTTGAGATTGTTTTTAATGGCTGTATAACTGGAGTTCTCTTTCTGTAGGGTATTTTCCCCGAAACATACATCCATTTGAAAGAAGCAACCGTGGAAGATGGAGGGTAAGTTCTGGTCCAGGAAGAACCACTGCAAAGGGATGAAGATGTAAGATGGTCGTGAAAGAATGTCCTAGTCCCATTGATGTCCTCCTTCGCTTGTTGGTTTTACTTTCTCATAGAGTTCCTCATTCTGGCTCCTCTTTCTATACTTGTCCTCCTCTGGGTACCCGTCCCCAGAACAGTCAAGACAGCAGTGATGAACTCTGAGGGCCTCCCACTTCCCCTTGGAGTTCTCACTGACCGCTCGCTGGGTATTTGGATGTGAGTCCCATGTGAACATCTGGGAAGGAGGGACACCCGTCTCTCTGCCTCAACAGGCTGAACCTTGAATACTTCACTTAGTTGTCAGTCAGAATTTTCACAGCTTCCTGGAGGAAAGCACTGCGGTGGTCTTGCAGTTGGATCCTAGGGAAGCAGTGTATGCGAGCGTGCTGTGTGGTTAAGGTCCACTCAGCTTGGAGTATTCGTTTCTTGGTCAGGTCATTTGTCCTACAAAGGACTGACCCTGTGGCAGCCAAGGAAACCAGGACATCCAAAGTAGGAAGAGAGAATTAAGAAAGTTAAAACTTGAGTCTGTGGCTGGTGCCAGGGAGGCTGTCAGAGTCCCGGAACCTCTAAGCTAGACGAACATTATTGAGAAGCCCAAAGCCCAGCACCCACATTATAAGACAAGAGAAAGAGACATGCTCAGGTTTCCACAGGTTCTCTATAGCACAACCAGCACCGGGAACTCCTCTTCTCTGCACCATTCCCGGGCAGCCTCCCAGTGTCACTTGTGAAGGCAAAGCAGGAGCCCTGTTCTAACTGGATCTGCCAGGTGAAAGGCACCATGCCCAGTTAACTGTGTTACTCATTTAGCAGATACAGATCCTCCTGGACTTGAGATGCAGTTGCATCCTTAAAACCCACTGGGCTTAAACACACACACACACACACACACACACACACACACACACACACACACACACACAAGCAGAGCTGGGCGGTGGTGGCACACACCTTTAATCCCAGCACTCGGGAGGCAGAGGCAGGCGGATCTCTGTGAGTTCAAAGCCAGCCTGGTCTACAAGAGCTAGTTCCAGGACAGCCAGAGCTACACAGAGAGATCCTGTCTCTAAAAACAAACAAATAACATCATAAGCAGGCATCACAGGAAAGTCCACCCTTTTATACCATTAATATATGCTAATAAAAAGGACAACAAGATATGCCTTCATTTCACCTAACCTAGGAAACATAGCTTAGCCCGGCCACCTCCAGTGTACTCAGAACACTTACTGGAGCTGACAGTTGGGCAAAATCACCTAACCCAAAGCCTGTTGTAGTCTAGAGTAGCACGTCCCTCATCTAACATGTTCAGCACTGGGCCAGAAGCGGAAAGCCAGCGCCTGCGCGTGTACACTTCTCAGCCATCTTAGAGTTGCAAAAATCAGACTCTCCTAAGTCAGGGACCACCTGCAACTTTCTAGAGTTAGCGTGTAACAGATGTGTTGTAAGCCATATGTGCCCCAATACATTGCCTTTCTCCACCTGGAATTCATGTTCAGCTGTCTCCCATGTTTGCATGTTCTCATGGTGGTCCTGCTGCTCTTTCCTGTGTGCTTGCATGTCCTTGCTGTCTTTCTCCTGTTGATAATTGTAGGAGCACCAGGGACCATTTATTGAATAAATGCAGTTAAGCTTGCTGTGAGTGGGGATGTTGGTTTGTCTCCATTTCCCATGTTGGGAAGCAGCAGAGGACAAGAAAACCTAGCCCTTTCTGGAAGAGGGCATGGATCAGTCCTTGCAAGCAGGTCTTTGGGTGAGATCACATGCCATGTACCTCTCTACAAAACGGAACAGCTGCCCGATGGAAGCAGCTAATTACATGGCTTAGTCATCGGCACTTTCAGAGCATAAACTTGGGGAAGTAGAGTCTAGGCTTCGCCTGTGCCATGCATATAGACTGTGCTGGTCTCAGTTCTTTTTTTTTTTTTTCCTCTTATTTTTTTTCTCTTATTTACCCAGGTTCAAGTCCTCCAAACTATACACCCCTTCAGAGGCAGATCGGTTTATTCAAACCGCAGCAGCCACATTCCTGGCTTTGATTGTCAAGAGTGTGCTGGTCAGGAGAGGCAACTCCTATCATGTGCAGTCAAGTGTATATCTCTTTGGTTCCTTGTAGGCAGCATGAAACTGTGATTCCTGGGGAGTTGCCACTGGTTCAGGAACTCACAAATACTCTACGAGAATGGGCTGTCATCTGGCGCAAGCTCTATGTGGTAAGCTTCCCCTGGGGCTCTCCTTGGGTATGGCCTTAGGTGCCATTTCTGGACCCTCAGTCTGACTGTTGGACTGCAGAGCCATCTTCTCCATTGAGCAAGGGTGAGTCTTCCCTGGAGCCCACGATGCTGGAAGGCAGCTGACTCTCATTTCCCCAGAGTTGGGCCAACGCTAATGGGATTATAGAGAGAAGTGGGTGTGATCCTTAATTCACTCTTGCTGGTTGTGAAAGTAATAGGAAGCTATAACTGTAAACACTTGCCAAGGTCTACTTGGGTGCCTCAAACCACGATCTCTCACCGCACTGCTATAAAAAAAGATGCAGTTATATCTGCTAATAGTCTAGCAGGAACTCAAGGCACTTGATGTTCGCATCTCCATGTATGCCAATAAATAGACATTTTATCAACAGCACAGTGCTCAGCCTGCTGAGGGAGGCATTAAAACCATGACCAATAGTTCTTGCAGACTCCAAACCACATATAGGGTAAGCTGAAATCAGGCTCGCTTCAGTCAGTATTCTCTCCCCCCACACTGTTGGACCTCCGAATGCTAATACAAGATGCTAATTCAATGGGAAATCACATAGGCACAGCAACATCCTCTGTGTGGCAATAATCATGAGTTTCATGTGTGTTCACAACTGGGACTTTGTGGTTTAAATGTAACCTGCCGTTTCTGAAGTTCACGTTAGAGCTTACTCCACTGTGAAGCATTGAGAGGATGAAGGCTAGGACCGAGACATGGCTCATCAAGTAAAGGCACTGGCATCCCAGCCTGACAACCTTAGTTGGATCCTCTGGACCCACATGATGGAAGGAGAGAGCCCCATCTTCTCTGAGTTGCTCCATATAGAGAATTAGGAAGGAGAATCTTCCAAGGGTGGAAAGTCAATCCAATTGTAGTGCTCAGAAGAGAAGACTTGGAAGGTGGTTAGCAGGCTATAAGAACATGAATGTGGAGGCTCGTGATGGGATTCCTGTGACGTCATGTGAAGAGAGAGAGAGGCCGGAAGACCCATGTGCAGACTGTATGTCTCACCATGTGCTGTTCTCTGCCAAGAAAGCCATTGTCACACTAACTCCTTAGCTCTGCTCTAAACTGAGCATGGCTTCTTTAAACACGCCTGTCCTGTAATGGGACTCCCAGTATTTCTAGGGCCTGGGACTGCCAGTATTTAACATCATCAGAATAAAAATGCCTATTTCTCAAGCACACAAGACACTCGAAGTTCCTTGCAGCATGGTGGACATGTCTCCAGTCTAAACACTCTTTCCTTGACACTGGAACCCACGGACTGTTTTCTAATGTTTCTTCTCCGGAGACCTTGTTGGTGAGCACCAGTGGGTCTAGCCTGGGTAGGAGACTTCAGGCTTCTGTGGGGTGACTAGGAAGTCACATAGTGAGTAATACATTTTCTAACTAGACATGTGATTATAGGCTATATAGCTAGATCCAGGAGTCATTCTTTTCTTTGTGTGGACAGTCTGGCTGAGTTACAGCAATAAGCCCCAATCTTGTCCTTGCATACGAAAGCAGCAACCAAACCTCATTCCAGCGCCCGTCCTAAGAGTTCACAAGGGATTTCACTCCATTCAGGGCTGTGTATTCCAGGATAAAGCATAGCCTTAGAAACCACCAGCCCTTTGTGGGGAAAGCGCATGGTATTTCTCTCCCTACCCAAGCTTCAAAGCCTCGTTTGTGTCCTTTCTTTGTCATAATGCATCTTCTAAACAAACTCGTCCGTAATGATCCCTTCTGGACCACCCGAACACTTACTGCTGAATGCATGCTCTGGCCCTTGGGGCATTATGCCAGTATTGAAGGTGATCTTTTGATCTCTTCGGACGTAGTTGATGGAGCTCTAACTCTGAGCCCCTAAATCATTCACTCTGGGAGGGAAAGGATACGGCTGTCATCCCTGTGGCCTCCATTGATCAGCTTCTACTTACATTGAAAGCACTCTGCTTCTGGTTAATTGATTAGGTAGTGGTGGATAGAGAGGGTTGATGGGTAGGAAATTGCATGGACACGGGCTTGTTTCTTAATGTTCTCTCTGGAAATGGTCGAGCGGCGGAATGTATTGGGTAAGTACAGGCTGAGTATTCTGCATTTTCTGTGTTCCGATGCTGTAATTTAATACCTGAGGGGAGGACAACTTATGAAGAAAAGAGACAGCTTTACACCATTGTCCTGGAACCTCAAGAGCCTGATAAGAGGAGCCAGTTCAGCTCTGGCAGGTACCTTGATGTCAATGGTGTCACAGTTGTGGTAGCTTATATGAAGGAACACTCAATTGGCATGACAGGAGAGCAGAACACAGAGGGTCACCTCATTGTTGGAGAACCCTCTCGCGATAACTAGTGAGGCTGGTGGTTTTGGTGCTCTTTCATTAATCTCCACTCCTCAGATTCCCCCCCCCCCCCCCCAGTTCTTAACATCGCTACACTGGAGGCCGGTCATCCAGCACACGACACCAACTGTATCACAGGCAAAACAGAGGCATTCCGAATCTAAAACTCAAGCATCCAAAAAATGCTCAAGATTCCAAGTCATTTGAGCACATGCGTGATAACACATGTAGAAAAGTCTGTCCTGCTCCTGACCTCATGTGTGACGCTTTCTATCTGTACAGAAATTATCTTGAGGCCACGTTAAATTATGTTGAGGCTGTTGTAGAAGGCAGAGATGAAGCATAAACAAATTTCATATTTAGACTTAAATGCCATCCCTAAGAGACCTCATCAGGTCTACGTGAATGTTTCTTTAAAAGCCAGAAAAACAAAACTTCTCATCCCAAGCATTTCAAGTCATTTCAAATAAGGGGTACTCAGCCTGTACTGTGGAAGGAGTTTTTGTTGTTGTTGCTTGTGCCATTAATAAAAAGACTTTTTTCCCTCTCTAGTCGACGACTTCGTTGCTCATTTTCTTCACCATGGCCTCTGTATATCCACAAGTTATCCAGGCAGGTTTCTGGGGGGGGAAAGAACTGAGAAATAGGGCTGGGAGTGTAGTTCAGTGGTAGAGTGCTTGCCTGCCGTGCATGAGACACTGATTTCCATTCACAGACAGACAGACAGACAGACAGACAGACGCATGCAAAGAGTCGGGGGAGGGGATGGAGGGAGAGAAATGAGTAAGACTGAGGAAATAGGACCTGTGTGCCTGTCCTGTCGATGCCCCCAGCAGTTCCGGGGGGAGGGGGGTGAGCTGATAAGCACTTTTGACATTTCCTTCGTGAGCCACCTACCCATTTAGTAGCACAATTGAGTTGTGGGTTTTTTTTCTTTTTTCTTTTTCTTTTCTTTCTTTTCTTTCTTTTTTTTTTAGCAGAATTGAGTTTTAAGAACAAAGCCTAGTGAATTAATTGATTTTTTTTTAATTCCTTCTCATGGGACAGCACACCGTTTCCCCTTAGATCTTAGAAGTCTGACAAGATAACCTTTAAATGACTTGTAGCCGCTACTGATTGGCTGGGAAAGGCGTGGACGGTGGGCGGTGCTTAGTTATTGTCTGGGCCCCCGGTCTGGTTGTGTTCCCGCTAACTGCTTATTCACTAAGGAGTAGTCCCATGTAGTGAGTTTGGTAGTAATCACCCGCCCCCTCCACCCAGGGCATTGACAGTTCACCGCAGGCAGAATTTCTGATTTTCTTTCTGGTGTTAGAGTAGCAAACCTCAAATACCCTGTTTCCCTGGGAAGTATTAAAAGGGGGTGGTGGGGTCCTCTATTATCTAGGTTCCAAGTCTCTCCTCCCTGCATAAATTTTAGCATTTTGTTTTTGGATTGTGATCACGTGCTCCTTTATTCTTTGTGAGCATAAGCATGGCCCTCGCCAGCATACGTTCATACACTGTGTGACATTAATACTCCCATTGATTTCCTCCCATAGATTAGATTTTTCGTCTGCGGTTCTGGGGATTGAACCCAGGGCTCTGTGCATGTTAGGCAAGGGCACTACCACCAGGGCTATGTCTGCACGAATTCCTTCCATGAACCTTGAATCCGGCCTTCTGAGTGCCATTGTTAGCCACCTCTAGGATACCCCCCCTCCCAAACTCACTCTCTCCCTAAATGTGCTGCTTCCTGGTTTTGCTCATTTCTGTCTGATCTCACTGGAAATTTACAGTGTTGATTCAGTGTTTTCTAGAGGGAGAAATACAACCTGCTAACCAGGTAAATCCCAGCCATGAGGACGCTGGATTAATCCAGAAAGGAAGGATGTTTGTCTCCTGATCTTAGCAATTATAAAGAGTGTAATCACCAGAAATACCTCACAATGGGGAGGAGAGACGTCCATATTGAAGATATGGGACCCCTTACCCACAGTGGCAAGAGGAAGGCTGTTTGTCCCCAAGACCCTCCCTCATATGGTCCCTCTTTTCTCCTGAGAGTATGTTACTGATTTCCTTTCAACTGTCCTTCCTGGCAGGTGTCGACCTTATGCTATGGGGGAGGAAACAAATTATAGAAGCCAAACCTCCCTGCGAAATGGGTTTTCCCCTGCATGCCCTGTCCTGGCTAGTTCTGTGATCTGAAGCAAGTCATTCAGGGTCCCCCAAAGTTCTGCCAGGATCTTGACACCTTGTAAAAGCGATGCAGAACCTCGTTCCCTTTCTGAGTCTGTATCTTCAAATCCTAGCTTCCCAAAGCTGGGAAAGCACAAAAGGGGACGGTGGCAGTAACTTCCCACCTGTGTTGGTCTTGGACTCCGCCAGTGCAAACCTGGGCTGGTTAATACTGTTGGAAGCAGCAGCCACAGTCGATGGCTCTCCCACCAGACAACCCTGACTCAGAACTTAACCTCTCATCCTGCCGTGGCTGCCAGGAATGCAGGAGCCGTGATCTGTGTGCCACACTTCTCCAAGGCCGCCGCCTTTCTCTCTTGTAATCATCTTGGGCAGAGTGGCCTTGAGCAGTGGGAGCAGGCTGGATTTTTGTCTGCTGTAGATAGCAAGGCTTCTTGGTTGAGGTTCAAGTCCAGGAGGCACCGCTATGTCCAGAATGCAGAGCGCATGCTCACAGCTGTTCTTGGTAAGCTCTGCCTGCAGAACTGCCCCCTTGGTTGGACCAGTCTCTGGGTGTTTCCAGGGCATGATCAGGAAAGGAGGAAATGTCTTGATCGGTGAGGTCACCTGGTGATGAGCCAAGACAGAAGACACTGGGGCTGGACAGAGCAAGCAGTTCTCAGAGGACTCCCTCCCTTTCTGGGTATGGTTTTGTTTTGGGGGGATTTTGTTTTGTTATGTTTGTGTGTTGTTTGTTTGGTTTTGGTTTTTTGAGACAGGGTTTCTTTCTCTGTTTAACAGTCCTGGCTATCCTGGAACTCACAGAGATCTGCCTGCCTCTCTCTCCCAAGTGCTAAGATTAAAGGCATGTGCCACCACCACCCAGCTAAAGTATGTATTTTTATATTCAAAAAAATCCACAAAGCTGATAATAGTTACAGAAAACAAACAACCTTTTTAACAGAAAGAATATAGATTCGGGAGGCTGGTAGCTGGTCCTGCAGCCTCAGCACAGTCCTTGACCCCTGGGTTCTCCTCTCCTGTAGTTGAAATTAGGTAGTCTGTGCACCTTCATCATGCACTGAGACTTCAGTGAGTTTTCCATGGGCCTTCCATGATAGCACCTGGCACGCCGCTTCTCCAAAGCGCCAAGAATCTTGAACATCTCCATCATACTACAGCACTTGCCCAGAGAACACTAGAATTTGTCTGTCTACCCAGCTGTGACCATTGCTTCATCCTCCACGATGGGCCGAAGGGACAGAGCCCAGACCGTGGCTGGCGCCCTTTCAGCTGTGGTGTTACTTGAATTTGCACTTTCCACGTCAGGAGATTGGTGTTCCCCAGCTGTGAGATACAGCCGGGGATCTCTGGCCTTTTGCTTTCCAGTGGCACCTCTTCCCAGCTTCCATGCCAGTCCCCCTGCCATGCGGACAGGCATGCTGCCCTGACTTAGATAAGATTGCAGCTATATGAGACCTCACTTGCCAAATAGCTATAACTTACCAGTTAGTTTTGTACCCCAGAGAAGTGTCAAACTCTCCATCCTCCTGCCTTAACCTCAGGAGTGCTGGGGTTATAGGTATGTATGTATCACAACACGGGACCGGTTATACCTTTTCTCTTAAGGTTTGTGTGTGTGTGTGTGCTCACGTGTCTGTGTCTGTGTACCTATAGAGGCTTTGGATCCACCCAGAGCTGGAGTCACGGGTGGTTGTTGAACTCTTGATGTGGATGCTGCGAACCAAATCAGGACCCTCTGCAAGAGCTAAGCGTGCTGAGCCATCTGCCCAGCCCCAGACTGTTGAATATAAACAGCCGTACATCCCAAGTCACAGGATGCTGTTTCCTCTATTGGAAATTCCCAAACCAGACTGTATTGGGGTAACAGTGAGACAGGTGTTTTCAAATACAGGACTGTTTGGGAAGCCTGGGACACCTGCTTATCACTGGGTGCAGCCCAGGGGCTCTCCCCTCTTCCCACTGGAGAAGGAGCCCAGTGAGGTTTTTTTTTTGAGGCAGCCTGTTCTTTCTGTAAGTTTTGGAGCTGGGGTCTTTTCTTCTTCCTGAAGGGAAAGAGCCTGGCATTAAGAGTAGTTAATACATGCTGTGGAATCGGGGAGTTTAGTTGTTAACCTGTATTCCTAAGAAGGACCCATCCCTCTTCACTTCACTTCCAAAATAAAATCTTGTGCCTGCTTTAGTTCTGGGGGACTTTGGAAAAGAGAGGTGGGGGTCGGGAACACGCAGGGCATACTGAGTCACCCTTTCTTCCTGTCACACCCATGGTTTTATTTCCAGGTAGATGAAGGCCCACCTCTGAGCTGTCAGTCATTGGTGATTGGCAACACAGACTGAAGTACAGTTTAACTGGTCTCTCTTTAGTCTCCCGTTGAAACTGGTTTCATCCTCAGGCAGAACACGTGATCTGAGAATTAATTACAAGCTCTGCCTCCACGTAGCTTTGTCAGGAAACAAAACGTGACGTGGAAATGCTGGAACGTTTTCTTTAAAAAAAAAATCAAACCTTTGCCTGGCAGGCCAAGTTTTTCCGGGGCGGGGAGAGGAAGTAAGGATGGGTAGGATGCATGGCTGGATAGTTCAGCTGGCACTCTGTCTGTACCCCGAAGTTAACAGCTACATGGGAAAGATTTCTTGAGATTATCGTAAAGCTCTGTCCTTGGGGAGCTGTTAATTCCTACCCAGTGTGTGCAGAGCAGGGCAAAGAAGAGAAAAAGTCAGAAGCAGTCAATCAGGAAGCTGTTAGGTAGGAGGATAAATGGAGGTGAGCAGCTCTATCTTAGACTGGAAGATGTCTCTGGGCAGGGAACTTTGCCCAAAGTCACAAAGCAAGTTAATGATAGAATTAGGAATAGAAGCCAAGTCTCCATATGTTCCCTCGGGCACTTTTCCTTCTAAATCATAAAACCCCATGGAAGAGGAAGGAGGGGAGGCGAGCAGAATCGGGGTCCTGACACCTAATAAGTCAACGTCGTGGCCTGAACAGCCTCCAGATTTCTGTAAAACTGGAGTGACTCCCGAGTGACTTCTGCGTTCCTGTCACCATGGGAGGCAGAGCTATCTGTTCTTGTGCCTTGGTCTTTCCCTCCAGAAATTCTAACAAAGAAGGAAAGAGGATAAACATCTGGCTTGGACAAATACACCAAGTGAGATAGAGGGACGCTGTATTGTCTGGTAGAAAACAGTATCTGGGGTGTGTTACGTGCGGTGACAGTTCCTCACTCAAATCGAAACCAGACTCTTAAGAGTTTAAGCCATGAGATTTGTTCCAGAGTTCCTACCAGATCCCAGGGTCGTGCTGACCTTTGCAGGAAGGATCAAAGAGATTATGTCATGTGAAAAGGCAAACCTGGAGAGGACCAAAGATGGAGGAGAGGCTCTGTAGAGGGCAGGCTTGGGTTGGGTAGGATGTAGGAACCAGAGGCCAGGAAGGAGGGCCTGTTAGTCCTGCTGCCGATAGCACAAAACCCCAAAGTCCAGGTACTGCAAAAAGAGAACAGGTTTACTTGGCTCCCAGTATTGGAAGCTGAATGAATGTATCCATCATCCCTGTTGCCCTTTATCTTACAGAAGGTTGTTTCATGATAGAACTGTGTACAGGGCAAAGACCTCACAGGAGCCATTCCTAGTCCAGTCTGCAGTCTTTCCTAACAGCTTTTTCAAGAGTGAACATACTGATCTCACCTTAGCCAGAGAACTACCTTTTGCTGAGGTCAGCAGTTAGTAGACTCATCACTGGTACAAGAACTGAGAGGAAACAACTCTGTGACCAGTTACCAGTCTAGTAACTGTAGAAGTAGGCCATTGAGAGTCCAGTCTAAAGGAGAAATCTGTACTACATCACCTCCCCTACCCATCTCTCTGTCTCTCTCTCTCTCTCTGTCTCTCTCTCTTTCTCCTCTGTCTCTCTCTCTCTCTCTCTCTCTCTCTCTCTCTCTCTCTCTCTCTCTCACACACACACACACACACACACACACACACACACACACGCATGGTTGTCACCAAGACTCAGAGAACAGCATCCTGTGAAAGGGGGCAGAAAGAATCTAATCCCAGCACTTGGGAGGCAGAGGCAGGTGGATCTCTGTGAGTTCAAGGCCAGTCTGGAACTACAAGAGTTCCAGGACAGGCTCCAAAGCTACAGAGAAACCCTGTCTTGAAAAAGCAAATAATAAATAATAATAATAATGAATACATAAATAAATAAAATTTGAAGATCTTTTCCAATAGTCAATATCTCTGAAATTAGTCATTTCTCCCCTTATAATTCTTCCTTCTGTGTATTTTGCAGATACAGACACAAAAGGGGTGATTCCTATCTAGGGAGAGAGCCAGCCAGGCCACAGTCTTCCTGGACTCTGAGTACTGGCATGGGTTATAAATTCCAATCAGAGGAAGGCATGGCTAACTCATCAGCTAAGACTTCTCAGTTGAGACTGCAGTCAGAATTAGGCAGCTGATGGGGCTGGGGAGCCCTGCTGGCTCAGTGGATGAAGCGCCTGCCATACAAGCAGGGGATCTGATTTTGGCTCCGCAATGCTCACACCGAAACTGGGCCTTGATGGCAAACAGAATTCAACCCAGAGTTGGGGAGGTAGAGACCAGCAAATCCCTAGGGCTTAGTCTACCTAAATCACTGAGTTCCAGGTTTAATGAGAGAAGTCTGTCTCAGAAAAATAATAATAAGGTGAAGTGTGAATGAGGAAGTGCCCTGATGACGATCCTGCCTGCACGCACATACACACACGTGTGCACGGACAACCCCACATATGAACATGTATACTCAAAAGAGGTCCGGAAAGAAAGGCAGTGTGGTTACAGGTGGAGAAAATTATGACAGATTCCGGAACATTTGGAAACATTTGGATTAAATGACCACTGTGCATGAAGGAAGCAGAGATACTGAGGTGTAATTGATAGAAAATATAGGTGGGAATGTTGTCCAGGCCGGCCACAAAAGGACTTACAGTGTATCCTCTTATCCCTGGTGGGAATGCCTAAAGGATTTTCAACGGAGGAAGGGACTTGGTCAGAATTTTCGGGTGTGTTCATGATATGATGAGTTTATGATTTAGGGCCAATTTGAAACTATTTACTCACTTTTAGAATTGCATTTTGGGACAAATTCAGGGTAGCTTGGCCAAACTTATTCTTATGAACAAAAAAATTATGCCTCAAAGTGTGCAGCTTACTATGTGACCTACTAAATAAGTAGTACCCTGCGGAAATTCTATGCGAAGATGTTCTTTCTCCATCACATCTTCTTTCCCTTTCTGTCCTCTCCCCTATTTTAGAACAACAAGGTCACACTCTTCCGCCAGCTGCAGCAAATGACATACAGTCTGATCGAGTGGCGCTCCCAGATCCTGTCTGGGACACTCCCCAAAGATGAACTAGCAGAGCTGAAGAAGAAGGTCACAGCCAAAATTGATCATGGGAACAGGTAACCCAAGACAATCCTATCCCAAAGATGTGGGAAATGGCCGGCACCTTCACACTAGATAGTATTCACACCTTTAATATCAGCAGCTGGGAGGCAGAAGCAGACAGATCTCTGTGGAGTTCAAGGCCGGCATGATCTACAGAGTGAGTTTCAGGACAGCTAGGACTACACAGAAAAACCCTCTCATAAAAAAAACAAACAAAAAAATCCTTTAAACAATTTCAAATTGAGGGTTGAGGAGGTAGACCAGTTGGTCAAGCGTTTGCCGAGAAAGCCCAGCACAGCATAAACTGGGTGTGCTGGTGCTGTAACCCCAGCTCTCTGAAGATGGAGGCAGGAGGATCGGAAGTTCTGGTCAAGGATGCGTGACTGCATATCAAGTTCAAAGCCAGCCTGGTTGGCTTTATGAGACCCTGCCTGAAAAATAAAACAGAAAATAAATAAACAAACTGCATATTATATATAATTATCCATATTTACAAGGCACATGTATATAGTACTTATGTATAATGATGATTAATGAGGTTAAATAGCAACCTCATCACTTTGGCAGCCATTGTTTCTTTGTGTTGGGAGCATTTAAAATCTTCTTTTCTGGGAATTCTGATGGGTAAAATTAATTTTTACCAACCATAGTTATGTTACTATGCAGCAGGAAATTAGAAGTTATTCTTTCGACCCAGCTACACCACTGTACCAATGAACAACCTCCTTCCCTGTATTAGTGACTTTGGGGGCGGGGGTTCTTGTACGTGACAAAATACTGAATAGAAGAAACTAGCGGGAGTAAAGACTGACTTAGGCTCGTGGCTCCGGAGAACAGAGTTCGTCATAATGGGGAAGGTGCGGCCGAGCAGCATGGTGATGGTGGTAGGAATCTGTCCTTTGCCTAGCACAGAAGAAATCAGAGTACGCCAGCCTAGAATCAGAGGCCTGCCACTAATGGTCCAAGTGTATCCGCTAAGCACTACATCCCGAAAGGTTCTGCAAGCTGTCAGACCAGTGTCACCATCTGACAAGCGTTCAAACCTATGAGCATCTTGGGGACGTTTCCCATCCAAGCCATAGTACCCCTCGTGTCCCTGCAGCACCCTAATCTCACAACAACTTCTGATCTTAGGGTTGTCAGTTACTAATGGTTATGACTTACTGTCTTTGTGTCTTAGAAAGTATTTAATTCCGGTGAAAAATGTCCTATTCCCTTCCTTGGGTCTGGTGCTCTGTTGGCCCTTGGATCCCACTGGCTGACACAAGAACAGAGAAAATAGACTTTCTGCCCTAGCTTCTCCACTGGCAGAGAAACCAAGGGTGATCAGGAACATAGAGAGAGCCCTTCCAGATGCCTGAGACTATGCTTTTATTCCAGGGATGGATATTAAATTGATTGCTGTAATTTTCAGCTTCCCCCCCCCACCCCTCACATTGGGACTAGGACCATGATTGGTAATGGTACAATTCAGATTCCCTGGTATGTAAGCCATCCTTCTAGCCCATAAATTCCATCTACACACTTGTTATGTGTCTATTTCTGCAGAGCTCCTAAGTAGCACAGGTAGTCACGTTACTTCCGGGTACCACTGCCTTTCCCTATAGGAGAAATTCAGTCCATTCCTCCACATGACCGTGGGTGTGGCCTGGGATTCATGCTTTCAGCCAGCCCCTTCCAGAAGACCTCAGAAGTCCTCTGTTAGCTTTGCTGTTGTTTATTTGGTATTTAAGTGGTCTAGTTTGTACTGATGTCATTCCTGTCTCGCCCTTTGCCCCATGGCTCCAGCTGTAGGACTCTATCATATCCCTGTTAAAGTACAGTTCATCAGCCTGTTCTGTAAATGCACTAATTTAACAAACTGTAACTAGAAACAATTGGCATCAACGTGGGATACAGACTTCAGCCGGTCTCACAAACTTCCTCCGTTGTACACGCCACATACTCATAACTAGGAAGTAGCTATGGTAAAGTTAATTACTTCTTTCTAATTTTATATAGGAGGATGTGAACTTGACTGATTTCCTTCCGGGTCACAAAGGCAATGGGAAGGAATTAACTTGGTCACGGATCCTGTCTCTAGGTCTGACTCTAGGTTGCAGTTGAGATGGGACTTCCCTCCCTGATACTTGGCCTCTGTCGTGGTCAGTGTTGATGTCTCCTAGACAGGATCTGGACTCACATAGGAGACAGACCTCTGGGCGTGTGTGTTCTAGATTAGGTTAACTGAGGAGGGAACCTGTGCTTAAATGCCGGACAGCACCACTCTGTGGAGTCCTGGAACTGAATAAGAGAAGCTAGCTGAGCACCAACGTACATCTGATCCTAAGTGACAATAAAATGTGACCAGCTGTCTCGGGTCCCTGCCATACCATCTCTTGAACAGTGAGCCAAACTAAGTCCCTTTCCCCTGGGGTTGCTTTTGTCAGATATTTTGGTCATAGCAACAAGAAAAGTGTCCCTAGGTGATTGCAGCCACTGCAGCTGCTTAGCCTTTCCTGCAGTCTCCGGACCTGTCTTAAAGCCAGCCGAGGTAGGCTAAGGCTCTGTCCTTTTTTGATCTTGCCACAGTAGCATTGGCCCGGAGGTTCCCCCAAGGCCTGGCATAGCACGTTAACGTCTCCCACATGGCAGAGCTCGCCTGCTTTCTTTCCCACACCTGCCCTTGAAAGCGGCTCAGGAATCAGGGCCTCTCTGCCAGGACATCCATGGCCCTGCTCTGCCAGCATGCCATCCCTCTCGGGTCTGGTGGGCTGTGGGTCTGTCTGCCATGGGAAAGAAGCTGCCAGTGCAGCTCACTCGCCTGGAGTTGCTGTAGAACAGAGGAGGGAACTGAGGCGTGGTTGCTTTCTTCCCAAGGACTTGCCGCCTCTGCCTGTTATCCCTTGAGTGCTGCTGTTTGGACATCTCTGTTCGCTTGTGCAGGTGCCTGGAAGGCAGACTGAGGGCTGAGAGCAAAATTCCGTTCCACCAACCTCTGAGTTCTTTCTACTTCTGTGCCCATTGGGCACTAAAGCCTTGGGAGAGGGCTGTGGTTGTCTCCGCTCTTGCACTGCAGCCCTCAGAGCTTCCGTTGCCAGTTTTCCTGTGCCGGTCTCTGCAATCGGAGCTAACGTTTATTGGTGCTCACTATATGTGTGGTCCTATTAGATGCTTCACTGCTGTTATCTCAGTCAGGTTCTTATGGCAACCGTAAAGGGCGGGAAACATCTACCCATAAAGGAGTCCAGGCTTTGCAGGATGAAGGGGTCCTAGAGCAAGCAGATGTCAAAGCCAAGCTTCAGACTGTGGTGTGAATGATAGCAGAGCCAGCATAGAGGTGGTTTAGGAGACGGTAGCCCTTGGACTTAAGCCTTAAGTATTGTGCTCCCTTAAGACAAGATTGAGTAAGGAAGTCAGGGAAGGTCTTTGAAGGATGATATACGGGTTTGTCATTGTTGCCGTGCCGGATCACAGGGGACTGGGCCAGGGAATCACTGAAAAGAGGGCTTTGGTCAGAGTCAGTGTTAATTCTACTGTTAGTGCTTTGGGCCAGTTCCTTGGCACATGCTCACAGGTTTGGCTAGAATGGCCTCCTGAGCCATGTCGCGTTATTGCTATGTGGAAAGGGGTAGAGAATGGAAGGAGATGCCCCTGGGTTGTGTTCAGTCCCTACCCATTTCTCCTGGGTCCCCTGGGCTTTCTGGTACAGGCTCTTCTACAGAGTCTGGCAGTGGAGGGGAGAGCTGCTTACCACCTCCTTTCTCTTCAGAATGCTTGGACTCGATCTGGTTGTGCGTGATGACAATGGAAACATCTTGGATCCGGATGACACCAGCACTATTGCCCTCTTCAAGGCCCATGAAGTTGCTTCTAAAAGGATAGAAGAAAAGATCCAAGAGGAGAAGGTGCATTTTCTCCTGGGTGCAGGTCAAGCTACTAGGATTTTATTCTTTGCCTTGGTTTTTAATGCCAAAAAAAGGGAGTAGTAGACAATAGAACTAGAAATGCCTGGAAAATCACATGTATCCTTATTTTAAAAGTGGGCAGAAAGAATGAGGCCAGTGTTTGTGTGTTCTGATTTGGAAAGAGAACAAAGGTAGGTAGGGATGTGTGTGTGTGTGTGTGTGTGTGTGTGTGTGTGGTGTGGTGTGCATGTGTAGAAAGATGCAGAACTATTTTATAAAAAAAGTACTTGTATTTTAAAAGTACAAAAGGGTATACACATGTCAGTGCTTGCATATACAAGAGTCACTGGAATGGTAGATTAGAAACAAGCTACTAAAAGCTGCCTCTGGCCCTGGGTTCAATTCCCAGCACCCACTTAATGCTTCTCAACCACCCATAACTCCAGTTCCAAGGGATACGTTTCTTCTTCTGACCTTTGAAGACACAAGGCATGTATATGTGGCCAAAATGTCTGTACACATAAAATAAATGTAAAAAAATAAAGATGCCTCTGGGAAGGAGAACTGCATGAAAGGAAGACTTTTTATAGTATAATCTTCTCTGCTTGTTATAAATATTGTACTGTCCAAGATAAAACTATTTTAAATGATATGTTTAAAAATTTTTGAAAGCAATTAAAACTTAGAAAGATGGAGAAAAATATGTCAGCCACATTCTGACAACATGACCTTCCATGTTGACATTTTTTTCTTTCTTTTAATTTAATTTTATTTTATTTTATGTGCATTGGTATTTTGCCATGTCTGTCTGTATGAGGGTATCAGGTCACCTAGAACTGGATCTACAGAGCTACCGTGTGGGTACTGAGAATCGAACATGTGTCCTATGGAAGAACAGTCAGTGCTATTAACCACTCAGCCATCTATCCAATCCCCCCTGCCCCGCCCATGTTGACATTTTGGTGTATTATTTTCTGTTTGAAAGAGGAAAGGTTTATCTGTGTGTTGTTTATTGCTTTTGTACGGTCATGATAACATGTGACTGTGATTCTGCATTGAGGGACAACCACACCCAAGGGCAAAGCTTTCTCATGGGACCTTTGTTTGCTGTGAAGTTGAGCAGTAGATCGGGTGATCTAAGCCTGATCCTCCCGCATCCACATGGAAGATTCATGCAACTGCTAAAAACTGAGTTATCACCTGTAGAGATCATGGTTATTTTTTATGTGTATGTACATGGTATGCATGCGTGTAGGTATGTTTGTTTGCATGTGTGTGAACCCACATGAATATATACATGGATATGCAAGTGGATGTGGAAGCCAGAGGTTGGAATTGGGTCCCTCTCCTATCATTCTTCGTCTCATTTATTGAGGCAGGGTCTCTCACTTGAACCCAGAGCTTCCCAGCTACCCAGTTTGTTCCAGGTTCCTGTCTCTATCTCCTATACGCCAGGATTGCAGGTGGGCTGCTGTGCCCACTGGGAATTTACACAAATCTTGGGGATCTGAACTCTGGGTCTCATTCTTCCACAGCAAGCACTTTCTATGGCAAACCATCTCTCCAGCCTCTCAGTCAGCATTTGTTGAATTACTTGGGCTCAAGAGACTAAACAGGACTGCTCTGGTTATCTCATAATGCTGATGTGTTTGTTTGGCTGAGCGATGATTGGTCCACATCTGCTCAGTTCTTAGCAGGCGCTTCTTGAGTATAGCAGCTGTCCCTTGTGTATAGGTTGGCTTCTTTGCCAAGGTTTTTTTCCCGTTTGCTTAAGTCTTGTCTCCTGTCCTCTGGCCCAGAGCATTCTGCAGAACCTGGACTTGAGAGGCCAGGCAGTCTTCAATACTGTCCACACCTATGGTCTCTATGTGAACTTCAAGAACTTTGTCTGTAACATCGGCGAGGATGCGGAGCTGTTCATGGCCCTGTATGACCCGGACCAGTCCACCTTCATCAGGTAATGGAGACCTATGCCACTTATGCTTGGCTTTGCAAAGTACGGTCTTTACCTGCCCTTATCCAGGAGCCCTTTACTGGGTTTGAGGTCTGTAGGCTGGGTGTAGTCACTTCTGACTGTGGAAACTAAAGTCTTTGGGCTCTGGAACCTTTGCACATGGATGCTGACACCGTGAAGCTTCAGGTTGTGTGCTCTGTGGGGGTTAAAAGAGTGAAGGAAACTGCTCAGGACACAGACACAAAGATAAAGCATTCAGAAGAGCCTAGGGGTGGAATGAGAGAGATGCCGTGGAGCACAGTGGGGATTCATGGCTTTAAGACTAAGCCAGAGGATTAGGGCAATGGTGAATGCCCGCCATTATGTGTTTGTCTACACCCATGCAATTCACTGTGCCAGCTGTGAACGCTCATGCCAGCTGTGGGCTGCGGGGATGAAGATGTGTCCGTGCAGGTTCAGCAGTTATAGCCAGTTAGATAAGGGTGGTGTGATTGGGGACTCTGCTTTCAGCTCAACTCTCCCATGAACCCAAAACTACTGGGGGGAAAAATCCACATAAAGAAAGTTTAAAGGCTGTGATTGAGCCCCAGTGTGACCCTTCCCTGAGCAACTTAGGAAATGGAGATTTAGCTTCAGGAAGGTGGTGAAAAGTAATTCCTGGGCCTAGGCATTCTTACCTGGTAGAGTGCCTACTTCACATTCTCAAAGCCCTAGGTTCAATTCCCAGCATTCCATGAACCAGGTGAGTGCCACAGGATTGTAATCCCAGCACCAGAAAGGTGGCAGCAGAAGGATCAGCTATATAGTGAGTTTGAAGCCATCCTGGGCATTATAAGTCCCTCTCTCAAAAAGTAAAAACAGTTACTAAGTCACTTGCGTGATATGGGCCATGAAGAATGGATGGGGAATAATATAGAAAATGAAGCTTTTATATATGGGGCCTCTTGAGTCATGGTTTTCCTGACTATCTCAGGCTGGTCAGTTTACTATGTAGCGCAGGCTGGCTTCAGATAATGATGATCAGCCTCCTGAGTGCTGAGATCACAGACCCGAGCCGCCGTGCCCAGCTCTAAACTAAACTTTCCCTCTATCAAGGCTCAAACTTCTATACAAACGGTCTGTGGAGTGAAGACACCAACAGAAGAAACTCGTTAAATCCCATATCTGAGCCACCCTGAACAGTGTCTGCCACTGTGTAGCATGTTCGTTGCAGCAGAGACTCTTTCAGTTACAGAGTCCCCCACGTGTATGGCGTGTGTGCTTCCCCAGCGCCTCCTCATGGGGCACCTCTGCCCCCTTCTTTTGACCCTTGCAAGTCTGTGCTGTGAGCAGCCTCTGTTCCAGCTGCCCACTCACTAAGGTAATTTCCTTTGTTTTCCTGCTAGTGAGAACTACCTAATTCGCTGGGGCAGTAACGGGATGCCCAAGGAGATAGAGAAGCTGAATAACCTCCAAGCTGTGTTCACCGTGAGTCTTTCCTTCTTCATAAAACATTTTTGGATTCGTTTGTTTTCTGTGTCTATGTATATGCACGTGTATAGGTGTGTTGCTATGGTGTAAGTGTGGGGGTCAGAGGCCAGTTGGCAGAAGTTCTCCTTCCACTGGGTAGGATCCGGGGATAGAGTTTAGGCAAGAGCCTTTATCCATGGAGCCATCTAGCTAGCCCGGTCCCATTTTCTGTTTCTTGAAAAATATATGGAAAACATAAAGGACGAAAAGGAAAGCCATCGTCGTCCTCTGAGTAGGTGTCACCCAGTCATTGATTCGCTCAGTGAACACATACTAGGTACCACATACCAGTCTGTACCCTTGAGACCGTGTGTGAACAGAACAGGGAAGTCGCTGTGTTCTTGGGCAGCTATTGAGCTGATGGAATAGACAAACATATACAACAATGACACCCGTGAGTGAATTCTGAACAACATCAGCATCCCGGGGTGCTTCCAGGGGCTTCACCAAAGTATTGGTCGGGGAGGCTTAAGTTTTCATTGCATATTTATTAATTTCAACCTATAGGTGTTTATTGATTTTATTATAATGAAAATGGTTTCCCACTCTTACCCCTTTTTTCCTTTTTTTTTTTTTTTGTTTTGTTTTTCGAGACAGGGTTTCTCTGTGGTTTTGGAGCCTGTCCTGGAACTAGCTCTTGTAGACCAGGCTGGTCTCGAACTCACTGAGATCCTACTGCCTCTGCCTCCCAAGTGCTGGGATTAAAGGCGTGCGCCACCACCACCTGGCCTTTTCCTTTTAATTTTGAGATTATAATGTAATCACATGCTTTCCCCCACTTTCTTTCCTCCCTGCAGGCCCTCCCATAGGCCTCTCCTTGCTCTTCTTCAAACTCACGGCTTCTTTTTTCATTAATCATTGCTACATGCATGTATGCATATTTAACTTTTAGTACATCTATGATGTATCATGTATGTGTGTTCCTGAGATCACACGGGTGTCATAGTTCGTGTGCAGAGGTCAGAAGACAGCGTCAGGTGTTTCTCCTCCCCCGCCACCCTGTTTTGATCTAGAGTCTCTTTGTTGCTTGCCTTTGCATGTACAAGGCTGTCGCAAAGATTCTCCCGTCTCCACCTCCAATCTTTTTTAGGAACATGAGGATTATACACATATACCACATTACCTAGCTTTACACGAGATCTGGGATTTAGATTCAAGTTCTCAGCTTACATGGCAAGCACTTTACACATTGAGCCGCCTCCCCAACCATGAAGCTTGTCTTTTTGATTAAGTGCCGGGAGTAGAGATGCATGGCGTAGGACCACACCCTTAGCATGCACTCGGCTGTGGGTTCAGTGCCCAGCACGCTAAACACATAAATAGAAGACATTGGTGGAAGACAGTGAAGTTGGAGAGAGGCAGCCAAGCAGATTACTAGGTGGGAGGAGAGCTCCTAGACCAAGATCACGGTGAGGGCTAATGTGATCCAGACCTTTTTCTGAGAACCTTCCTCTGTGTAGAGGATTCCCAGTCTCTGCAGGGTGCTGCTGCTTGCAGCTCAGGAGCCTGTAGTGTGTACCTGGCAACTGTCTTCCTCTTAGCTTAGAACTTTCTGAGCTTCTTTCATCTATGTATGTGTATGTGTATGTATATGTATATGCATGTATGTAGATATACAAACATATATGTGTATATATATGCATATATTTAATTTTAGGGCACACCTTAGGGCTGCAAGGGGGACTGGGAAACCTTGATAGGTAGGTCCCCAGCTCCGGTCTCTCTCTTTCTCCCATTAATCCACACAATTGCTCTGTCTCCTACTCTTTCTGAGTCTAAGAAAGGAAAAGTAAGCCTAAGTTCCAGTGGCAGATGAAGCAGCGACCAGTAACAAACTGCTTGCCTGTCCCTCTGTCAGCTTCCTCACTCTAGGACATGCACAGGCTTCTCTGTCCCTGCACAGAGCCTTTCCTGTCTCTACCCCTGCAAAAGCAGACCCAGAACCTTCTGGGATTTTACACCAGAATACTACTTTAGTATTTGTTCAGTTTGGAAACGGAGTTGGGTTTTCCCTGCTTTCAAACGGCGTTTATCGGACCATGTGTATATGTTTTTGGCACTGTTAAATCTTTTGTTCATCATTTAATCAGTCATGACTTAGTACAGCTGTGATTGCTTTTTCCTTTCCTGCTCCCACACTCTCCTAGCCAGCCAGGGGATCATCCAGAATGTAAATTTTATGTCTAGCCTTTCCAATGAAACAAAATGTGGTAGCCATTCCCTTGTTCATTAAACAGTCTTCATAACTCATTTATAAATATCTATGTATTATGTAATGATAGCCAATATGGTACGGTTTATAGAACCTGCCACCCGGCCTCTTTATTTTGTATTAGCGGAAGCCCTGCAGAACCTCAAGCAGAGATTCCGGGTGGGTGATTACTGGTGTGTATTGCTGTCTCAATGACATGTCTTTACCAAATTACAGGGCATAGATTTGGAGCGATTATTTGAAAAGTAATTCTTGATTCAGTAAGAGGGCTGGGGCTGCTGTTTCATAAAAGGGTTCTGAGATATAATGAAGTTATTTCTGATGTTAAGTGAATGAGATATATGAGCTCATTTCCGGATCACTCACCCCTCCTTCAGAACACACATTCACACACAGGAGTCTCAGCTAACAGGACCAGTCCCGCCCCCACACCTCTTGCTATCCAGTGTTTATGGAGAAGGCTTCTCAGGAAGCAGGTGCGGAACCTCACAAAACCATACTTGGGTTACACTTGCCTCCAGGGTTCTTTAAGAGATGAGCCAGGAGTGAGGAATGAGGGGGGGTGGCGCACGCCTGTGATCCGAGCACTTAGGAGGTGAAGGCAGGAAGAGCTGGAGTTCAAGGCCAATCTCAGCTACCAGCATTCAAGGCCAGCCTGGGCTCTCACAGGCTTCTGTGGATGCCCAGAAAGTGTCAACATCATGCAAGTTGTTATGTCATTTGACACTGAGGTGTGGCCTGTACTAAGACATACAGCAGAAGGACCCAAAAGTGTCAGGGAATGCTCCGGTTCCTAACCCCTTGCCCACCTGTCTACTGCAGAGGTGGAGGCTGAGTCTAATCTAGTCTAGAAATGAGAAGTAGGGACCAGGTAAGAAAAGAGCGCCCTTTTATAGGTAAGTAGATGGTCATTTTCTCTGTTGCCACAGTAGTTCTCGGGTGGGTGGGAAGAGAGGCACTGCTCTGGCATTTCAACGAGGGGTAGTGTTCTCTGAGCAGGACATGACAGCCAGTCTCTCTCATCCATCCTCTACCCACAGGACCTCAGCAGCACGGACCTCATCCGGCCACGCATCAGCCTCGTGTGCCAGATTGTCCGGGTGGGCCGCATGGAGCTGAAGGAGGGCAAAAAGCACACCTGTGGGCTCCGGAGACCGTTCGGCGTAGCAGGTATGACGAATGCCAGAGCCCAAGGAAAGTGGTACAGTGTCTGGGGACCCCGTTCTTTGAAATCTCTAAAAGACCTAATGGGGAACTATCCCCTGATCCCATTTGGGGCCTATTCCCCAAAGAACTGAAGAGCAAGATCTCAGAGACACATCCGTGCCCTCATCTGCACAGTGGGATTATTCACAAGGGCTGAAGGAGACCAGTTCACCCAAGTGTGCATCACTAGATGAGCAGATAAAGGAATTTTTATTCAGCCTTAAAAGGGATGGAAATTCTGACTCAGGCCACCGTATGACTGAACCTTGAGAACATTAAGCTAAGTAAAATAAGCCATGTGCACAAAAAGCCAACTGCTATGTGATTCATTGATATGAGGAGTCAGAGAGTCAGCTGACGGCTGAATGGGATTGTCAGGGCTGAAAGAAGAGGGTTCACTTTGGGAACATAGAGCTCTGGCTGTGGATGATGGTGATTGTTACACAAGGGGAGTGTGCTTGCTTCCACTGAACTGTACACTTACAGGTGGCTAAGGTGGTAATTTCTATGCTATATATATTTTACTGCAATTATAGTAAGGAAAAGAGATAGAGAAAAGAAGGTAAATGGCCGCTGGAGAGCAGACAGGGGTCAGGAGGGCCCTCTAAACACGGGAAGCCGTAGATCACATTGTCATGGTTAGTCTCGGGCACACAATATTTATGCCCTAGCATGACCCGTTCTCTTGCCTTGAGTCTTGTGTCCCCGAGTCTTTTAGCTACTGATGTTGCTGCTGTTTCTCCTTTGTGCCCAGCGCCATGTCTCACCCACAGCAGGACTACATGCTAGCAGGCGCACTGCTGCTGAGCTGTGATCCAAGGCAAAACCTCTGGCCTGCTTAGGAGACTCCTTCCCAAAGGTGACTTTGTGTCCCTGAATGCCTTCAGAGAGCGTCCATATTGGCCTAAATCAATCCTCAGGACCTCCCAAGCAGCCCTGTGCCTTTGGAGTCTCTCCTAAGTTTCAAGAAAGATATTCTGTCTTTTATTGACATTTGGATCAGTAGTGCTTCTGGAAAGTCACCAGTAAAATGTCAGAAATTTGCTCCTGGACCAGGGCCAGATAGTCCATGTTCTTCACTAAACCTTATTGCTTCTGTGGCTAAGGAGGTGGCCTTTCTGTCACCTGAGTAACCCACTGTCTATGTACCATGTCTTCTGAACTGTTCCCATCATACTTGCTGCTCAGGGAAGCAGCGTTGCTTTTTGAGACACAGTCTCATTCTGTAGCCCAGGCTGGCCTGAACCTTACAAAGATGCTCCCGTCTCGGCTTTCTCAGTGCAGAGATTATAGGTTTGTGCCACCCCGCCTTGCTTGGCATTGCTACTTTATCAGGAATTAAAGTGGAGTCTCAAAAGATACAAGGAATCCAACTCTCTTTAGCCATCCACATGGCGGTGTAAATGTATCTCTCTGTCTACCAAAGATGTATTTGAGGTCATGCTGTTCATAATAGGCCAAGGAAACTGAAACATTATGCCGGAGGCTTTAGTCTGCTTTTCTGTGGTAATCTATGTGTGTGTGTGTGTGTGTGTGTGTGTGTGTGTGTGTGTGCATGGGAGTCAGGGAGAGAGTGTGTTTCTGGATATTGCACGCATTATTGTATTTCTCAGTACGTACTTCTCTCGTCAACAGACAGGCCGTCTGATAATATATGTTCTATGGCCGGGCTGTAATTTATTAACCAAAGTTTCACCTCTTACAGGGCTTTGCACCTTGCTCATTGATTCTCCCAATAGCTGGGCATAGTGGTTATGTGATTTGGCTTTGTGGTCACTGTTAATGCGTACCCTGGCTTTGCTGAGGACTTAAACTAACTGTGGGGGTGTGGCCCGGTGGTGCCTTGCTTCCGTGGCATCTGCAAGTCCCTAAATTCAATCGCACCACTCCAAAACAAAACAAAAACAAACAGACACACACCAAAAAAAAAACCAGAATAAATGAACATAACCAACAACAAAATCAAAACGTGTGACTAAGGGCAAGTTAACCATTCCCATGCCTAGGTGGGGCTCCTCACTTCTGTATAAGTGAGATAAGGAATGCAGCAGGCTTACCTGGAGGCTTTGAAGTTCTCTCCTGGGTCAGGGCTGGGGGGAACCAATGACTGAAGGTTTGTTTTGTGAGACGCTTAAGGTTTATGTAGAAACCAAGAGTGTATCAAATCAATGGCGCAGGTGGCCAGTTCATCTTGAATTTATCTCTAGACTTTGAATTCTTCTAACAGGTCTACTAGAAGCATGTGTTCTCTACGGCTTTCACTGAAGACTTAATAAGAAAAATCAGGCTTAAGGCTTTCAGGAACTTAGTCTCAGGAACTTTCAGTTCAGTCTTGCAGAGTTTTGAAGGTGTGTCCTACAGGGTTGGAGGTACATAATCTGAGCCTTTCATGACTTCTCACACCTGCTGGGTGTGGTACTTTAGGTAATTGTTATGGCTTGGTCCCCGGTTCCTTTCTTCTGGTGCTCTGTGTTTGTGATACCATCCTTTTCTGTACAGCTCGGTGAGGCATGGAACCATTAGTGTCTCTAATGACCTTTATCTCTCTCCTAGTGATGGACATTACTGATATCATACATGGGAAGGTGGACGATGAAGAGAAGCAGCACTTTATTCCCTTTCAGCAGTGAGTATCTGGCGTTGCTCCCAGGTGATTCCAGGTCCAGGTTAGCCACCTGAATGGGGGCGTGAATGCAGAAGCAGGTGGGAGGAGCCTTTTTGTTACTGGAGACTTAAGTAAAGGCTTCTCAGCTCAGGCCTCTGCAGAATGCTTTGTTCAGGGGGCTTCATGTTGGATTCAGAAGAGGGTGATTGAACATTCCCAAGCTCAGTGAAAGAACTGGAAGAATAGAAAATAAAGGGCACGTATATCTGCCCTGGAATCCAGAGAATGACGTCATTTGATTGTCAAAGATGCTTTGTGTCTGAGTGGCTGTCTTTTGTTGTGTTGCACAGGTTTGACTGAGAATCACATGACTTCTCAGACTGGATGATGTATAGGAGTCGTCAGGACAATCTTGTTAGACTCACCATTTGCTTTAGTAGGTCTGGCTGCATCCGACAAGCCTCTGAGTATTGCTAATGAATGGCTCTGGTCCATGTACAGTAGGGAGGGGTTAGGCAGGAAAAGTGTGAAAGGCGGTTAGGGTTCCTGCAAGGAACTGGGGGAGACAATCTGATAGTGCAGGGCAGGGTCAGCTCAGAACTTGACTCAGGGCTCCATCTTAAGCCTCTTTGCAGGATTCTAAGTTAATAGTGTGGAAGTGTGTGTGAGTAGATTTTCTTGTTTCCAGAAGCTGCTACTAATTACTTTTAAAATATACACTTCATAGTCTTCACCCTACTTACCAACTTGAAGAGCACGGAGGACTCAGTATTCCCCAGAGTTCGCTATGGAACTTGATTATCCAATAACTTTGGTATCATGAACTATTGCCTCTTACCCACATGCATGCACACTCATGTGTTGCTTAATGAGGGGACACGGCCTGAGAAGTTCGTCTTTAGACAATTTGTGTCAACATGACGGAGTATAAAGTAAGGTAAGGTAGCTACAATGTCACACAACAACAGTCAAAGGTGACTGAAATGTGATATTTGGCAGTGTACAGGTGTGTTATGTGACATATGTAAATATGCTTAGACAGGTGTATTAGATAAATAGATTTAATTTATCACCAAGTGCATACTTGTAATCCCAATAATTTAGAAGGCTGAGGCAGGAGGATTATAAATGTGAAGCTGGCCTGCAAAGCATAGTGGGACCTTATCTAAAAAAAAATAAAATAAACAGTTTATATAGAGATAGACAGGTATCATAAATGTGACATGTACATATATAAAACATTCATATCAATGAATACTACTACTCTTTCATATAAAAACATATCAACATATCAAGATTCCCATTCCCAGACAAAAAAAATCTATGTGAAAAATACCCTTATTTATATTCACCTTTATGGACTGCTTTACTCCCTGCCCAACTTCTAAATCACCATCCACGTGGTAGCTGTGAATGCTGAGGTGGTCCCACTGAGAAATATCACGTGCTTTTATTAAAGACCCCAGGGAGCCCAGCCCTAATTTGATTACCGCCCTGTGCAGCAAGCAGCCACTGTATAATGGTGCTCATGTTCCCTGTTGCAACCCCAGCCTGTCTCCTACTTTCTTAAGCTGCAGTGGTTTATGGTGAATGGGGTTCATATGTGAATTCTGCTAGTACACCTGGGATAGCCATTCAAAGAAAACGGCCCCCCATTTCCAGCCCATGTTGCATTATATTTTATCATTTACACCAAGAAGGCTGTCTGGTAGGCAGAGAAGGCGAGACACAATTGCATGGCAACAGGATGATAATGCAGTTGCCAGGGACAACTTCAAGAGAACCGGGGTGGGGGGGGTGATGTATTTGGTCCTTTGACCTCCCCATCTGTGAACCTCACCTGATGTGCTCATTCCACGGGATCTCATTTGCTGGGTGACCATCGCAATCCTAGAGTTAATATCATTTTGAGCGGGGGGGGGGGGACCCCTTTCCAGTGTCCTGCACCCCTGCTGTGTTCATGTATCAGATGGCCATTGTGATGCAGGCCTCAAAGGGGATGGCATCCTGCAGAGTCTACCATCAGATAGAGCTAGACCCAGGAGCCAGGTTTCCTGTCCCATGGCTCTCCCTTCAGTCCCATGCCAACAGCCAAATCTAAGAGTCTGGGCATTGCCTCTGACTTTAACTGTTTAACTTGTCCTTCTTGAGCACTGACTCAAATGAACTTAGGCTGTTTAAACACTTGGCCTTCGCGGCCCACCTGTACCTTCTTTCCAAGGCTAAGGGAAGAGAAGGTGGGGAAGATAGAGCTAGAGGAGCAGGCAGTTTGCTGTGAGACTGTGTCTCCTAGGAATATAAGAAGCTGCACCCCTAAAACATCACCAACATGACTGCTCTAATGTGCCCTGTACAAGGAAGACACCAATGGACACATGCCAGAGTGGATGAGGAAAAGTCCCAAGGTCTCCCCTACACAAAGAACTACAGGCAGCTGAGAAAAACTGGAGCCGGAGAGGTGGTCTTTCCCAGGGAGGAACATACCGATTGATTTTTCCAGTGCCAAATGTCAGCCTTGAAAACATACGCAGATAGCATTATATGAACTGAACAGGTTTTATTTAGGAATCTACCTGTATATACATATGTGAATACAATAACAATTAGTGAAGAAAGAGGCCATGAATTAGAGCAGAGATAGGTACATTGGAGGATTTGGAGGGAGAAAATGAAAGAGAGAAATGTTGTAACTATACTTAATTATATTATAATCTCAATATGCATAGGATACACATATGCATACATGCTTGTGTGCGCACACATACACACACAGAAAACAGAAGAAGGAAGGGAAGAAAGTGTGCCAGAGACAAAATTGTAACAGTTTATGTGGTTGACCTTATTTTTTGTTTTATTTCCCAATCCTTATAATGTAGGATTGGGCAACACTGCTTGCCATACAACAGAATACGTGTGTGAATGAGCCAAGCAGAGGAGATTGACTTATAGACGGAGCAGAAAGCAAACATGGCATTAGTCATGGCAGAGTTACTTTGCTTTTAAGGCAGGGGCAGAGGACAGAAGGGTAGCTAACTGGTGGATCAGCATCGGGTCCCTTTTGTAGGTACCTTCTCTGAGAAACTTTGTTAGCACACTTGCTGGAAACAGCCTCTTTGGGGGAGCTGAGCGGTTGTCTCTCCACGCTCAGGTCTTGGAAGGTAGATATTCCACTTGACCTCAGCCTTCGCTACATTTGCGCCGTGATGAGTGACTCCATGTTGACTGTAGCCTGGTCTTCTGGGGGCCCCTGCAGGAATTTAATCCAAAGCAACCACTTGCTGTCATTTGTCATTGGCATCAGAACCCCTCTGGTGAGGTTTTGTGTTTGTATTTCTGTATCGTTCTCGCAAGACCTCCGTGGTCTCAGGTCATGCTTCAGAGATTTATCTCTGCTTCCGGCTTTCTCCTTACCTCTCCTGTCTTTCCCAGAATTGCCATGGAAACCTACATCCGCCAGAGACAGCTTATCATGTCACCCTTGATAACCTCACACGTGATTGGAGAGAACGAGCCACTCACTTCGGTTTTAAATAAAGTGATAGCGGCAAAGGAAGTGAATCACAAAGGACAAGGTACGTGGCCTGCCCAGGGTGAGGGGACTTTGGCTAGGGTGGAGGAAAACATCCAGAGCAAGGTCCCTGCTCTGCCCTTTTACCAGCTCTCTGGTACCAAAGAGCCTTCCCTGGACACCACCCTCCTCAGGCATCTCCTGCTGAATATCCGCAGTCGTTCCCCCTCCCTAATGGAATCAAACTTGAATGTGGAAGGTTCTGTGGCACAGACTTCCCTCCCGCCCTCTGCCCTCTGTTCCCAGTGTTAACTCGAAGTAAATGTGCCAACAAACTGTGACTCAGGAGTGACTATGCACTGTGCCCTCAATAAGCGTATTCCTTCATACGCTTTCTGAAAGAAGGAGATGGAAGCAACCCAAATGAATATCCATTAATAAGAACTTAGAGGCTACCTTGCAGTAGTAGAGTGTTTAGATTTTCTCCGGAGTCTCCGTGTACCTGTCTTTTGATGGCTTTGGCTAAGAGAAGTTCTTGTGGAAATGTTTCAAATCCAAATAGTAAGGAAAAATAGTTAAAACATCAGAATTCAAATGCCAAGATGGCAACCAGGTGTGAAAGACTTTCAAGACAGTGTCCGCTCTTCACTGCCCTGTAACTGCTCTTTAACAGGGGGACAATCAAGAAAACACAATGTTACAGTTGCTCAGGTAGAAAGAGATAAGAGCAATAAATAAATCTGAAAATAATTAGAGTTTTCCCTTTTTAGGATGTTTCTTTGTGTCTGCTTGTTTACATATGTGTGGGCGAACAGGTAGGAGTGTGCATACACATATGTGTTTAAACGTGGAGGTCTGAGTCCTACTGTTTCAGCTTGTCTAGTTGGCTAATGTAATCTGGAAATCCCCTGTCTCTGCCGTTTGGACACTGGAATTATAGGTGGGCTGTCGAACCTACCAGTGATTCATATGGGTGTTGGGAGTCTAAACTCAACTCTTCAGGCTCTCAAAGGAAGACCTCTGCTATCACAACCCCTGCTCTTTAGAGTTTTTCATTTAAGAATATAATTTTAATTAGAGTAGAACATTTTTATACTAATACTGTTTACATAGGATTTCCTTTTTGAAGCAAAACAGAAAACAATGCAAGCCCTTTTCAGATGTCTCTTTATTTATCACAAGTATCTGTCTGTGTGTGTGTGGTTGTATACCATTCTAATGTTTAAAATGCTCCAAACCAAATTTATAACAGATTTAATTTCAGTATTTTGATTGAGTTTTGTTTCTCTTTGACAACCAGGCAACACTTCATTCCACAAAGCAGGATTAGTTTTCTGACAGGCTAAGCAGGAGAATGTGGGTTTTATAGAGAGAGAAGGAAGGAGACAAGGAGAGAGAGAGAGGGAGGGAGGGAGTAGGGGGAGGGAAGGAGAAGAAAAAAAGAAAAAGGCAGTTGTTTGGGGGCAATCAGATTATTTTTAATCTAAGGAGTGAAACAAAGGGGGCTTGGCAGGGGCTGTTTAGGGCATCTGCTTATTATCCTTCTCTCCTGATTTCTCAGAAGGCCAGATAACAATTTACTTTTCCTTTAAAGCCGTAGAACTTGACCACCAGTGACTCCATTTTAACATCTAGCCCCATGGGTTAGGGTTGGGCACCTAACAAGTATCTTCTATCTTGTCAGCACTGTAAATTGAAGCCACCTGCCATGGTGAATTGACATTCTGTATTGATACTTCCTTAATGTTTGGGAAGCACTGTTCGGGAACTCTCAGAAGTAGGACTTCTGGGTTAGTGGTGGGTACCAGCTTCAGCCCAGATGAGGCCCTGGCATTGCCTGTGCTGGTCCTCAGAGTGTTTATCCTGCGTGCCCTGCCCCGTGGCAAGTAGACTCTGGTCCCCAAGTATCTAGACAAGCACCTTGAGTCTGTATTGTCTTAACAGCTCCATGAGTGTCCTGGTCTCCCATCTCAGATTTTATAAGGAAGATAATTCTTCTTCTGTTTTCTTGAAGACACATTTTCTAGTTTTTGGTATGGTAAAATGTCCACAGACTTCTGCTTCTCTGTGATTTTTATATTCATGTTATATTTCCTTTTCTCTCTCTCTTTTTGTTTTGTTTTGTTTTGTTTTCAAGACAGGGTTTCTCTGTAGTCTTGGAACTAGCTCTTGTACACCAGGCTGGCCTCTAACTCACAGAGATCCACCTGCTTCTGCCTTCCAAGTGCTGGGATTAAAGACATGCGCCACCACTGCCCGGCATGCTATCTTTTTTTGTGAGGATCTTTGTCACTGATATCATTTTATAGATTTTATATTATTTTTATATATCAAAACTTTCAGTTTATATATGGATAATTATTTTGCTTTTAGAATTTGTTTCTTTGGCTTTAATAAATGATTAATTCCAGGGCTGGAGCCATGGCTCAGGAGTTCAGAGCACTTCCTGTTCTTGCAGAGGACCTGGGTTCCGTTCCCCACACCCCCATGGCAGCTCACACCATCTGTAACTCCAGTTGCAGGGGATCTGATCCCTTCTTATCTCCTCGGGCACCAGGCATGCATGTGGTACAAGACACACATATGGGCAAAAACATTCATACACATAAAATAAAAACAAATCTTTTTTTTAAAAGGTTAACTTTCAGACATTTAACAACTGTTTGCTTTTTTTCCCCTTTCGACGCTTTTTGTTCTGTTTATTTCTCTATTAGCAATTTATCTCAATTAAAATGTAAGGCATTAAGTCGCTTCCATTTTTAGTAGCAAGAAAAATCTTTTTTGAAATTAGTTTTTAAAGATATTTATTTCCGTTTTTGTTTGTATGGGTGTTTGAGTATCTGCCACATGTGCGGGTGCCCATAGAGGCCGGAAGAAGGTACCAGATTCCCTGGGAGTGATGATCAGTTGTGAGCTGCCCAGCATTGGTGCTGGGATTCAAACTCGGGTCCCCAGAAGAGCAGCCAGTTTCCTTAATCATCGCAGCATCTCTCTAGGCCCCGAAACTCATTTCTTTACTCGTGGTTTTTCCCACCTCTGCCGTCACTTCTTAAGATGCCACATGTTGTGTGTGTAATCCCACAGTTTCCGCTCATGTCTGTATCCTTTTTACCATGACTGATGCATGCTATTCGGCTTGGAACAAATATACTTTGATATCAACTAGAATAATCCTTACTCTTTTTTTTCTTTTTTTCTTTATATATTTATTTATTAAAGATTTCTGTCTCTTCCCCACCGCCGCCTCCCATATTCCTCCCCCTCCCCCAATCTTTGTTCTCCACTGAAGTCAATCATCTCTGCTGACTTCTCAAGTCCGCTAGTGAGTTTGAAGGACGTGTCATTAAAATGACGACACCCTGGGAGGGTTTATGTTTATCATGAGATATCTGGTTGGTCTCACACAAGCTTCTATGTATGTGTTGCAAAGATCATACAGAGAACCGAAAGCTCATCTTTTTTTTCCTTACAGGTCTTTGGGTATCCTTAAAGTTACTGCCAGGTGACCTCACACAGGTTCAGAAGAACTTTTCACACCTGGTGGACCGATGCACAGCCATCGCTCGGAAAATGGGCTTTCCAGAAATAATCCTGCCAGGTACACATTTCGCTTGAGTCCTGTTTTATATTTCTTTTTCATGTCAGAAGGAAGGACTACCTCTGTTCAGACAGTTGAGGTGATCTGGGTCCCTAAGAGGACATCATTTAGGGTCAATGGCATCAAGAAGCTGGTGACAGGGAGTTGCAGCATCCTAAAAGACTTTTCAAGGGGCAGGACCAGGAAAATACCGTTAAGTATCACCCAGCACTCTCAGCTCATTCCTTCCCGTCTTGTTCTGCACACATGCTTCCCCAACTTGACTTTTCACTCCGAAAGCAAGCTGGCGATCCAGGGTCTGCTGCAGTCCAAGAGATTAAGCTGCAGCTTCACAGACAAGCGCTTGCCCCCTCATGTCATCAGCTATGCTGGGCCCCAGTGCTCACCTCCGTCTCTGTGAGATGCTCTGCTGTGCTCCCATGAGCTCTAACTGTGCTCTGCTTGCCCATTCGCCCAACAGTTTCCCCGTTCGTGCTCTGATCCCAGCTTTTCGCCAAGTGTTAGTGACCGGCATTTGTAATCTCCCGAGTCCACCGACTTCAGACATTAGTTCTCTAGTATCGACAGTAGTCGAAGGGACTCGTACTCAGAGGAATTGGATTAATAATCCTATGAACTGATTTGTAGTAATGAGACTTGTGGACAACTAGTCATATCACATTTGAGAAATTCTAGAAAGCCAACTTACCACATACTACATGAGAACAGATCTTTTGAGAGTTAACTGGGGTTTTTTTTCACCTTTAGGAAGTTAAAGGGAGCGGTAGCTTGTTAAACACACATTGCCTGAGTGTGAAGGGTGTTTTAGTGAACACTCAGCATGAAGAGTAAGAATTTCTGCAGAAGGGAGGCGGTTGTGTCTTCTTTCATAAAAAGACATCCATTCTCCTTCCATTGCAAACCTGTTTCCACCCAACTATAAATTCACCAGCATTTGGGGAAATGTTTCGCATTTTTTACTGTTTAGTTTTGTTCTTGAGACATGTTCTCAGAGTGAGCCCAGGATCACTTGGACTTGAAGCCGTCTTCCTGCCTCGGTCTCTGGTTGTTAGAACTATAGCCGTGCACCTGCTGCAACCAACTGTCTTACTGCTCAAACAATGAGCTGCCGACAGTATTCTCTTGTAAAGACGGCTTTACTGCTAGGCAAGACAGGAATCTGAAGCTAGAGAAATGTATTTTTTAGACAAGTTGACTTTCTTGGAAATATTGAAATACTTTTTTATCAGCAGCATTAACTCAGAATGCCAGGGCTATAATGGGCTTTAAAGCTCCATCTTGGGCAATGTTTTCCACGCTGCTCTGTGGATTAGCTCAGTAAGATCCCCTGAGGAACTCTACAGGACAAAGTGCATGGGTTCAAGATGTCACTCGGTGGAACACTTGCTTAGCTAAGATGAGTCCTGGGTTTCCTTCCTAACATTTAGGAAGAAAAAAAGGAAGGAAGGAAGGAAGGAAGGAAGGAAGGAAGGAAGGAAGGAAGGAAGGAAGGAAGGAAGGAAGGAAGGAGAAAGAAGAAAGAAAAGAAAGAAAGAAAGAAAGAAAGAAAGAAAGAAAGAAAGAAGGAAGAAAGAAAGCAGGCAGGCAATGGCTAGCTTGATTGAGTGGTGCCTGCCTGCCTGCCTGCCTGCCTGCCTGTAATCTGACCACTGTGGACACTGTGGAGAGTGAGTCAGGAGGATCATGAGTTAGAGGTCAGCCTGAGCTGCCCCTGGTGATTGGTCATTCCCTCCTCTGAACATTGCCTTCTCTTCCCACCAGGGACACCAGAGTTCCCTTTATCCATTCCGCTGGGACCTTTTCCAGGCACCTTCTGTTTTCCTTAGTCACTATTCAGTGTCTGGTCCTTAAACCCTGCTTTAGTTACCAAGGGCCGTTTTAACAAACACCACAGAAAAGGGCCCATGACAGTGGGGATTTACTCTTTCACCTTTCTGGAGGCTGCGTGTCCAAGACCAAGGCATTTGCCTGGATTCCCTAGGCTTGCAGACAGCTATCTCTCTCAATGACTGTGCTCTCATTTCCTTTTATAAGGGCATCAGTCAGATTAGAAAATGACCCAATTTCACTTTAGTTACCTTTTGAGTAAATGTCCTGTCTCCAAATACAGGCATTCTGAAGGCCTTGGACTTAAACAAATGAATGGAGGAAAGTCCAGTTCAGCCCTTAATAGGTTAGCTTTCTCTGTCAACCACATTCTGTCCCTGGGTGAGGGAACACTCGTTTGACGTATATCTGTCGATTGTCTTTTGTCCCCATCTTTAGCACCAAGTCCTTTGGACTTCAGGCCATCTGGCCATCTGTTTCCTCCATCAAGACCCTGGCTTACTCTTTCTACCCCCAATTTGCTCACGCTCTTCTTTCCTTTTAACAGATCACTGTTTTCACAGTGGGACTGCCTGTCCCCGTGAGTGTACTGCTAGTGTTCCTGGGTTGTATTTTTCAGAAACCATGCCCACATTCAGCTACCTGCAGAAACAAGGGGCCTGAAAGACACTATTAAAAATCCGCTGGACAGCCTAGCAACATATAATATGTGCATATTATTAGACATGTCTTCCTAAATGTGACAGGGAATTATTATTGAAAAGAATTGGGTCTCTGAGGTGGCTCAGTGGATAAAACTCTTGCTACACAACCCTGATGACTTGTAGAATCCATGTAAAAAGCCAGGTGTGGTGGCTCATATCTGTTATTCCAGCATTCCTTCAGTAAGACGGGAGACAGGAGAATTGCCTGGAAGCTTGCGAGGGCAGGGCAGCAGTTGAAGTAACAAGAGAGGCACTGCCTCGAAAAGAACATGGAATGGGGAAACTGAGTCCAGAGAAGTTGTCCTCTGACCCCCACACTCATGCTGTGACAGGCGCATGTACATTTATGTGTACACTAATTTTAAAAAAAACCTTAATCTTTTTAAAACATGTATGTCAAAGCCATCTGGATACTTAGTAAAGGTGGAACGAGGGAGCAGTAAAAGACTTCCGTGGAATGAATAGGTCGTCACCACCAGACAGTTTTATGTTTAGTTTATCTTCTGCGTGTTGTATCGTGTGACTTTGGAGAGAGTTGTCAGCAGCACTCACCAGAGGCTTGTCATGTTGCAGGGGATGTCCGAAATGATATTTACGTCACCCTGATCCACGGGGAGTTTGACAAGGGGAAGAAGAAGACACCTAAGAACGTGGAGGTGACCATGTCTGTGTTTGATGAAGACGGCAGCCTTTTGGAGGTACGCAGAGTCCCCCACAAATGTCACCGCCATCACACTTGCTCTGTACTGGCAACAGGCTCCCGTTCAGACTTCCCAGACTTCCATCGGTGCTCCGCATCTCGGGGTTTAGCTCTTCTTTTCTGGGGTTTTGTTCTTTGGGTTTTGTTGTTTTGTTTTGTTTTTGTTTTTGTTTTTTTCCGAGACAGGGTTTCTTTAGCTTTAGAGACTGTCTTGGAACTAGCTCCTCTAGACCAGGCTGACCTCAAACTCACAGAGATCCGCCTGCCTCTGCCTCTGCCTCCCGAGTGCTGGGATTAAAGGTGTGCGCCACCACTGCCTGGCTTTGTTTATGTTTTTTAAGGTAGGGACTTGCTAGATAGCTGAGGCTGCCTCAAACTTGTGGTCCTTCTGCCTCTGCCTCCTGTGTGCTGGGATTATAGGCATGCGCCAGCATGCTCAATATTTTTTCATAAGGAAAATACATACAACCTGACAAAGTTGTGATTTTTCATGGACAGTTTTACACCTGGAGCCATTTAGGTTCTCCTAATTGTGTCTTTCCAACCAAAGAAAGCCATTCATCCCGGTGCTGGCTACGAAGGCGTCTCGGAGTACAAGTCAGTGGTGTATTACCAAGTCAAGCAGCCTTGTTGGTACGAGACTGTCAAGGTGAGAACTCTGTTTCTAGCACCTTCCACTGTTGACTCTTGTCTAGATTCCTGTCTTAAATCCCAAATCCTTCTTACCGTATCTGGATGTTTCAAATAAGCTGTAGTAAGAGATGAATGTGATGGGCTGGGATGGTGGTGGCAGGGATATGATCAAAATACATTATATGAAATTCTCAAGGAACTCACCTTTTATTTTTTTATTTTTATTCTTTATTTTTGGATTTTCAAGACAGGTTTCTCTGTAGCATTGGTGCCTGTCCTGGAACTAGCTCTTGTAGACCAGGCTGGCCTCTAACTCACAGAGATCTGCCTGCCTCTGCCTCCCAAGTGCTGGGATTAAAGGCGTGTTCCACCACTGCCCAGCGGAACTCCCGTTTTAAAAAGCTTACTTGGTGGTTAAGAGTTCTTTCGAGTATCTATTTTTAAGAAACCCACCATTCTGAAAGCATATTCTCATTCATAAATACATAGGTACTGGAATAGAGAAACTTGTGGCCATAGAAAGGTGGTAGACTGCCAAGATGCTGCAGACAAGCAAAGATGTTAGCCCTCTTCCATCAGCTTCCTGTGTGTTGTTCTTGTTGGCCCCTGCCCACATGTTTAGGGCCTCTTCACTGTTAGGAAGGGTTTCGTGAATTGCAAGGTGCTTTCAGATCCTGTATCACCTTGTAGGCTCCCAGTAGCCTTAAAACTAGACAGGTGAGTAGGATATTGCCATGACCTCTTCAAGAAGGTGGTAGCCCTAGGGAAGTGACTCCTGAGGTCCCTGAACACCTTGGGGTCAACCTAAAAAGGTCACTGAATGCGGGGCTGCAGCAGCACCTGTTGTGAGGTGGACAAGGTTCTATGAGGGTCTACGCAGAAGATCCACAGACAGAAACATTGTCTTCATATCTCACGAAGCAGTTATTTTTCACATTCTTCTATAGTCTGTATTTTTTATGATGCTGTTCATATGAATTTATTTTTTTTTTTTTTGTTTTTCTTCTCACTCTGTAACCTGGCTGTTGACTGAGGTTTCTATCCTGACCAGTCCTGCAGCCGTTCAATCCCAAAGAAACACACAGAGGCCTACATTAATTATAAACTGGTTGGCATAGTAGCTCAGGCTTTCTTATTAACTAACTCTTACATCTTGCATTAACCCATAACTCTTGTCTGTGTTAGCCACGTGGCTTGGTACCTTTTATCAATAAGGTATTCTTATCTTGCTTCCTCTGCATCTTGGGTGATGACTGCAGACTGAGCCTCTCCTCTTCCCAGCATTCTTCTGTTCTGATTGCCCTGCCTATACTTCCTGTTTGGCTACTGACCAGTCAGCATTTTATTAAACCAGTACAAGTGACAAATCTTTACAGGGTATAAGACTATTGTCCCACAGCATCTGGCTATCCTAGAAACTGCCAAAAAGTCCAGGCTTGCCTTGAACTTAGAGAGATCCACCTGCTGAGACTAAAGGCACATGCCACCACTCCTGGGCATATTGTGCTTTTTAAAGCTACTCATGTCAGGCATTGTGAACTGCTCTGGGTTTTAGAGTAAATGCTGTTGCACTTTCTTCTGTAACTTACTATACTACTATGTACTACAGAAAACTTCTCCAGCCTGGTATATATCTTCCCTTCTCTTATAGACACTTGTCACCACTGTATCTGTGTGGGACTTCCAGTTGGGAAGGTCCTATGTAGACCTCAAAATCCAGGTCTTGTTCCTCTGAATGCTAGGCACATAATGTGTCTAAACTCCAAAACTCTGATAAACAGCAGAATGGTCTCCAAGATTCTTTCTGCCTGATAATAGCTCTAAGAATGAAGCCTGCTAGGAAGCCTGGGTTCTCTGAAGGAACTTGTGCTGAGATAAGATACAAAAGCCAAACCTAAGTCCCTTTTCTCAGAATACTTAAGAGGGAGGATTTGTATATGGTCACCTGGAGCAAATGGTAAAGGCTTGAAGCAGGCTAATTATCCCGATTGGAACAGTGCGGAATGTATGCAGAGTCAAGACATCATGCTGTACCCTGTCCGTGTGTATGGTCCTGCATCAGAAACATGCCTTACAGTTGAGAGGACCTGTCCCCAAGGCAGCTGTGACTTCTGACTCCCCCGCTTCCTGCAGGTCTTCATTGCCATAGAGGAGGTCACACGCTGCCACATCAGGTTCACCTTCCGACACAGATCATCTCAAGAATGTAAGTTAGGGCTGTGGCCGCGCGTTCCCATTTCACATGGACTGTTTCCTGGCATGCTTTGTGAGTTTGAAAAAGTGAAAAAAAAATGGCCATTTTAGGTCAGAATTCACAAGGTATCGGGGAAAATAGAATAGTGTACTGTTTTTGTTTTGTCGTCGCCCCCCCCCCCACCTCGTGCTTGGGATTGAATCCGCAGCCCTGTGAGTGACAGCCTTGCACCTTGAAGCTGCATCCCTAGCCCTATACTTTTGTAGCTGCTTATTTTTGAGACAGGGTCTCAATATGTAGCCCAGGGTGGCTCCCAACTTGCATTCTTCTTGCCTAAGTTTCCCAAGTAGCTGGAGTTAGGAGTACGAGTCACCGAATTCCAGCTTCATTAAAGGAGTTAAGGCAGGGGAATGACCATAAATGAGCCTTATTTGAGAGTTCTCCCTCCTACTGTGTGGAGAAAGTGTTGGATAGCAAAGGTGGAGATAGGAGGAAGGATTTACGGAGGTAAACTGGTAGGTGAGCATGCCTTGGCCTTGGGTAGGAACAGGGCGGGGAGAGAGAAAGAGACCAGACTTCATAGATATGTTGGGCATGGCTTTGATTGACAGGACTGAGATTGGTCAGTACCACCATTCTGGTTTGGATGATTCAGAAGATGGTGGTCTTATTCATCAGGCAATATAGAAAATAGTCCATATGTGAAATATCAGGCATTCTCAGTTTGGAAGCAGCTGTGACACAGACAAGCTTCCTGCTGGCCTGTGTTTATTATCCTGTGGTTGAACGTCACACCCAAGAGCGTGTGAAATTAATGGCCACAGCCGTCTCCTCTTGGTGTCCATCCCGATGGCTTAGGCATATCCTTCTGTCTTTTCAGCCAGAGATAAATCAGAGCGAGCTTTTGGGGTGGCCTTTGTGAAACTGATGAACACGGACGGCACCACCCTGCGGGACGGGAGGCATGATCTGGTGGTATACAAGGTGATGCTCATAGACCCCGACATCAGAATGGCTCAGTACACACCTGTTCCCTTTGAATGTGGTTTTTCAGGCTTGTTTGGGATTTATATGATTAATTTCAAAAATCTATTGGAGGTTAATGTATCTGCCCTCTAAAGTCTAGAGGGCCCCTGGTCATACCTTTGTGGTTTTGGCACCTCTCGTGGAAGAGTGAGTTGCATGGCTGTTGAGTCTTCCAGGAGCATCTCACTGTATGGAAGAGGGTGTGCCTTGGTCCTGATCCTGTTGTCCATCATCCATGACATAGACAGTGGAAGGCTGTGCCTGGCTAGAACCTGGCAGGGTGTCATATATGTGGTTTTCATACCACTGTAATCAAGGCCCTATTTCTTTATTGTCTGGGCCCTGCTGCTTTTCCTTGCTCACTATTCTGAGTCCTACATCAGACTTTAGAATTTAAAGTACATACCTGGAGATCTCAGTTCCCCAGCAGTATTTGGCAGATGGCAGCTGATGCATAGCAGGCAGCTCGTATGAGTTGTGCCTCACCCATGAACATTCTCTTTCCTTAGCATGTCTTTAGTCTCTGAGAGTTTCAGAATCCACAGGGAGCTAGCTACTCCTTTCTCCATTGGCCCAATGACTTATACACATGTCCTTGTATAAGTTCAAGAGGATCAAACTCAACCTATTCTGTAATGCATGTATTCAGTTCTGGCAGAGAATGGGTTCTCATTTGTAGTTCATAACTTACTGCATTGTTATTCCATGATAAAGTTATTTCTTCTGCAAATTCTGTAGGAAGATAATATCTCAATTTTAGGGAATTATAAATACAATTTGATAAAGTCACAGATCTCCTACTAAGAATGGTCATGTTCTTCTTGGGGAGCGTATTTCTTATGAGTGTATGAGTCATATTGCCCAGTTTCTGCTTTTTTATAACGTGCTTCCCCTGCAGGGTGATAACAAGAAAATGGAAGATGCTAAATACTATCTGACCCTGCCTGGGACCAAAGCAGAGATGGAAGAGAAAGAACTCCAGGCATCCAAGAACCCATCCGTCTTCACACCCAGCAAGGACAGCACGAAGGACAGCTTCCAGATCGCCACACTCATCTGCTCCACAAAGCTCACTCAGAACGGTAGGTGTGGAGAACCCATGGGCGCAGATGGTCCTGATCTGGTCCTCCTAGGCTTCTTGCTGAGACTCGTTGGTGCTAGATCATGTAGCCCTGGGTCCTCTAAAAGAAGATGCTTGGCAGTTGGATTCTGCCCTCTGCTCTGCGGTGATGTTCTAGGTGCTGTGTTAGTTACTTCGCTGGGACAAAATGCTTGGCAGAAGCCATGTGAATAAGGAAAGTGCATTTTGGCTCCTTGCTCAAGGGCATAGCCCATCACAGCGGGAGTGGGGGGTGAGGGAATAACAAGGGAGCCCTGAGGCAGCTGGCCACAATCAGGAAGTAGATAGACCCTGATGAGTGCTATTGCTCGGGTTTTGACTTTCTTTCTACCTTCTATTGAGCCGGGGACCTTAGCCTGTGCAATGATAATGCCCACATTTTCAGTGGGGCTCCCTGCCTCAATTAGCACAATCTAGAAACTCTCTCACAGATATACACTCAGAGGTTTGTCTTCCGGGTAACTCTAGATCCTGTCAAGCTGACAAAATAAGTTGTCATCACAAATTCTTTTTCATATCAGAAAATCTGAGCATATTTGTGAACAGGTGCAATTCAGACATCTCATGGTACCTGCCTTCCAGGCATCCAAAGTAATGCTGCGAGTGTTGCTTGTTTTTTGTACTGAATGGCCAAGGAAAAGTCAGTGATGAGAGGCAGATACGGCAGTAATCAGTCTCTTGCCTAAACGGGGAAGGTAGAGAGCTTGCTTCTGTCACTTTTTATTTGTTTGTTTGTTTTTGGACCAGGGTCTCACTGTATAGCCTAGACTGGCCTAGAACCAGTAGTGACCCTCCTGTCTCTGCTTCCCAAGTGCTGTGCTCATACGTATGAGCCCCATGCCCAGCGGAGTTCCTCTTTCTCCTAGTCTTCCCCCTTCCATGGTTCCAGGAAACCAGAAATTCTCCACAAAATCAGTAGCATAGTTTAAATGAGGTTCTATTTGTTTCTCATCAAACCTCTGGTATCCGTTTTAACCTCTTATATTTAACGTGGCATTTGATAGCATCAACAGTTACTCATTGAACCTGTGCCACGTACAAGGAGCCCTGCTGACCAGCAAGCTCAGAATTCACTGCCCAGGGGTCTTCCCTTAGCAGGTCCATATCCCAGCATGTGTGCACAGGATCAGGCCTGTAGACATGAGGCTGATTTGGGTTGGCCCAGGAGAGCAGGAACGCTGTCTTAGGAGAGTGTCCTGCAGTGGGAATGCACCCTAGGGACTCAGATCCTGTGCTCTTGAGAAGGACTGAGGAATCATGGCTGGCTGGAAAATAAGGGTGTTGCTTCAGCTTGGGCCTCTGAGCTCAACGGAGTGAAGTTCAGAACTAACCTAGTGGGAAAGCAAACTCGCTTAAGGCCGAAAGCCTCCTAAGCTTCGTACAACAAACTTGTGCCAGTCTCGTAGGCCTCACTGGGGGCGGCGGGGGTGGCGGTGTAATACATTGCTGACAGAGTTAGGTAAAGGTGTAGTCGTCACGGAAGCTGCCTGTAACTGGTAGACATTGAGCTTGGCACTCACGAGGTGTGCATCATCACTTACACGTGAGGATGTTTTCTCAGATTTACAATGCGGACACACTGGAAACAGCCCAAATGGCTGGCAGCTGGAAGCCATTTAAATTTTAGAGTTTTGATTAAATAATAAAATGTATGTGGCTACTACTGAATACTGAGTTTTAAAACATAGTTAATGGCATGGTAAGCTTGTTATTCTCTGCGTGTGATTCTGATTTTGTTTCAATGTGCAGAAGCTAGTTAGAGCTAGATGACCTCTGTCAGTCCCAGCTCTGCAGTGACCTCCTGCGGTTTGGTTGCTTCATCTTTTTTAACGAGATTAATAGGGCTGGAGAGACGGCTCAATGGTTAAGAGCACCGCCTGCTCATCTAAAGGTTCTGAGTTCAATTCCCAGCAACCACATGGTGGCTCACAACCATCTGTAATTAGATCTGGTGCCCTCTTCTGGCCTGCAGGCATGCATGTAGGCAGAATACTGTATATACAATAAATAAATCTTAAAAAAAAAAAAAAACAAGAGTAACAAATAGTACGTGTTGAATATCCCTTATCTGAATACTTGGGGCTAGAAATACTTTGGATTTCAGCATGTTAATCTAGGAGAAGTCTAATCACGAAATCCATTAGATTTCTGCATTTGATAAGCTGTCACGTTTAGGATCAGATGAAACTGTAATTAAACCCCACCCCCGCTGCCCCCCTCAGTAGTCACATGACCTAAAGCAAGTGATTTAGTGTCGCAGAGCCTGTTCTCTCCTCTGAAAAACAAAATCCCTGCCGTACAGTTGTGACGTCAGAGTGAACTGATGCGTTGTGTGTTCATGGTCATCCATCAGGTAGGAAATTAAACACTGGGAGTCTAAGTTTTTCTTTTCTAATGATGACGTCATCATCAGAGAAACATGAGTTCCAGTCAGTGGTCATTTTGTGTTCTTGTACATCAGTAGCTGATTTTTTTCCCTCCCTTGAGGGACTAAAGAGGATCACAAGGTTTTCTCTGATTTATATGAGAAATTATAAATTGAAATAACACCCGAGGTACTTCTTAAATTAGCTACCATGAAGGGCAGTTAGCTTTTAAAAATCTTTGTGTGTATATGGTATGCGTGTGTTCATGTGTGTGCGGGCAAACATGTGGCACATTGTACATGTATAGGTCAGAGAACACCCTGGATGTCAGTCCTCACCTTCCGTTTCATTAGAGACAGGGTCTCGTGTTTTCTACTGTGTGACCCAGGCTGTCTCATCATAGGAGCACTGGGCTCTTTAGATATGCCCTCCTACAGCCAGATTTGTGGGTTCTTGAGATCTGAATTAAGGTCTTCCTACTTACATAAGAGCACTTTCACCTCTTGAGCCGTTTCCCCAGTCTGGCAGCAGTCATCTTTCCTCGAAAATTCTGTAGCGATGTCTTCTAATGTCTGCGGTTTGTGTTCTTCCCAGTGGACCTGCTCGGCTTGTTAAACTGGCGCTCCAACTCTCAGAACATTAAACACAACCTGAAGAAGCTGATGGAAGTGGAGGGAGGAGAGATTGTTAAGGTATGCCTGTGTGTGCGCAGCCGCAAGTAGGCATTACTGTCTCGCTAGTCCAACCGTTCCAGTTAACCCAACATGAACTGTAAAACTTAGTATCAACATGGCCAAACCAGTGTGCCAGCCTTACCAAAATATTTGATTCACGGCTATTCTCTTAGAACCTAGTGACTCTTCGCATGTTTCTCCACAGCAGGTAGCAGGGTGAAACCTGAGTGACCTCTATGTCTCTCTCACCTGCAGTTTTTACAGGATACCCTCGATGCACTTTTTAACATCATGATGGAAATGTCAGACAACGAAACCTACGACTTCCTTGTGTTTGATGCATTGGTAAGCCGTTTAGCGTATTAACCAGTGTTCTTTGACAGCTCGTTTCTAAAGAACCATGAATACCGTCAAGCAAAATTATTTGTATACAGCTCTCTGAGTATTTCCTAAGCCTAAACTCTGAGAAGTCCACATAGGAACAGACATCTTCTCTTCTAAGCTCTTGTTTTCTCTTTGATCTCACCTCTTTGACACACTTTCAGTTTCTCCTTAGGGAAGACAATGGGTTTAAACACATTAGAGATTGGCAGGCACGTGAGCTTCTTAGACCACTCTCCAGGCAAAGCCCTTGATAAGGACCGATGTATGTCCTTGTCAGGCCATGTCAGGGAGGCTGCCTTCACCATCGGAGATGAAGCTTAGTGTCCCGATGAACCCTAGGCAGCCAAGCAGACGAGTTTTTCACACAGTGTTTTAAGCCTATTTTAACAACAGGAATCAGAACAATGATACTTAACAAAGGGAAACTGGGAAAAGCAGGGGATGTCCTCTGAACAGGAGGAACCAGACACACCTAAACCAGGCCTTTCCCCCTCACTGTTGAGGATTCTAGGACAGGATTTTACCTGAAGATTGGGGCTGAAGAGGTAGGTAGAATGTAGATGTGTGATGTGTACCAGCATGAGGAACCTGGTCTTGTAAGCAGCGGATCAGGGCTAATGTTGGAAGACGGAGCAGGCAATGCTGACACCTTGAACTGTTCTCAGTCATCGTCTGTGGGGGGAGAGAGGCCGATCCGAGACCATGGAGGTGAGCCAGTGGGACAGGGCAGCTGGCCCTGGGCATAGATGGCAGTCCCAAGTGCCACTTTTATACACATTGATCCTGTGTGCCTTCCATAGACTTAAGGTGACACAGAGAGAGGAAATGGGGAGACCGCACTCTGACATTCACGGGGTATTCATACTCAGCGTGGGGGGAAAAAAAGTCTCATGGGAAATCATGTTCGTTTCTGATTCCCACAAACCACTTTCTCTATCTTCCTCCACCCTCTCCAGTGTTCTTCTGTGTCTTAAGTCACCTGAGCACCCCTTAGTGACGTTAGCTTTCCCACAACCAGTGGATATGTATGACCCATAGCAATATGCCATACACATATAATCTGACTATGTTAAATGTAAACCCTGATGCTTAACCTCAGCTTGAACAGTAGAATGGAAATGCTGGAACAACAATCAAGAAAGGAAAGGCACATAGAGGTTAGACTCCTGCCAGTGGGCAGGGTATCCGGGCCATGTAGAGCTGCTGCTAATGTTGGCCACCGTTGGCAGGTCTTCATCATCTCGCTGATAGGGGACATCAAGTTTCAGCATTTTAACCCTGTACTCGAGACCTACATATACAAGCACTTCAGCGCCACCCTGGCACACGTGTAAGTATGACTCAGGGCACTGGCGTGTTGTTGGGGTTCTCTTCCTGGGGCTGGAGAGTTGAGAAACAAGAGGAACCTTCATGCAGTCAGTGTGACTGGAGGGTGGGACCGTGTTCGCAGCATCTTCATGGAAAGAGGCTGTTTGAATAATGTGAAAATATGTCGGCGGACCAAGGTGTTGGACTCCATTCTTTCCTTCAGGATTTTCCTTCTTAAAACCCCAGAGCATGGGCTGGGGAGATGGTACAGTGAGCAAAGTGTTTGCTGTGCAAGGGCCTGGGTTTGATTCCTCAGGACCCACGTAAAAAGCCCAGTATGGTGATGTGTGACTGCAATCCCAGCACTGGAGTTGGGGATACAAAAGAATCCTTGGGGCTCGTTGGCTAGCTAGTTCCGTTGTGTTCGTGAGCTCCAGAGAGAATGGAGAGTGATTACGGAACACACCTGATGTAGACCACATACAACCTTTTGATTCCTTCCCCACCTATCTTTTCATGTATTTGTGTATGTGGTGTGCCTGTGTGTGCATGTATATGGTTGCACATGTATGGTGTGTGTGTGTGTGTGTGTGTGTGTGTGTGAACTTGTGAGTTCATTTGCATTTGAAGGTCCAAGGCTGATCTTCCTGGACCACTGCCCCAAAACATGTGGATGTAGCTAGTTTAGTTAGATGACTTGCTTCTGGGAACCCCGTCTCTGCCTTCTGAGTACTGGGTTACAGGTGAGCCCCTAGACCTACCTGACATCCACTTGAATTGTGGGGCTCCAAACTCTAGTTCTCACGCTTGCTGCTTGAATAACGAGAGCTTTAATCACTGAGCCAGCCACTAGCTCCAGCTCTGTCATCTCCTGGTCCTTTTCAGTTCCACCACTGGAGACTTGTGCCTTGAGGAGTCAATTACTCCCAAGTTTTCCCAGTATTTCCAAGAAGGGAAGCGTCAAAGCTAGACAGATGTGGAAACAAGGCAGCAGTTAGTTTGCCTGCCTAGGCATATGTGAGAGGGTGGACTCGAAAGCTAGGCCTCCTGCTTCTCAGTTCACCACCATCTCTTTCTTGAGCAGTACTGCCCATGACAGTGTTACTTTCTTGCCTTTTTTTAGGAAACTCTCCAAGGTACTGAACTTTTACGTGGCTAACGCTGATGACCCTAGCAAGACGGAATTGCTCTTTGCTGCTTTGAAAGCCTTGAAGTACCTGTTTCGTTTCATCATCCAGTCACGAGTGCTCTACTTGAGGTAACGGTCCCAGTAACAGGATGCTGCTGGCACTCACCTACATCCCCTTGTTCCTCATGCTCATTGGTATTCAGCTTTGTGAGCAGTTGATTGGTTAGAGAATAGGCAAAGTTCACGTCTTTATAGGAGACCACTGGAGAAGGTCCATGTGAGGTCCTTCTGCATCCAAGACTCACGGTGTAAATGGCTCAATATGCTGCTTGCTCTAAAAGTCTTGACTGGTGATGATGGCTGTCTTAGGTTTTTGTTTTGTTTTGTTTTTTGTTTGCTGTGAAGAGACACCATGACCACAACAACGCTTATAAATAAAAACATTTAAACTGAAGTGGCTCACTTATAGTTCAGAGGTTCAGTCCATTATCATCAGGATGAGGACCATGGCAGCATGCAGGCAGATGTGGTGCTGGAGCTGAGAGGCCTACATCTTGACTCAGAGGCCACAGGAAGTCAACTGACACATTGGGCAGTATCCTGAGCAGCATATGAAACCTTCAAGCCCGCACCCACAAGGACACACTTCTTCCATCAAGGCCACCCCTCCAAATAGTGTCATTCCTTTTGGGGGGCATTTTTTTTTTCAAACCACCCCAGTGACTTTTAGAGACAGGTCTTTGACAAGCCAAGAGCTTGGGTCTAACCCAAGTGTGGTGGCTACACTGGGGGAGTTTGATTAATGAGATAATAAACTCTAGCTTTTTAATGATCATCTCACTTCCTGTTTAGAAATGGATTGTACAAGGCTGAGAATGGAGGTGAGTAGCCCCTGGTAGGCTGCTCACAGGTGAGACACCATGCTCCACTGCCCATGCAAAGGGAGCGCTGGGTTGATTCAGGAGGAAGAGCTGACTGGATGCTGTAGGACTTAATGGGGCAGCAATAGAATGGGAAGGACCTTAGACAACCTTGAGGTTGGGGTGGGCAGTGATAGTGTTTGCTGAAACAAGAAAAAGAAAGTGGATGTCAGCTGGGGTTTGTAGACTAGGTTGGAGAGCTTCTCTACAGTGCCTGCGACCTCAGCTCAGATCAAGGCTCGATGGCGTGAGACAGGGGAGAGGAGGGAAGGAGGAAGGATGCTGGAAGAGGATGTGTGCACGGCTGGTTTAGATCCCCGCAGAGTCTGCTCTGGAAGCCTACGCCTCCTGTTCTTGATATGAGCTGAGGAAGGCAGCCATGCCCGCTCACCAGCTACCTCTGCACAACGACTTTCTGCAATGTCCCTCCCGCAAGCAGTGCCCACAAATTTGTCCAAGGCCAAGTTACTCTCCAGGCTTGGGCCCTTCAGACAGCTCCAGTTGGCAGTCCTGGTTAGCCAGCTATAGACTGGGCCTGGAGTCTTTACCTACATGTGACCACTTGGCCATTTTCAGAGTCTTGATGTCTTTGTAGTTTATCGGGCTGACTTTTCATCCCATAGAAACAGTCCTGGGGTGCCCCCAGAGCTGTCTGCACACTCAGAGACGGTGGCCAGCAAGGCACTGACCTCTAGTGTTGCTTTTTGAGACCACAAGTCTATTGTGCATTTTCTTTCTTACCAGATTTTACGGTCAGAGCGAAGATGGAGATGAATTTAACAACTCGATCCGCCAGTTGTTTCTGGCTTTCAACACGCTGATGGACAGACCGCTAGAGGAAGCTGTCAAGATCAAGGTCAGCCTGGTGACCTTGTGGGTGACCCTTTGAGGGCCCCTCGTGGAGATGTAGCTGGGCAGGAGGGAAAAGTGCAGTATGCTCTTGGAGAACGGAGAAGCATAGTAGAACGGGCAGAGGCAGAGGGAAAGTGGGTGTGGCTGTGGCTGCTGGATAGCTTGCCTGGCAAGCATGAGGTTCTGGGTTCAGCCACAGCCCCGCTCAAAACAAACATACGGTAAAAGTAACTACGTCTACATTTTAACTTTCATATGCATTTGTGTCTTCAAATGTCAACTCACCAAAGACAGGCTACTACCGCTTTAGGCTCCACTTGAATGGCTGTTAGAAATCCTGCTTGATCCCTTGATTTTTAGCAAACTGATCCCCCTGGTATCCCAGGTGGCAGTTTCTCTTTTCTGTCAATTCCCCCAGCACACATACACACACACACACACACACACACACACACACACACACACACTCTTGCTCGCACACCTCCTTCCAGACGTAAAGAGTCACCAGCAACAGCGACTGTTTTTACAAAAACTATGAGCCATGTAATCCCTGAGGATTTGAAGCCTACCCTTTCCTCCCTCTCCATGGTGCCTTTGTGGGAGAAACTTGAATTACATCCCCAAAAATGTACTGTAAATACATATAGCCTTTTGGTAGTGAAAACCAGAGCCTGGGCCTCCTGCATTTTTAGAAGGAAGCTTGTGGGAGGTCATTCTCAACAGCACCAGCTTCTCATAGCAAGGGCACCTGCTTCCAGGTTTTCATTTAAACCCCAGGTCCTGCCTTTCCTCCAGAGCTGCTATGGTGTATTCTGGTGTTGTTTGTTTGTTTGTTTTTTCTTGGCACTGATTGCCTCTGTGCTTCTTACAGGGAGCAGCTTTGAAATATCTCCCTAGTATAATTAATGATGTCAAACTGGTGTTCGATCCCATGGAGCTCAGGTGAGTAGCAGAACACTGTCTGTGTCTCAAAACTGACAGGAGCAAGCCCGATGCTGGGCACAACCTGGCTGCTACATGTGCTTTGCTCTAGCAAGGGTTAAGGGGACACCTGCTTGTGTTCAGTTCTGCGGAGGAGATAAAAGAACACCCATGGCTGGCTTTTGGGAGAGACTTGCACACTGTGGGGAAAGAAGCAGTGCACAAGAAAGGAGCCTAGGGATGCAAAGTACGAAGGTCCTTAGAGAGGAGACCTCTAGAAAAGGCCTTTTGCAGAAGCCGAGGCGTGAGGTGGGCCTGGAAAGTGCTGATATGTGTGGGTGTGCCTGGCTCTCAAGGGCAAAGCCAGTTCTAAGGCAGAACCCTCTGAGGAACAGGATTGTTTCCAGAGACACTCTCAGATTAAGTCTTAGACCACCTGTGGGCTTTACAGGCCCACTCCTGCTTAGCTCTGAGTGGAGATGTGTGTAGGGGTGTCTTCAGCTTGGCCCAGTGAGCACACTGACCCTGCGGCTTTTCTTCCAGTGTGCTTTTCTGCAAATTCATTCAGAGCATTCCCGACAACCAGCTGGTCCGGCAGAAGCTGAACTGCATGACCAAGATAGTGGAGAGCAGCCTTTTCCAGCAGCCAGGTAAGCCTCCCTCAGAACCTGAAGCACTTAAGGAAGGTCTCATTGCCCTTGGCCACACGTGCGCCAGAGTGGTTGTCACCGAAAGTGTTTCTGTGTCCGGTACTTCGTTTCTCTATCCTCTGGTCCATCTAGCTCAAATTAGATTAGTTTATTTTGACAAGTGACTCCTCTGTTTAGATTGACTATGGCAGCATGTTTGCAGCACATCTCTGTGATTATTGTTTTCACAAGAGACCGAAAACTGAATACGAAAGCATTAACAAATAAGCTGATCAATGGAATTTTACAAATGAACTCTTAAGAAGAGCAGGAGATCTTGTGGGGTATAGACCCCAGATCAGGCTGACGTCTATAACACACAGCGCTTGCCTGTGTTTTCTTTCCTTGTTTAATTTGTGTTTGGTACCAGCAATACACTTAGCAGGTTGCTGGTTCTTTCTTTCTTAAAATATTTATTTATTTAGTCTTGCTTTTTTTTTTTTTCAGATAGGGTTTCTCTGTATAGCCATGGCTGTCCTGTAGACCACGTTGTCCTTGAACTCAGAGATTCACCTGCCTCTGCCTCCTTAGTGGGGGGGTTAAAGGTGTGTGCACCACCACAACTAGCCCATTTGCTGGGTCTTAAGGACCTCTTGGGAAAGCAGTTTAAGAGACCGAAGTTGGTTTAATCTTTCTTTTTCCTAGTGTGTGTGTGTGTGTGTGTGTGTGTGTGCGCGCGCGCGCTCGTGTAAGTGCCCAAGGAGGTCAGAAGAGGTATCTGATCCCCTCGAACTGAAGTGCGAGGTGGCTATGAGCTACCTGGTATGGATGCTGGGAATCAGGCCTGGGTCCTCTGGAAAAGCTGCAAGTGCTCTTTAACTGCCTAGTCAGTTCTCCAGCCTGGTTTAGTGTCTCTGATAGCCACTATTGTTTCTTTGCTTTTTTACCGAAACAGTTTCCTCTCTGCAGTGTGGACTGACCTCAAACCCTAGATCTTCCTGTCTACTGTAGAGTGCTAGGATTGTATGCATGCACACACACACACACACACACACACACTATATCTATATATATATATATAGATATACATATATATTATGTACATGCATATTTTTTGAATATTAATTTTTTGAATATTAAAATCTGGAGAAATTGTTATATAATTTACACACTGTTAGTGCTTAAGCGTATGTCTCAGCTGTAGAGGGAGAGGTCCTCCATCGATCCCCAGCACTGGAAAAAGAAGACATGTGGCCAGTGCTCGCATCTGCCTTTGGGAGTTTCTTAAACTATGAACTCCAGGGACAAGGTTGAAGCGTCATGCCTCAGTCCACGAGCTCTGTTGGCTACGCTGACCTCAGGGGGTTCAGAGACAAGTATAATTGCAGAGGGGGCTATCGGGGCTGGAGGTAGCCATATGCGGGCCACTGTGTGAGCCGTTTCTGTTGTTCTTCAGAGTGCAGGGAGGTGCTACTGCCACTGCTGACTGACCAGCTCAGTGGCCAGCTGGACGACCACTCGAGCAAACCCGACCACGAGGCAAGCGCCCAGCTTCTAAGCAACATCCTAGAGGTCCTGGACAGGAAGGATGTGGTGAGTGCAGTGATCCTCTATGGCCTGAGCCTCTGCTGCTCCCTTTGTACCCAACAGGAAACTCTGTGGCCTTCCCCATCCCAGGCAGTGTAGGAACACTGAAGTAGTAGAGCCAGCTGTGTCCCTTTTAGAACAGACTAAACATGCCATACTTCACATCAGGTTGAAATACAAGCAAATAACTTGGTGCGAGGGACCTCACTGGCCTGATTTTCCTAGTTGGCTTACCACTGAGGTCATTGGCAGTGGACTCTTAAGTTGGTCAGGCATAGTAGTGCACACTTTAATCCCAGCACTCAACAGGCAAAAGTAGGCAGATCTCTGAGGTTGAGGCCAAATTGATCCTGCCTAGTGAGTTCCAGGCCAGACAGGGCTACTTGGTAAGACTCCATTTCAGAAACCAACCAAACAAACAAACAAATCTCTATGTTCACGGGCTGGGGAGAAGATGTGGTGGGTAAAGAGCTGGCTATGCAAACATGAGTACCTGAATTTAGATTCCCAGCACATGTGTAAATCTGAGTGTGATTGTACATACATACATGTAAGCACAGCACTGTCATGTAGAGAAGGGCATTCCATTGGGGCCCACTAGCCAGCCAGTCTAGGCAAAATAGTGATCTGTAGATCTGATGGGAGACACTGACTCAGCAAGTAAGGCAGTGGAAAAGAAAAAGGCACTGACCGCTACATGCACACACAACCACATAGGCACACACACATATGCACACACACACACACACACACGTGCATACACACCCCCTAAGATGATTGTCCTGCAGAAACCTCTTGTGCCTCTGACTTGGCGTATCTTCTTCTGGATAGCGTTGCCATCTCTAGAGCCCATTAGTAATGTTTATATTTTTGGTGTTCTCTGTGAACTAGCCTCCAGCCCCACCTCTTGGATACAGGAGCTGACCCTGCCTAGATTTCCCATGTGCTATGTTCAGGCCCCAGTGGAGATTCTGGGACACTTCACAGAGTATGTTCTCTTGAGCATCGGTGATACAAAAGAAAGAGACTCTCACCCCAAACGTCAGGCTGTGTTCCCTATGATGGTTGCTGGGGCCCGGGGTTCCCACAGGGTAGAGCCCCACTTGTGCTTTTTGGCCTCTCAGCAGTGTCTTTAGATTCCGTTCTGCCAGGAAACACAAAAGATAACTCATTTGTCTAAGTCAACTCTGGCTTCACTTGACTAGGTCAACCATGGCTCAATGGCCCACCTTGTCATTCCTTTGGGTGCTTTTATATTTCTACTACGCCATTCTAGGCCCCAGAAGCATGTGAGAATGCCATTATTTTCTCTAATTAAGCCCTAAACTTATCTTTTCCCTATCTTTGAGCCCCAGTAGTTGACATACTGTTTGTACAGTTCATTTGATATTTATTAATGATAGATAACCTTTCCCCTTTTATCTTTACACACACATGTAGATATCACATTATAAAGTTGAAAACATTTTCCCATAGTACTGTGTTTGGGGATTTGGTTCCTAACCAAGAACTTGATAGTGGACTGATTGGTCACAATTTTTATCCACTACCAAGTTCTTGGTTAGTAACCATATGTGTATATATATATACACATATATACATACCATGCAGCTCATAAAACACTGCACAGGTTCAAGCCAGACAGGGAGGGTCCCAGCACTGAGAGGGCAAATGGGCTCCCACTCCTAACCAAAGAAACTGTGTTTAATACCATCGGCAAAGGGTAAATAGACGCTCTGAAGCTGAATGAGTGTAATCAACCCCAGGAAGGGAAGGGATTAGAGCGTGTACGTGTATTCAGCGCTGTTTGGCGTTAATACAGTTGAGCCCAGTAAGAGCACTGTTACCTCCCTTTGTTCTCAGTACTGAAAACTAAGAATAAAGGCTTAGAGTCAAATGTGACTGTTGGGACATTAAGTCCTAGTGTAATGATGCCCCGTCTTCTGTAACACCACAGAGGAGGGAGCCTTAACAGACCGTTAGTTCCTGGAAGTTCTAGAAGCTGAAAGTCTCAGGTCAGGGTGTCAGTATGACTGAGCTCCAGTGGGGACACTCTTGAAGACTTGTGGCTGACTGCTCCTGTGTGCTGTTGCGTTCTCTACTCCATGAGTACGTGAAGCAATAGGCAGAGAATGTACGAGCGAATGCACACCCTCCCCCTTGGTGTGTCTTCTGGTAAGGCCTCTGATCGAGTCAGATCAGGACCCCAGCCTCGTGACTTTCTTTACCTTCCAGAGAACCTCTGATATCATAGGGTGTTAGGGCTTTGTATTAAGAAGGAGTCCCAAACATTGATTGCACAACAAACCCCTAACCTTGGGTTTTGTGTTATTGGGGGGGGGGGGCGGTTCTTTTCGTTTGGCTTTTGGTTGTGCTTTTTCTTTCGCTTCCCGTGCCTGTGCCTGACTGTCCGGGGCACCCCTCATCTGCTCTGCATCCTTAGCTGGGATGACATCACAGCTGTGTTTCTCTCGCAGGGCCCCACGTCAGCACACGTGCAGCTGATCATGGAGAGGCTGCTGAGAAGGATCAACCGGACCGTGATTGGGATGAGCCGGCAGTCCCCCCACATTGTGAGTCTCCTGGCCGCCCACACGCAGGCACAAGGTCTCATCCGTTCCGCCGGTGGCTCAACACTGAACCCACGTTGGCCCCCATATCACAATTCTAGGTTCTAAGTAATTCTTAGCTTCTACATGAGTCTTATATCCCAGGTTGGATTGGATTTCCTTCAGAAAAACCAACCACCGACCTTTTAGTTCCAAGGAAAAAAGGCAGACGTCATCAAGAATTTGTGATCAGTATGTCTTTAGGAAAGCCGATATCCTATCCATTATTTAAAAAGTTTCAGTAAAGGGTGAAATTGAGGCCAGAATAATGACAAAAAGCTAAACGGTGTCATGATTAAAGTGAAAAAACTTCTATCGATTACACTGAAAGCTGAGGTTATATTTTAATTAGAGGACTGTTCTGTATGGTCCGAAGAATGATCTAGGAAAGACTTGGTTTTGATTTTGAATGGTTGACTTATTAAGAATAAACAGCAAGTAGCAGATAGTGAGAAGCAGCAGACAGATAGCAAGATATCGTTAACCAGGAGGTTACAGCATCCAACAGAGGCAACTGGAGTGATCCAATTGAGAGAGCAAACCAAGGTAACATCAAAAAGGAGGCTCCCGTGCACCCAGCGGCTATTAGCTGCTGGAGTTAAGGCAGACAGCTGGAGTTCTGCAAGAGACTGAGCTTTCTCTCCAGGGCTGATCTTCTGGCTTCCCCTTTCCCCTTTAAGCACTTCTACCACCTGTTCTCAAAGGCACAACGTTCTTTTGAAAGTTGCAGTTGTTTGTGTGTGTGTGTGTGCGTGTGTAAGAGTGCCATGATGCACTCGTGGAGGTCAGATAGCAACCTTCAGAGTCTGTTCTTCCACACTGAGTCCCAGGGAAACTGAGGCCATCAGGCTTGGCAGCAACCACCTTTCTGGGTGAGCCGTCTCACCAGCCCAAGGATAAAAGGTTATCAACAACCTTAGCTGTTTGTTATTTATCTTTCTCCTGGCACAGAATTGGGAGCATGGGCAGCCCACCCCAGGTAAAAGGGTTTGGGGAGAACATTTGCAACCAGCAGGCCAGAGTCTAGGCAGTGTTATATGTCCATGGGGACATCTCAGTGTCCAGAATGGTGTTTTTCTCATCTTACAGAATTGTCTTTTTTTTTACTGAAATGACCAGTGTTTCTTTGAAACCTGGAAAAGTTGACTGAGAAGCTAATGAACTAAGGAGCTCTTTACTAACTAGGTAGGTTAGTGAATAAGTACGTTCAGTGGCCTTTCTGCCAAGTAGTAGCTGCGCTTTAAATATTCAAAGGGAAATTCTCATTCACTGAGTCATGGTCACATCAACGTGAGCGCGGAAATCAGTGAGATACATATAAGTGAGCAGTCAAGTGTAAGTAATAACTTATCACATTGTAAAGGATAATTAAAGTCATATTAGATTCCTATAACTGAATATGTGTATATCTGTGTATGTCTATGCATGTGCGTATGTTTATATGTTTGTGTCTGTGTGTGCATCTATTCCTAAGTAAGACAGAACCAAGGGAGTTTACAGGTAGAATTTTGACTATATGAATGACTATGTGATAAAGAAACTGTAGGGTTTTTTGAATTGATATAACTTGAAAAGCAAACGAATAGTTTAGAAAAAAATTATTTGTCTTTCATTTGGTGCTATACCTTCAAGATAAATGTCAAATGAAATGAAACATTCTGTGTGAAAAACTTAATACTAGATCAACCTGAATAAATGGGGATGTGCCTGGTTTTCTAAAGAAAGGGCCCTTGAGTTTTCTAATATTAAAAAGGAAGAAAAACTGGGTTTTTCCTACTAAAAATGTAAGCCCCTATATTTGAAAATAGGTCTGTGAGGTCAAGGTCATCCACCACGTGTAGAAAGTCATTAATAGACTTCCTATACAAAGACTACTGTAAGCCAATAAGAAGATAATGTTTTAGTTAAGTAAGTAAAGAATGTGAACAAGTGGGATGGGGCACAGCTCAGCTGAGGGAATGCCTGCCTTCTATGCACAAGGTCCCCGGTTTAATCCCCAGTACTGAATGAACCAAGCATGGCTATATGCACCCAAAACCCAGTAGTGGTGAGGTGGGACAGGGAGATCTGAAGTTCCAGATCATTCTCTATTACATAGGGAATTAATTGGAGGTGAGCCGGGGCTACCAGCAACCCTTTCTTAAAAAGCAAAAACAAACAAGACTATGAATAAAGATCAAAATGAAAATAAAATGGCCCAAACCACATGGATGGAATGTTTAATTCAGAGCAGAAGAAACACAAATCAAACAAGTGAGATTAAATCTAAAATCCAGAGTAGGCAAGAGCCCAGAGACACAAATAGTGTTTGACTGTTATATAACTGCAGAGTATATGATAATTTGTAAAATATGTCCAAAGCTTGGTACAGTCATTTTACATTGCCTTATGGGTAGGAAAACTAAGCCTTTTAAGTTAAGAGTCAAAGATGGACATCAGGGGAGTGTATGGCTGTATTTCAACATCTCTGTGCTAAATTCCTTTAAATTTGTGAAACTTTTGTATTTGCATGAGCACAGAGGGGCAGTACATTTTTCCTCTGGCTAGAAAGTGAGAGCTGTGACCCTAATTTGACAGAAGAGTACCTACCATAAGTGTGCAGCTTGGACCTTGCAAGTAGATATTATAGTCACCATGGAGTTCCTCATCCACTTTCTTAGAGTCGGTGCAGAATCCCATGCGATTCACAGATTATATGTAACTGTCCAGAGGGATCTAGAATCAGAAATGGCATGCACGGGGTTCCTGTCCTCCTCACCTTTTCCCCCTCAGAATTGCTGCAGATTAAATATCCCTTGTCAGAAACAATTGGGACTAAGGGATTTCAAAGTGTAGAGTTTAGGGTATTTTGGGCTATTTGCATAGATTACTGATTGTGCAGCTTCGAGCCCTAAACCTCTAAACCTAAAAAGCTCCAGAAATCTAAAGCCACCCCAGCATTGCAGATATCCCCTGACAATCACTCAGCTGGCACAGTCCGTTTCCTGTCTACTCTTCCTCCGCCATCCCACCTTCAGCTTTGACTCGTCTGTGTACGCCAGACATTGTCCCAGGAGCTTCTCCTCAGCTCTACCCCAGCCAGGGACTCAGAACCCACAAAATAGTTTATCGTAACTGGTAACCTAGTTGAGATCTTAATGCCCCCACACCTAGAGGAACCCAGAAGTCACGGCTATCGGTGGGATGCCTGGGGCTCCAGGTTTCCTAATTCACACTAGGATGTGCTCGATTGAAGCTGAATGGTGAAACCCGACCTTTAGGCCTTTGGAAGTCCTGTTTCCAGTTCCAGGTGTCTTTCTGGAGCTCAATCATCAAAGTCCATGATGCCCGAAGTCTCTTTTCATCAGGTACTCTAAGAAACCTTGACTCTGCTTCTCTCCCTGCAGGGCAGCTTTGTGGCTTGCATGATTGCCATCTTACGACAGATGGAGGACAGCCACTACAGCCACTACATCAGCACCTTCAAAACCAGACAGGACATCATTGTAAGTTGTCCGCTCTGCGTCTTGGTAAGGCTTAATGTGTTGGTTTGGTTTGAGACGATTCTTTTCTCATAGCACAGACCAACCTCAAACTCGTGATCCCCCTGCCTCATTTCCTGAGCTCTGCTAGACCCCTCTGAGGATTGTGTACATTTAATGACCGGTAACTGAAGATGAGCATCATGAGTTCAAGGCTTCCTTCCTAACCCCTGCAGTATGAATGGTTGCCCGCAGAGGGCACAAAAAAGAATTGATGCTTATTCAACCTGTTAGAATTTAAAAAAGAGTTCAGCACCCACACTAAATGATCATCACATGTGAACTTAGTGTGGGCCCTTCTTCTGAAACACTTAGGACATCTTTTTGCTCTGAAAAAGTCTGAATCTCATCTAAGAGGAAGTTCCTTGTTCCATGCATGGAATCTCCGTGGCCTAATGTGCTGCTGGTTCCTCAGAATGTGGTCGGCCACCGTCTCTTTCAGGAGGAAGCAAGCAGAGGTTACCCCCTCTGTCCCTCACAGCATTTGAGAATGATTTCCTGTTGCTTTAAAAAGAAAAGTTATTTTCACAGTTTCTATAAGCATGCATCCAAGGTCTCCAGGGACCTGTTGGCGGGATGAGCTGTTAGTAAAGATGTTCTCTGGTGTGCTGAGCAAACTGATGCTCGGCTGGGTCCAGCCATCCATGGGTGGCTCACTCTTTCTTCTCTATGATCTAGATCAGAGGTTCTCATCCTGTGGATTGTGAGCCCCTTTGTGGATCACAGATCAGATATCCTGCATATTGGATATTTATATTATGACTGATTTATATAGCAGTAACAAAATTACAGTTATGAAGTAACAATAAAATAATTTTGTGGTTGGGGGTCACCGCATCATGAAGAACTAAATTCAAGGGTCATGGCATTAAGAGGGTTGAGGACCACTGGTCTGGGTTCCCACCCTCACCCTACTGAGCATGCCTATTTGGTGAAGGATACAGTCCTTCACACACACACCCCGCCCCCATCCTCCTTTCTATAGTGCCCACATGGTATAGACAAATAAGAAATGGGTAGAATTTATTATTGTTAGTCTGACACCGACCTTCATAGTGTTGGTCCATGTGTCTCAAGCGGGGATCTCAAGTAGATGCAGCATGGTTCAGGAGTCAGCCATGGGTGGATGTCTCCGTGACTGTGCAAGGGGATGCAGTCAGAGGAAGGGAGGGGTGTAAGCCGCTGAAGCAGCCAGGTGCTCTCCTTCAGAGCAGACGGTATAGCGGGTAGCACATGTCTGAACTGTGACCATTCTGAGTTCTTATGAAACAAGCTAACTGGATCTTGCTGAACCGGTTCCCTCTTCTCTAAGATCCTGTCTACATGGAGGATTAGTGGGAACATTGACTAAATCCATGCATGGAAGTGCCTGGCCTTGTGCTGTGCTCGTAGGCAAAGCCTGTGCAGAGTAGCTAACCATAGTGCTGTTCTTGTGGGCTGTATGGACATACCCTAGTGACTTTCTTTTCTTTTTAATTTCCTTTGGAAAGCAGGTAAAGTAGGGATGTTCTGAGTTCGCAGACAGACAATTAGAATCCACATTTCAAGGTTATTCTGTGCTACATTAGCCTGGGTTACATGAGTCTCTGTCTCAAAATTGATGAAATACTTATACATCATCTCTCACATATATATACATATATATATATAAAATCTCATATATGTGTGTGTATATATATATATATGTAAACAGGTAGATGGTAGAAAGGTAGGTGATAGGTAGGTAGGTAAGTAGGTAAATACATGAATAGATAGCTGGAGGAAGGGCCTCCTGTCCTTCCTATACCATGTTCCTAGCACTATGCGATGTCCTTTTCTTCGTAGGATTGTATGCACAGAGTCTGAGAAGCAAACAACTCGATTTTCTTTTCAGCAATCCCAATGGAAAAAGTTTAAATTTAGCTAAGTAGCAAAAAAATGGTTTCAAAACCTTTTAGGTTTTGTTTTCTTTAGCCCGCCTATTCTATTTCTGAGTTGCTTGTTGCTCACATCCTCCTTTGGACGAGACTGGCCCTCGCTACTGCCCTGTGCTCTGCCCACTTGTGTTATCCCTTACTGCGGTTCTCACGGGCCACTGTGATGCAGCCTCTTCTGCAGGATTATAGCTGTACTGCGTGTGCAGCACGGAGTCTTCTGTCCTAACTGGTCATGGGGAATTAACTAGGATCTGTTGAAAATGCATGACTTGCTGGAGAGCTGACGTGGACTGGTCTCACAGAGGACCCAGGTTTCGTTTCCAGCATCCACATGCAGCACCCAACTTCTGTAACTCTAGTACTAGGGGATTTGACCCCAGCTTTTGGCCTTCATGCATGCCAGGTGTACGCGTAGCATACAGATATACATGGAGACCAAACATCCATACACATGAAATAAAAGGCTTTTATTAAAATGATTATTAACTCCTTTTTAAGTTTAACGAATATATTCAGACAGCACACAGCGGGGGGGCTAAACAGATAAGGGTTGTGAACATGAGGTCAGTGCCCCCAACTCCCCGTTGCTTCCTATTTTCTGTGGCCATTTAGTTTTCCCCAGCCTTGTGAAACCATTCGTAAAATAAGGATGATATTGTGTCCCTGTTTTCCTTACAGAATCTTGCTGTGAAACAAAAAAATCAAATCATAGGCAGGGGCGCTGTCAGTCACCAACCATCACACCACTCAGGAGACTGAGGCACGGGGCCAGTTTAGATCACATCTTGTCTCCTGAGACAGAAGCAAAAGCTAAATCCAATTGCCCAACAGTTATGTATAAGAATGCATTGCCCATGCCGGGCAGTGGTGGCGCACGCCTTTAATCCCAGCACTCGGGAGGCAGAGGCAGGTGGATCTCTGTAAGTTCGAGGCCAGCCTGGTCTACAAGAGCTAGTTCCAGGACAGGAACCAAAAAGCTACGGAGAAACCCTGTCTCGGAAAAAAAAAAAAAAGAATGCATTGCCCATGATAACTTTCTGGAGAAGGCCACAACTATGAGACCATCAGTGCGTCGTCCCAAAACAGGGGTCCTTCTGTCCACGTGCTGAAAGACAGACTATGAATGAGCCTGTTTGCCAAACCCTTCCTCCACTGTTCTCCACAGGACTTCCTCATGGAAACCTTCATTATGTTTAAGGATCTGATTGGGAAGAATGTGTATGCCAAAGATTGGATGGTCATGAACATGACACAGAGCAGGTGAGAGAGCCGTGGTCATTCTGAGGCATGTGACCTTGAATATGCTGGTCTGCTGTACATACGTCAAGTGCAGCCATGCTTCAAACCTGGCACCTCTGAAGAGCACCTTCCCCCTTCCCTGACCCCGATGTGTGTGCTTGGAAACTACTTTTCTCTAGAGTACCAATTTCTGTTTGTTGTCTCTGCTTGACTGGGTCAGTGTTCTCCTATTAAATCTCCATTGGCCATCGGTATGCCCTCTCATTGGTCCATGTAAGCACCTCATCCTGATGGTCGAGCCTTTCCAGCCACGTCCTCTGTAAGTGTGTGACTTGTGCGCCAACCGAACTTCTCCTGGTTCCTTAATGTGTTCCCTGTCCCACACCTCTGCTTCCGCCCGCCATGCCTTCTCCACTGTCTCTGGACAGCAACCACTCTTCCGTTCACAGGACCCCTCTGAAACATCACCTCCGCTGGAGACCTCTGTCCCCAGCTGTCGCTGCTCTAGAGGCTGTGAGACCTGGGAGAGTGGAGCCTATTCAGACAGTTTATGCTCTGAGGGTTGAGAAAGGTCACATGGGTGATATTCTCAATAATTCAAACTGTGTGTCATCACAGAGACAAACCACATGTTTTTTTCCGTAGAGGCGTATAAAGGAGGGTTTAAACATGTAGTTGAATAGCAGCAGCAAGCAGCCCTGAGTGCTCTGAAGCGGACTCACTCTTACCCACTACACCTGGGAGGAGCTCAAAACCACATCCCAGGGATAATTCCATGTTTTGAAGGAACTGAGATCACAAAACCCTTGTCTTGTTTTTTTGGAGTGTTCTCTCAGTCACTCAGAATTCTCCTCGCACGACTCCGTGCCGGGACCACATTCAAATACCCAGCCTCTCACCAATGTCTGTCGATCTTCCTTTCTTCTGGTTTCCTGTATCTCTTTGAAACTCTATCATGGAATTCTTTTTCATGTTCTCTCTTGGAAAGCAACTAGCTGTCTTACGAAGGGTACCACTACTGTGCTGCAATCTTCTTAGACCAGGACTTAGGTTTTGAGCACGGCACCTTTGTCTGTACCTTAGAATTGCTACCTAGCAACAGATGCTTGTCAAATAGACATGAAATGAACTGAATACATACATATATATATATACCTATATTATATATCCATATCTAATATTTCATTATAATATATGATAGCTTTAGAATGTTGCTAATGAGCCCACAAGCCAGATCACTGTAAGCATTGTCATTTCTCCATAAACCTGATAGAAAGTCACTTCCTAATTAGTTAGAAGATTCGAGAAAATTTTCATGAGAATGTTGACATGTACAAGTAAGTGTCACAGTGGAATGCAGACCACCTGCTCTGGTGCACATCCTCGGTTAACTGGCCCTGCGACCCCCAAGCTCTTACAGGCCTCCAGAGAGACCAAGTTTGTATCCTTCCTTCTGGCCTCTAAAGACACTGTGAGGTTCTATTGACTTTCCCAGCCAAGCCCAGGCGTTTCAGTCCTGCGTCCAGAGTAGGTAGGGAAGCATCTCCAGAGGCACAGCACTGCCCTCCTCATCGGGCCTTTCCTCCCCAGGGTTTTCCTCCGTGCCATCAATCAGTTTGCTGAAGTTCTCACCAAGAGCTTCATGGACCAGGCAAGCTTCGAGCTTCAGGTAAGCATCCGCCCATCTGGAAGGCCTTTGATCACAGCAAGAGGCCGTGCCAGCAGAAAAGGCAGCATTTCAGGTTTCATCACTGTCCAAAAGGGTTTTCAGGGGCCTGCCAATCTCCTAAAGCACCCATTCCAAAATAGAGTTCCCCAGACGCAGTAAAATGGTTTGGTTTTCATTGTGCACAAAAGTAACACAAAGAAAAGGCAATGTGAGCAGTACTGTCATAGAAAGTATATCTAAATGAAACTACAAATACAGTGCCCTCTCTGATCTCAGAGGCTCAGTCCAAGAGCACCAGTGGAAGCCTGACTCTTCAATGCTAAGCCTGTCGTGACTGTGTTCCTATGCATGCAGACCTATGGCATGTTTAATTTGGCAATTGTATGAGGTTAACACCAACAATGAACAGCGAAATAGAATAATTACAGCAGGACACTGGGAGTTAATGTGAGCGAGAGTTGGGTGAAATACTGATGGTTTCGGACCACAGTAAACCGGAGGTCCTGAAACTTCAGGAAACGAAACTACGGATAAGTCTCATCCTGGGGGCTGCTCTCATCCTCAGCCTTCGGGGTTAAGCTTTCGTGCTGATTCTGTCCATGTAGGCATGAATGTGCAAATCAGCAATTTCATAAGCACACGGTCACTATTATATGAATACCTGCAAAACAGTCTGAGTGGGTGGTGCACACTGTTAACTTCAGCACTCAGGAGGCAGAGGCCAGCATGGTCTAATAGTGAGTTCCAGGACAGCGAGGGCTGTAAGGAGACCCTATTGCAAATACAAACAAACCCAGGCATAGAAGGATATTTGTATATGCACCCAGCAAAATATCAGTTCCTGGTGAAGGTACTTCAGGCCCCAGCTTTTGATGGGATTTAATTTCAGAGAACATTTTCTTGGTGATGTACCTTTCTTGTCATGTACTTTTTGTTTTTATCTTGACCTTTAAGCTAGAGCTTTATAACCAGAGGGGGATGTATAAGCGTGTGTGTGTGTGTGTATGTGTGTGTGTGTGTGTGTGTGTGCGCGCGCGCGCGCGCGCACAGACACACACACCCATGTACATATACAAATCAAAGTAGAAATGAGCCCATTAACTCTTTAATGATCTGTTCGTCTACTTTCTTTGCTTTTTCCACAATCTAAGACTTTTTTCCAATGATATTAAACATTTTTCATAATATCTTTAACTGCTGAATATGTTCCGTTACACTACTGTCCTGTGATATGGTAACTAAATTCTCCTTAGGAACATTCAGATTGTTCCTTGTTGTTGTTGTTTTTTGTTGTTACATTGAATAGCTGTGAGGGCCTTCTTTGGCTGAAATGTTTTCGACTGGCCACAGTTACTTTGTCAGGAAAAAAAAAATCAGGAAAGTATTTACTGGTTCAAAAGTCTGGCAGAACTGGAGGGCTTTTGATACATAGTGCCAGGCCACCTGCTATAAATAGGTACGTTTCTTGGCAGTACTTCTCCTGTGCCCCCAGGGCAAAGAAAAATGTAAAGTTTGGATTGTTTATTTTAAGGTTAATATTAAGCCTCAAAACTTTTAGCGGTGAGTAATTGAAACCCCAGAAGGAATGCGATGTCCTGTGGGTTTTACTTGGGTGTTTCACAATGTGACTCTCCCACACGTGGGTGTTTTATCTGGATCCTCACTGGTGTTATTTTCTCCTTTGCCCTGCCCACTTGATGCCTCCTGGAAAGCTCTGGAACAATTACTTCCATTTGGCTGTAGCTTTTCTCACCCATGAGTCCCTCCAGCTTGAAACCTTCTCAGAAGCCAAACGCAACAAAATTGTTAAAAAGTAAGTGTCCTTTAAAGGTTGGGTGACCGTGGGGAAGATGGTTCCTCTGTTTATGTTCAACAATATTATGTTGTCATAGAAATTACGAACAGGGACTTGTTCATGTTGTTGATGATGTGGGTTTTATGTGTTATCACTGACCTGACCTGACATTCCTCCGGATTCATTCTGTTTTTATTAATGCATCTCCATGGGCCTCCTCAGCCATCCCATGCTAATTGATGGAGCCTGTGCCTGGGGAGGTGCCCTTGCCTGGGATCTCCTGCCACCTACTGTCAGTTTGCCGAAATTGCAGGCACAGTGCCTCTTGACTTTGCAGAGAAGAAATACGATCTAAAACTATCCTCTAGCTTGATGACTTGGAATTCAAAATGGAGTTATATTCAGGAATGACAAGAAGTTACACATTTCATGGCGTTCCCTCAGGTCTGTTTCAGCATTCGTCGAGAGCCTGGAAGCTCAAAGGCTGTCATCCATAAACAGTCTGAATTTATTACTTACAGACTTTGAATTTTAGCTCTGTTTCCACTAGCTGTGATAGGTGGGAAGCTAGGCAAATAACTTAACATTCCTCAGCCTGTGGTTTGTCTCTACCAAGACAGGTAACTAAGGATTAAGATTTGGAGACTCGTTTTAAAGATATGGCCTGTTTTGTAGGTTTCCCTAATGGGTAAGTAATAGGAGATGCTTACTTTTAAGGAGGTTCCTTTGATCTTTCTCATGCATCTAAAACATCTTTGATAGCAATAGGACCTCTTTAAAGAAGGATTTGTATTGGATTAAGCAGCTACAAATGAAGATAATTGATTACAAATCAGAAACACACTCAGAGGGGTAAGCGGGGAAAGGGAGGAAGAGGGGAGAGAGAAACAGAGACAAAGAGAGCCAAGGGATGGTGGGGAGCTGGGCGTGGTGGTACCAGTCTGTAATCCCAACACTCAGAGAGGGTAGATAAGGGGATCAGGGGATCAGGGGCTCAGTGCTAGCCTTGGTAACATAGCAAACTTGAGTAACCCGAGACTGTTTTTAAAAAACGATCTAGTTAGGATTGAGTCTGGTTTTTATCAAAGAAAAATAGGCTGTGAATGTAACCCATGTAAAAATATGTGTGCATATCAGCAGAAATAAAATTTGAGAATTAAAACCAATCATATCGTAGTTAGACAGGTGTGATTTGGGGTCTTTCTTCATGCATGTTTTTTTGTAGAAATCAACCTACCATGTCCTTATAAGTAGACAAGACGTAGATATTCTTTGTTGACTTTAGGTATCAGATTTTGTTTACGTAAGTTTACCTGATATTAATAATGAAATTAGGCTAAGCATTTCTATTCGAATAGAATTGAAAGAGAATTTAAAATAGGATTGAAAATAAAAATCCTGGCTTCTGAAGATATTTCCAGTTAAGAACTTGAAGAAAATAATGTCTAGGAGATCCCTGGCATGAGGGGAATTACATAGGGCAGGGATTGTAGGACTAGGTGTGGCCTGTGCTAATTTCCCAGAAGAGTTTGCAATATCTACCTTTTAAGAGCTGGCCATTACAGAGGATCTTGTTAGATAGCCCAGGCTGGCCTAAAATTCCGCCATCCTCCTGCCTCAGTCTCTCCAGTGGTGAGCCTATAGGTGCACACTGCCACAACCACAAAACTTTCTCTGTGTTACCTTGTCCCTGCTGAGAATGTAAAGTCTAGACCTGGCCACAGGAGATAGATGACGAGCATTCTGTGAGGTCATACCTTAGCCAAGACATAGTACACAACGCAGCCTGCTGGTTGGCCGTCAGTCATGGCGCCGCCTCTATCTCAGACCTCGTTTATACGCTCACTTTGTCTCTGCTATGTGGAGACCAGGGCCCCTTTCGCTCTTCGTCACTGGGCAGTCAGTTGACAATATCTTCTCAGTTCTCTTTCGGCATTTGTGTTTGGTCCCGCCTGTTCCAGAAGACCCCTCGTCCTCCATGTCGCTCAGTTCTCTGTTGGAGCTTGTCCGGGTGCTGACCACAATATGAAGAAACTGTATTTATTAAAGGGGTGCAGCATTAGGAAGGTTGAGAACCACTGCCCTAAGCCATTCTATATAAGGGACTTGAATATATTTGGGGGTCTGGGGAGCTTACAGCCAGCCCCTGCGATGCCAAGGGGTGACTGTATTGCATGCTGCTCAGATCCACTGCAAATCCTTTTCTTATAATCTTCTTCCTAGATATGGGGACATGAGGAAGGAAATTGGCTTTAGGATCCGCGACATGTGGTATAATCTGGGTGAGTGTCTGACCTTGAACAGGCCCCTCCATGAAGTCTTTATTTTTTGCTTTTTGTTCTAAAGTAAGGTTTTGTTTTCAGTATAGGTTGCATTAAAAAACACACTCCCATAACGAATTCTTATTTTAATTTATATAACCCTGGGATTTATATGTGTGTATGTACAAAAGTAGACTTGTGGATTCCAGACTCTTGCCTGGGACATTGACTATGAGCCCCCTGTCACCATGTCATCCACACACACGTACAGAACAGCGGTCTGCCATCATCCCTTGATTGACATGGTGTGTCTATCCATCGTCCCTTGATTGACAGGGTGTGTCCACATGACAGTTTTCTTCTCTTATGGATCCCATGGAGGAAGACTGTAGTGATGCAGTTTTCTAATATCCTCATTTACTTTCATCTCAGGGCCTCACAAAATCAAATTCATACCATCCATGGTGGGTCCCATTCTGGAAGTCACTCTGACCCCTGAAGTGGAGCTCCGGAAAGCCACCATCCCCATTTTCTTCGATATGATGCAGTGTGAGTTCAATTTGAGCGGCAACGGCAACTTCCATATGGTAAGAAGCGTCAGCCCCTGGTCTTAGCACTGTGGAAAAGTTAATTCACTTTTGACTTACCGTCTCTAAATGGAGAGGCAGCAGTTTGAATGAAAACTGCATTGTAAAACTTACTTTTTAATATTTCATTGTGTAAAAGGCTTAGATGTATGGTTGGGTCCTCTGGGCCAGAGGCCGGAAGAAGTCTCTGCAGTCCATGTCTTTTTTAAGTCAGCACTGTCTCAAGAGAAAGAAAAGTTGGCCTGGTACATCTTATTCCTGTCTGCCATGCTACAGCCCAGCACTGATGGTTTAACCTGTGGAAGCAGAGGGAGGGGTGCTGTGGTCCAGCTCCCATCCATCCCTGCTTGCTTTTGAGAACTTTAGTTTGCAGGAGCTTTTTCTAGACCTCCCTTTATAGCCCGGCAGTGGTGGTGCAAGCCTTTAATCCCAGCACTTGGGAGGCAGAGGCAGGCGGATCTCTGTGAGTTCGAGACCAGCCTGGTCTACAAGAGCTAGTTCCAGGACAGGTTCCAAAACCACAGAGAAACCCTGTTTCGAAAAACCAAAAAAAAAAAAAAAAAGAGCCTAGACCTCCCTTTATTTGTCATATACTGTATTAGTCAGGGTTCTCAAGAGGAACAGAACAGATAGGTTGAATACAGATTACAAGGCGCATTTATTATATTAGCTTACGCAGTACAGGTCTGGGTAGTCAAACAACAACTGTCTGCTCCGTGGAGAATCTGAGAGCCCATAGCTGATCAGCCCATGAGCCTGGCTGCTTCAGCAGTTCTGATCTAGAGCTTAAAGCCTAGAGGATTTCTGGTGAACCTCTTGGGTCTTCAGTCCAAGTTGGAAAGCCTAGGAAGCTATGCCCCATTTACAGTAGAGATGGTTGGTGTCAGTGGTGGCAGCGATAGGGTAGATGCATTCACCAGGAGGAGCAGCAGCAGGCAGAGGGTGCATCTTTTTACATTCACCTGCCCACTCTTGCGGAGAGTCTTCCTCTCTTCTACCTTTGCAGACCTACACAAAGGCTTTTCCCTAGCTGATCCTAGGTAGAGCCAAGTTAACAACCAAGTTAAGCCAAGCTTCCCATCTGCAACATCTATAAACTGATTATCACTGAAAGGAAGATTTTTGTAGCTATGAAGCTGAGCAAAAATAATCCTATCACCAAGCCTCAGTCATGAAACAAAAATCAGATCGATACCCAGAGTAGTTATGTATACCTGTCGTTTTAGCTCTTAGGAGTCTGAGCAGGAGGCTTGCCATGCCATGAGTTTCCAGCCAAATAGAACTACATAACAAAACCCTGTGTTGAGTACAAAGGGGACAGTGGTTATGAATTTCTCTTATATGCATAGCAGTAACATAAAATAACTTTTCAGGTGTGTTTACATATAAAGCCGAGGACTGATACGCTAACCTGCTTTGGGATGTTTTGATAAGGCATGGTGCACTATCTGAGTGGGTGGGATGTAGGATAACCTCCATCTACTTTGGAAACAATTGGAAATTGGAAAGAGGTTGAGCCAGATCTAGAAGGACTGGCCACTGTCTACCATGCATTCTTGAGGATCTGACATTCTCATGTGAAATCCTGTCTTTCAGTTTGAGAACGAGCTGATCACAAAGCTGGACCAGGAGGTGGAAGGTGGCCGAGGAGACGAACAATACAAGGTTCTTCTGGAGAAGCTGTGAGTATCTCAGGGCAGCACGTTAGGCCGGCGGACAGAGCTTCTGCTGCCCGCCTAGCGGCCAGTGGGCAGGCTCAGCATTGCCCCATCACCAAGTGGTCCTCGGGGGTGTGGACGGAATCCACATGGCTGATGGTGTTCTCCACTGTGAGTTCATGCTTGTGTTTTCCAACCAGCCTGACCCGGGAGAACACAGAAGGTGGGCGAGAGGAGGAGACACACGCAGCAGTGGCCTCCTGCCCAGTGTCTTAATTATGAACTTTAGAAAAAGTGGGGCACCTCTAACTATGGCTTCAAAGCAGCCATTTCAAGGATGTCAAGGTTGATTGTATACTTCAGAATACCTCACATCAAAGAACTCTGAGAACAGAGCAATTGTCTCAGTCAGATTGGTCTGCACTCCATGAAGACGCCATTACTTCCTGAGCCCACGCTGTCCCTTTATCTGCTGCCTCCTCTACCCAGTCTCTACCTACTCAACCTTTTAATGCTGTGCACAGGGTGTGTACTGTGGCTAAAGTCTTTGGATCATGGGACTCATAAGTTTAAGTACAAATCCTCTTTTCACCACATTCTCTGATCTTGTCTGAGCCAATGAGTCCATCCTGACAGATACAACCAACCTCCCCACGCCATCCCTGTCTATAAGAGTAGTATCTACTTTTTAGTCTTATTCTTAGGTGTAAATGAGGTGGTGCATCAACATGGGGTCCCTTGCAGAGTTCACACTTTTAAACATTTGAATGCAGGTGGGCAATGTGGCTCAGCCAGGGAAGGAAGTTGACAGCCTAAACTTGAACCCTAGGACCCATGTGGGAAAAGAGAATCAAATCCTGAGATTGTCCTCTGACCACCACACGTCCCGTGACATGTACCTACCTATACACATACACAGAAATGTTTCTTTGTCTGTTTTTTAAAGGTCAGCTGCAATTATTATTGTCTAACCATCCTGTTCTGCAGGTAGCTGTGCACATTGGCTTCTCGTGTTCTGCGAACTTTAATACCCAGCCATCTCTGTTGCCCTTTGTGTCTCCTCTATGTCATTTGGTTATTCTCCTATTCTTGGCAGTTTGGGACCAGTCTGAGTGTGAACATAAGGACCACCAACTTTTATCTTTTCTCTTAAAGACTCCCTGGGGAGGTCCCAGCACACAGCACGTGGTAGTGGAACAAGATAAGGGAATTGCCTTCATTTTAAAGAACTGGGTGTCTCTATTCTGTTTGTAGACAGAATAAAATAATCTTTCTATCCTTTTTCAATGAGATATCTTGACCTTCTATCCTTCCTAGCATATAGCATTTTAAATTCTAGATTTGTCTAGAAGTTATGCACAGATAGAAACAGACAGATTTGGGGATAATTGGGCATGGTAGCACCTGCCTTTAATCCCAGCACCCTGGAGGCAGAGGCAGGAGAGTTTCTATGAGTTCAAAGTCAGCCTGGTCTACATGGTGAGTTCCAGGACATCCAAGACTGCATAGTGTGAATCTGGCTTTATAAAAATAAAACATAATCTGAGCTATATCTCAGCAGTAGAACATTTGCTCCCCACCACACACATACTCACAATGTACAGATGATAAAATATTCACTTAAAAAAAACTACCGCTAACCTTCATGAGCAAACTCACATTGTTTCTTTTGTTCATTCTGAATCATTGGCTCAGAAAAGTATGACTGTACCAATTCCAGCTTCCTGAAATACTCCTAGGATCTGGCATAATTATTTTTAAGATTTATTTTAAGATGTGTGTGTGTGTGCGTGTGTGTGTGTGTAGGTATATGTTTATGAGTACAGGTGCCCTCAAGAGAGGGCATCAGGTCCTCCAGAGCTAGAGTTACAGGTGGTTGTGAGCTGCCCAGCGTGGGTGCTGGGAACCAAACCCAGGTTCTCTTAGTGTACTCTTAACCAGAGCCATCTCTCCAATCCCTAGTCTGGACTGATTCTTTAGACCTGTTTCCTTTTCTGAATTTTCTCTTAGTTACTCAAGAAGCCCTAAAACTTGGTTCTCTACGACCCCCAAAAGGGAGGATCTGAAGTGTAGCCCCGGTCTGCCTGCTCACTGTAGAGCTTTTCTGTCTGAAGATGGTTTTATCTGGCGTCAGCCATCCAAACGGCTACCGAGTTCTTCTGGACTGAGCTTCAACCTGGGCTTTTCAGGCTGCCTGTCCAATGCCAGGCCCTAGAGAGAACAAAGACGTAGGACAGTGTTCTTCTACAGCTGAGTTAGGACCGTGAGAGCATGTGAAGGGTCCTCATTTCTGCAGCGTCCACTAGAGAAACTGTTGTTAACTGATTCTCAGAGGACACTGTGGGCTGGGATTCTAAATAATGGTGGGAATTGATTGTGTCCCCAAGAAAGAGTAAAACTTGGGAAAATAGCAGATTCGACCTGGGCCCTGTTAAAAGTCCTAGGGCACTCTGGGTTCCACAGAGGATACTTATAAGTCTATAGCAGTGTTTCTTGATCTGGGGGTCACGGGCTCTTTCTCAGGGGTCACCTAAGACCATCATAAAACACAAATATTTACATTGTAATTCATAACAGGGGTGAAATTGCAGTTATAAGGTATCAATGAAATAATTTTATGACTAGGGGTCCCCACAGCATGAAGAACTGTATTATAAAGGGTCGCAGCATCGGGAAGGTTAAGAGCCACTGGTCTAGAGTTTCCTGCTGCTAGGACTTGATTGAGACCCACAGATGGTACCAAAAGGAACAGGGTGAACTGTGGAAATGATTTCTCCCCACTCCAGACTCTTGGAGCATTGCCGGAAACATAAATACCTCTCGAGCTCCGGGGAGGTCTTTGCTCTCCTGGTCAGCAGCCTCTTGGAGAACTTGCTGGACTACAGAACCATCATCATGCATGACGAGAGTAAGGAGAACCGCATGAGCTGTACCGTAAACGTTCTGGTAAGGGCCTGCTCCCTGGGCTGGCTAGTGGGCACAGCTAAGCCACCCCTGCTCCAGCCGCTCAGCTCCAAGTTGATAGCACAGATGCCCAGGCATCCTGGGGCATCTTAATAGGGCCCATGCCCTCGTGAGTCAGACTCGCAGTAGGCACAGACCCTTCTGGAATTTGGAAAGGGCGTGGAAAGTGCAATCTTGACGCTCCAGCCTTTCCTACACACCATCCCAGCCTGGCTCTTGATTTTAATTCACATGCGCTTGCTTTCCTACTGCGATGTAGCACACAGAGACCTCTGCCATGAAAAGTGAGTCTGTGCCGTTCTGCTGACAGTCAGACTCAAGTCTTCCCCTTGCCTGGGACTACAAGGTTTAGGTTGCTATGCATTCCCGTGCTTAATATAAACCAAGCACAATACACCCCCCCCAACTCCCTGAGAAATAAGCATTCCAGGTGACTTCAGGATAAGCCAAGCTCTGCTGTTCCATAGAAAATCTCTTGTATTTCTCAGAAGCATGGTCTTTTTTTTCTTTAAAAATATTATTTATTTTTTTCTCATATTGTACATCCTGACAGCAGCTTCCCCTCCCTCCAGTCCTCCTCCTCTCTTCTTCCCCAGATCCACTTACTCTTCCCCGACCCATCTCCCCCAGAAACGAGCAGGCCTCCCAGGGACATCAGCTGAACGTGGCACAAGATACAATAATACCAGGCATATGCTCTGACATCAAGGCTGGGTGAGGCAATCCAGTAGAAGGAAAAGGGTCCTAAAAGCAGGCAAAAGAGTCAGAAGTACCCCACTTCCACTGTCACGAGTCCCCCCCCCCCCCAGAACACCAAGCCAGCAACCATGACATATGCAGAGGACATACTAATGCGGGCCCATATTAGACTCCATGATAGCTGCTGAATCTCTCTGGGCCCTGTGAGCCCTGCTTAGTTGATTCTGTTGGCTGTGCTCTCTCGGGGTCCTAGACCTCTCTGGCTCCCACATTGCTTCTCCCACTCCTCCATGGGGTTCCCCCAGCTTTTGGGGGGAGACCTCCAACCTGGGCTCTCTGTCTCTTTTCCTAAAGTTTGGCTGTCTTTGCATTTGCTCCCATCAGCTGCCAGAGGTAGCCTCTCTGATGACAACTGAACTAGGCACTGATATTGGAGTATAGCACAACATCATTAGGAATCATTTCACTGATTTTTTTTTCCAGTCGTGTTAGGTTCTACCCTGGATCTCAGGGTATCCAGTCTCTGATTCTTAGTCATCCAGGCAGTGCCAAGCAAGCATGGGCTCCCTCTCCTGGTATGGGCTTCAAACCAATCATTGGTTGGCCACGTCCACAAGTTTTGGGCCACCCCAGTACATCTTGCAGGCAGGGAAGATTGTAAAGCAAAGGTTTTGTGGCTGGGTTGGTATCCTGGCAGCCTTGCCTGGTTACAGAAAACAGCTGGTTCAGCCTCTATGTCCTCCTCCATTACTAGGAGTCCTCACTGGGGTCACCCTCATAGAATCCAGGGAGTTGCCACTACACTTGCTTTTCACATCACCTCCCAGGAACCCTCCAATTCCAGTCGTCTCCTCCTCCCCATAATTTCTCCCTCCATCTCTCCCCGCTCACTTTACCCCTCCTGTTCCCATCCCCACCTGTTCCCAGTCCACCCACAGATTCCACTCTGTTCCCCCTTCCCAAGGAGGTGCATGAAACATGATCTTAATTTCTCCACTTCTTTGTATCCCATCACTTGCTATTCTTGTAGAAGAGATTCTTAAAGGAGATTCGTAAAGGAACTAATGATGTCTCTTTGGAAAGAAACGGCATTGAGAAGCAGCAATCGGGTAGAGATCATTTCATGGTTTAGAGGGACACAAGTTTGGTCTGATGCCCCCTTCTGGCCTCTGAGGGCACCTACACTTACATGCAGGCACACTCTCTTGAAGTTACAAATAAAAGCAGCGGTTATGCTTTGGCTGTTTTTGTGTCAAGTTCATCGGCAGCCTTTAATTCATGCTGGTATTTTATGGCTTTCTTTTTTTTTTCAGAATTTTTATAAAGAAAAGAAGCGAGAGGACATATACATAAGGTGAGTGAGGGAAACGCCTTGGATTTGCTAGTTCTCTCATGGGTCTGTGGTATGTTTTTAAACCAGCAGCACCGTTGCTGTCAATAGACTCCTACAAATACAGGATGTGCGCAGTCCGCCTCGGAGAGTGAGCTCTCCAGACAGAGCCCAGCAAGTACAGTTTCAGGGAGTGTGCAGTAAAGTCCCATCAGCATCCGATGGGGGATAGGAGGGGTTCCAAGGGACAGGAAGAAGAAGTAATCCACAGTGGCCTTTGATTTCAAGGCCATGAGTCTCTGACCCTTAAACCAACTTGTTCTCGGCAGAATTTCCACAGCTTTCCATCGCCTCCCAAAGAGGACCAAGACCTAAAAATTAATAAATACCAACAAAATTATAATAATAATAAAATTAAGAAGACCAAATAGAGAGACGAGGAGAACCACAGGGCAGGAAGTGGTACCATGGGCTAGAGAAATACGAGGTGACAGAGTCTATTGCCTAAGGGAAGGGGACTGTTGCTGTTAGACGCAGAGGTCAGTGTGCAGGCTGGGACCTCGGGAATGCCAGCTCACCTCCCTGGTGACAATGGGCCTCTTCTCTCCCCTCTTACCAGGTACTTGTACAAGCTTCGAGATTTGCACAGAGACTGTGAGAACTACACAGAGGCTGCCTACACGCTCCTCTTGCACGCTGAGCTTCTGCAGGTAAATGGGTCCCATGTGGAAGATCCATGTTGTATGTCGTGCGTTCAGTCCCTCGGGACTAAATTCTGTGAACTTTGTGATTTGGGTAGGAAACAACCTTATTTGAGGGCTGTAGTTTATCTAAGAATGTGTGTGTGCCTTCTGGATAAACAGGGTAGCTTTCAGATCAGGACTGGGAAAATAATCATTTGTTGTTTAATGTGCCTTAGGAAGCAGGGCACAACCGAGAGGCCTCCGGTGATTGCCATTATAATTAAATACACGTTGATGATGTATAAAGAGATTAGTTAGGCTATAGAGACAACTTATAAATGAGGACAGGCCCTGGGAGAAGTACTTTCCCTTTTATCCTCTCTCCAAATCCAAGTATCTGAGGCTCTATATAAATGCCTCCGATTGTCCCAAATCCCAAGCAGTCATTTCAAGGCCTCTCCTCCTTTAAGCTTTGGATTTCTACATAAGTATCAATCTTTGAATGGGTCATAACTCAAATTTAACACGCCAAAACCACAAACCTTTGTTCCCACGCTTGTTCCTCCCCTTCTCTTTCTGGCCACCCCATCTGCCTGGTATCTTAGGATAACCTTGGAGTCACATTCCAGTCTTCTCTTTAGGTCACTGACTCCTACACTCTCCATGGACAGAATGTGTGGTCCTCCTGTCTAGAACATGGCCTTTATCTTCTCTTTTAAAAAGAAGAAGAGGAAAACTCCCTTGGCACCATCCAGGTTCAGGCCCCTGGCCTCTCTACCCGAAGCACACTAGTGTCTCTCCGTAGACCTTCTGCTTCCGTTCTTATACCCAACAGTTAATTTTCTCCTAGAGTTTAATTTGATTTGACTCTTAAATGATGCTCATGCGTCATTCTCACCAGCGAAACACAGAAGTTTCCTGCCTCCGTTTCCCAAGGAAATCCACAGCCCATGTTTAAGGTTGGGACGGACACTAAAGGGTTTTCTTCTGCCTGTGTGAGGTTAGCTGTCCTTGGATATCACCAGAGACTGGTCCCCAGTGGCAAGCCCTGTAGGTCTTTCTATTCATGTTGCCCAGAAAGTTAAACCCTCAAGTTAGGCATGGTGGTACATGCCTATAATTCCAGTACACAGGAAACAGAGGCAGGCAGGGATAACGAATTCAGGGCCAGCCTTTATTTCATAGGGCGAGTCTATCTCAGAAAATGAAAAAGCAAAAGAAAAGGAAATTAAATTGTCCTATCCTGGTGTAAGGTATGAAGTGTGGATTCAGCTTTTATTTCCAGCAGAGATGTTACTTGTCGAATATTCTGAATTTTATCCACTGGCATAAGATCGCAGCTTTATCTCGGTGGCGGAGGAGGTCTCATTGTAGGATCTCCTTGCATGCCGGCCTCCCTCTGCTCATGTGCTGGTGCTACATTGTTGGTATGATTAATTCCTTACAGTGTTATAGTCTGGCGTAGTTACTCCCCACTGCCCCCGCCCCTAGGGTTGCGGCCTGCTCCTTTGTGTTTTTCCATCTGGGCATTGGAATCCTGCAATTTCAAATGTCTTGACGCTCAGGGTATACAGCTCAGTGGTGGAGCGCTCGCTTGGCTCATGCCCCTACTTTCAGGCCCTGGAGAAAGAAGGAAGGAAGAAGGGGAAGACAAGGAGGAGATGGGAGGAAAACAGAGAGAAATGGAGAGAAAGGAAAGGGAGGGAGGGAGGGAGGGAGGGAGGGAGGGAGGGAGGGAGGGAGGGAGGGAGGGAGGGAGGGAGGGAGGGAGGGAGGGAGGGAGGGAAAGATGGAAGAAGCTAACTTTGCAGGGCCTGATAGGCTAGACCTGTAAATCCAGCTGGTAGGGAGGAGGGCGATACTGGAGGATCCGGCTTTGAAGACCGGCCTGAGCAACTCAGCGAGCCCCCTTTATCTCAAAATTTTAGAAGTGTAAAAGCAAGGCTAGGGTGTAACTCATACCTAGCCTGCAGAAAGCCCTGGATTCAGTTCACACAACCACCAAAGAAGGGCGGTGGGGCTGGGGGGAGGGCTTTAGTAAGAATTTACTTCATGCTTATGAAACAGCGTTTCTCTCTCAAGCCCCTTTCTTCGGGGCTGCTGCTGTGTCTTTGATTGGCACAGCCAAGTTCCTTGCATGTCAAGTCTTGTGTAACCCTGGTGATGTCTCAGTTGTCTGATGAGCTTCATTTTGATGGATCGTTTGCATCTGCTGCCTTCTGTGTGGCAGTTATCTCTGTAGCCAAAGTCTGTCCTCAAGTGTTCCTGTTCCTTTGCTTCTTAGCTTTCAGCGTTATGTCTTTGGTTTTGCACTGGACACCGTGTACTAAGGAGAAGGGAGTGTCCACGTGCAGTGATTGTTTTATCTGCTCCCCCATGGTCACAGACCTGGTGCACAGACTTCTCTTATCTGATAGTGTTCAAGACGCCTTCCACACAGTGGTAGGCTGCTTTAGCTAGCTCCTTCCATTCCCCTCTTCCCGGGCAACGCTGCAGGTGCCTGGCCATTTGGCGTGACACTTGTTTCCGAGAGAAACTGACATATGGGCATCTGCGTCTATGTCATTTTGTGTTTAGTAAATAACTTAAAACACAATATGGCTGAGTCAACTGCGTGCAAACAAGTCGCTTCCTGACTTTTCTGGTCTGGAGTTTCGCTTCATTAATCTCCGCGTCCCCTTTTCTCTTTGCAGTGGTCGGACAAGCCCTGCGTGCCCCATTTGCTCCAGCGGGACAGTTACTATGTTTATACCCAGCAGGAACTTAAAGAGAAACTGTATCAAGAGATCATATCCTATTTTGACAAAGGCAAAGTGAGTGCTGGGTTCTCTGTTTTTTTTGTTTTTTTGTTTTTTTTTTTTGTACTACTATAAAGAAGATTTTAAAAAGATTATGTTGAATACATTTCTAATGCCAAGTGCTGAGTCAGCACAGAGCACACAGGAAAGGCCCTGTCCTCCCCGCCCCCCAAAAAAAGGATTGAGAGGAGGAGACAGTAAGTTTCCCCCAGGCTCGCAGGCCAGCCAGACTAGCCAAACTGGTAAGCTTTGGGTTTCGTGAGAGACCCGATATCAAAAAAGGTAAGGTGAAAAAACAAACAAAAAAGTGATTTTGGAGCCGGATGTGGTGATGCATGCCTTCTATCCTGGCACCAGGAGGCAAAGGCAGGCTAGCTTGGTCTACAGAGCTAGTTCCAGAACAGCCAGGGCTACACAGAGAAACTGTCTTGAAAACAAAACAAATGAACAAAATAACAATAATAATAATAATAATAAGTGGTTCTGAAGAGGCATTCTAACATTTGCCTTTGACCTCCATACACACCTGTACAGGCCAGCACACCCACACAGCCCTACCACATGTATGCACATGTGCATACACACACACTTATACACAAATACACACTCATGTATTCACAGAAGAAAAAAAATAACTTTTTTTTTTATTTTTAGAAACCGCATTCACTTATGATGGCGGCATTACTGTCAGGGGCTCTAGGTCACTCACACTTCTGCTGAAACTGGCTCAAAATTCTGAGGAGCACAGGGTAGCCCCTATGGGGTTAATAACAGAACACAGGAGATTGCTGTATCTAATTGCTGCTGTGTCTCACACCAGCCACCTGTCCCGCCCAGCCACACTCCCACACTCTTGGGTCCATGACTTCTCCTTCCTTGGCATTGCCATTGGTGCTTTGCTCTTTAAATTCCAAACCGCTTCAGTGGAGACTCTTGTGTCCTGGCTGATTGGCCGGAGGAGGCACCTTTGGGCAACATACCCGCGATGCCCAGGTTGGCCACCTCTAATCCAACATGGAAAGTGTTCTGAACTCTAAGGCTGTGGAATATCAGCATGGCCTGAAGAAAGCTTCAGAGTCGGGAGCATTATGGATTAAGGGTCATGTAACCAGTAATGTCTATAGAAATTATTCCAAATTTAAAAAGAAAAAAAAAAACAAATTGGAAACACTGGTAGCCCCAAGCATTTCAGAGAAGAGCTACTCACTCTGCCGTATCCTTCCATTTGGAAAGGAAGGGTTAGTTAATCAGGGGGTGTAGCAAGTCAGGGTCCCTTACAGATGTTTAGCCTGCCTGTCTACTTAGTACCAGTGATTCCCGAGGGAGGTGACAGCTCTGAGGACTGTGACTGTGTGTCGCGCACATCTCACCCTGCTTTCCTTCCTCTGGAGATGTGGGAGAAAGCCATTAAACTGAGCAAAGAGTTGGCTGAGACCTACGAGAGCAAAGTATTTGACTACGAGGGCCTGGGCAGTCTCCTGGTAAGTCTGGGCCAGTGGGGCTGCTCTAGCATGGATGCTGCTAAGAACAGCTTGGTATATGGGTTGCAAACCTTACTTGACTTTAAAATGAAGGTTGTGTGGTCTCAAAAGCTTTTACCATTGTTCTCCTTGTGGCTTCCCCCTGAAGTCCCCCTGGGACTGGGAAAGAAGACTACCCTGAAGACACTGACCCTGGGCGATGACGCCCTATTCTGGCTATATGTTCATCAAAGTTTACTTGTCATGGGCCAGTGAGGTGATTCAGTGGGAAAAGGCACTTGCTGCCGAGCCCAACAACCTAAATTCGGTCCCCACGTTCCACATGTTGGAAGGAGAGAACAGAATATAAGTCGTCCTCAGACCCTGGACCATGACACATGTGTTTGTGCACACACACTCACACTAAATAAAATATAATTTTACAATGAGAAGGCGCCCATCCTTCAGGCTTTGTTTCCCCCATAAGAGTACCACTGTGCTTACCAGGACTTGTAAGTGTCTCTGCCAGAATCCAAGTGGCTGTGGCCACCTTTCTTCTTTCTGATGTCACAGAAAGGCTCAGCATTGACAGCTCCCCGAGCCTGCGTATTAAGCCCAGCTGCGGGCACAGTTCAGCCCTTACAAACAAGCAGCACCCATGTGCAGCCACCCGCATGCCCACTGCATGGCAGCGGAGAGAACGTTCACAGCAGGGGCCTTGAAGGATCCGGTCATCACTGCCACAGAATCATCTTACCCTTAGGGATCTTTTTGTCAGAGGCCTTTAGTGAAGATGTAACTCATATACATTACCAGCTTCTGCCATTGAGAGTCCAGAAATTCACTCAATAATTTCTAAGCTCGCTTGAGTTAAGATTCTGACAACCCGTCAGCCAAGTAAGACAATGTAGTTCTGACAGACTGTCACCCAGAATGGTCACAGAGCATGTCAACTGTGGTCGGGATGGCTGTGGAACAAGAATGATAATCCCAGATGCTTGGGGCATAGTGAGTTCAAGTTCTGCCTTCCCTGCAGAGCAAGTTAAAGCAGCCTGGGAGGCTGCAAGAGGTCTTCCTTATAATATAATATTCCTCAAAATACAAAGGAAAAGAAGAGCCAAGGATGGAACTCAGTGTAGAGCATCTACCTTGCATGCATAAGGCTCTGGGTTCAATCCCTGGTTCCCCATAAAACCAGGCGTGGTATTGCATTTCTGTAATCCCAGCACCTGGGTAGCAGAGACAGGAGGAGCCTCAGCTATATGGAGAGCTAGAAGCTAGCCTGAGCTACATACAACCCTGTCTCAAAGAATTCATAGTAAAGCATCAAAAGACAGTGAGTCTAGAGACTGAAGAATGGATAGTTCTCCTTTTGGTCATTGTCCAAGCCCAAGGTGGCTATCCAAGTCACCTGCTCAGAGCAGAAAAGCCCTCAGCATCTCCTCTCACACGCCTGGTTAAGCTCAGATACTGCCTGTGGATCTCAGGAAGTGCGTGTAGGCCTCCCAGTCCCTTCCTAGTCCCAAGTCCCCAACATCAGATCCCAGAACAGAATCAATCTGTGGCCTACAAGGTGGTCTCCAAAGACCTTCCATTTATCTGCTACATGGGAAAGCACAGCAAATGAGCTGACTGTTTTTCTCTTTTATTTCTTCCCCTGACAGTTTCCTGGTAACCTCCTGGCGGAATGTGTTGTTTTGTCTTTCAGAAAAAAAGAGCCTCGTTTTATGAGAACATCATTAAGGCCATGAGGCCGCAGCCTGAATACTTTGCAGTGGGGTACTATGGACAGGGCTTCCCGTCCTTCCTGCGGGTGAGGAGCCTGGGGGTGGTCCCCAGAGCCATTAGGAGTGGGGTTCAGGGGAGAGAGAAGACTTATCTCTCTCCCAGATGGGCAGCAGCAGCTGCTGGCCTACGTTTCCACCGTGGGAGGTCGGGTCAGGGAGGGAGACCTCTTCCTGAGTACTGGCCTCTTCACCCCACACCCCTGACACCACTGGTATTCTGGCAGAACCTCTGGGCGATGACTTTCCCAGGTGCAAGAAGAGAAGGAAAAACACCATCAGCAGAATCCATTGGCCAGACTTGGACGATTGCGGATGGATGTGTTTTGTTTGGTTGCTAATTTTATTTCCAGTGAGGGCTACTTTGAAATCAGATCTCCCAAGAACAAGACGACCAACATTTCCCCAAAGCAAACAACAGTTTTGTAGTGGCAAGCAGGAGAGGCCCTTTTCTTCCTCTCAAAAGCATAAATACTGTCACAGTGACTTTAGAGTTGGAGAAACAAAAACTTTAAAAAGAACACTCTCAGACATGAGCTTTGTTTAAATATATATTATCTCTCATAGTCTTAATTAAAAACATAGAATGGGTTGGGGGTGTGATTCAATTGGTTGAGTACTTGCCTAGCATGCTTGAAGCACTGGGTTCAAGTCCCAGAACCACATAGACTGGGTATGCTGATATATGTCTTAAATCATAACACTTGGGATGGAGGCCACAGGATCAGAGATAAACAAAGGCCATTCAGATTCTTAGCAGGGCTTAATGAGAAAGCAATGGATCCTCATTCAGGGTCTACTGATTGCCCACTCTGTACTAGGCATCTGGGAAGAAGCAGAAATGTCCTGAAGTTATCCAGACTTCTCTCTGCCCTCAGGGATTCCACAAGCGAATGGGGGCCAGGTGGGGAGTTAAATGTTAACATAGTAATGTAAATTTTAAACTGTGTAACTAAGGAAGATGGCCCTTGCTGAAAGAGCTCATGACAGAGAGGGTTTACTCAAGTCAGTAGAAATCTCGTCATGCCAAAATACTGTAGGGATGTTCATAGCACTCTTAATCCTAACCACCAAGGTCTGTCTGTCACCTGGGGAAAGAAGGGATAAACCAATATCAACCCAATAGACGCTGCTCTTGCCTGTTGGGTATGCAGAGTATGGTCACTGAATGCTCACTTGGTGGTGGACTTAGCTTCGATGGAGGAGCACAATGGCCTTCTCTATCTATCTTCAGCTCCAGGTACCCCCTCACCTTCATATCCAATGACTTCTCTTGGCTTTCCTGCCCTGCAGAACAAAATCTTCATCTACCGGGGTAAGGAGTATGAGAGGCGAGAAGACTTCAGCTTGAGGTTACTGACCCAGTTCCCCAACGCTGAGAAGATGACCAGTACCACACCTCCAGGAGAGGACATCAAGTCGTCCCCAAAGCAGTGTATCCTTGTCATGAGGAAAGCAGGCCAGTGACTCTTTACCCTGGGACGGGCCAGGCCGAGGCCCATAAACTAAGAGCTGCACCTCCTCTGCAGGCAGATGTGCCGTTAGCCCACAGACTCATCCTTCAACCATCCAGTGTAAAAGTCTGTGGGGCCTTTGGGGAAGACATGGTCAGTAAATGTTGAGTACAAATGAATATACTTCCTAGTCAGGTGGGGTGCTTAAAGGAAGTTCAGGATTCTGTTGCAGACCTTGAAACCATGCCCAGTCATCCAGCAGCACTCTTGGTACCCTCCCAGCCAATGGCTACAGGACAGCATCTGTCTTAGGGTTTCTAGTGTTGTGAAGAAACACCCTGACCACAACAATGCTTATTTTTTTTCTGTTTTTATTTTTTTCTTTTTCTTTTTTCCTTTTTAAATTGTTTTTATTGAGCTATATATTTTTCTCCACTCTCTTTTTCTCCCCTCCCCTTCAACCCTCTCCCATAGTCCCCATGCTCCCAATTTATTCAGGAGATCTTGTCTTTCTACTTCCCAGGTTGATTAGATCCATGTAGGTCTCTCTTAGGGTCACCTTTGTTGTCTAGGTTCTCTGGGATTGTGAATTGTAGACTGGTTTTTCTTTGTTTTAAGTCTAAAAGCCACTTATGAGTGAGTACTTGTGATATTTGTCTTTCTGGGTCTGGGTCACCTCACTCATGATGTTTACTATAGCCATCCATTTACAGTGTCTCTTATAAAGGAAAGATTTAATGTAAAGCAACTAGCTTACAGTTCAGAGGCTTAGTCTATTATCATCATGGCAGGAATCAGGGAAGTATGCAGACAGGCATGGTGCTGGAGAAGGAGCTGAGAGTATTACATCTTCATTTGCAGGCAGCAGGAAGTGAACTGAGTACCACAATGAGCATAGCTTGAGCAAAGGAGACCTCTAAGCCCACTCCCACAGAGATACACTTCCTCCAACAAGGCCACACCTACTCCAACAAAATACACCTCCTAATAGTGCTACTCCCTTTTAGAGTCATTTCCTTGCAAACCACCACACCATCCCAGTCCACTCTTCCCACCACCCGTGGACACCCAAGTCTGCAGCTGTTATCGATTTTGCATATAGTCTATATACATATTCTCTCTCTCTCTCTCTCTCTCTCTCTCTCTCTCTCTCTCTCTCTCTCTCTCTCTGTGGAGGTGTGTTTAGCTATGTGCTGAGGATTGGAACCCATGCCTGTACAGTAAGCACTTTGGTAACTGTGCCATCTCCACAGCCCCTCCTAGTTGAATTAGACTTCCTGATATCGTAACTACCCTGTAAAAATTGTCATGCTCTGTCATTTAGAAGATAAGGACAAGGAGGGGAAGGTCTGTACAGGGTTGGTACAGAAGGAAATCTTCACTTGGTTATCTGCCTTCGGGTGCAGTGCCTGTAGGTCCAGAGGGCAGGCTGTGTCTGTGCCAGGGGAAAGCCTTTCCAATGCTAATCATCCCATCCAAGCAGGAGCCCTTACCCCACGCTGGTTTGGGGGTCTGACTTCACTTCCCTGTTGTGGAATCTTGAGTTTCTACTGCTCACTGTTTCTGAGTTCTCCTCTGCTGAAAATAATAATGATCCGTCTTGCAAGTTTACCATGTGAAAGATAAAAATTCAAAACACTTAGTCCCCGTGAAGGGACTCACTCCATCAACAGTAGCATCTGCTTCCCTGGGCCCTGGAGTCCAGCTCTTTCGGGAGAATGCATACCCAGGAGGAATCACGTAGAAGCGTCTCTGGCTGTCAGTCTCCGGATACTTTCCTGTTTCCTCGTACTTGTTTCACGCGGCAAGGATGTTTGCGAGGTGTCTCGCCGCACAGAGTGTCCTGGAACAGTGTATGCGGGAGCACATCTCAGTGTGGTGCTGGCACCTGCCGAGAGGAGATGAGAGGTGACAGCCGGGACTTCACTGCCTGGGGGCCCCTGCAGGGCCAGCCTTTTCCTTAACAAGTCCCCAGACCTGCAGTGCTTCACCGTGAAGCCCGTGATGAGCTTGCCGCCCGGCTACAAGGACAAACCAGTTCCAGAGCAGATCTTGAAGTGAGTGGTTCTCTCATAGAAGACAGTCAGGTGGGCCAGGACGAGTGCCTGCCACCATAGCAGTGGGGGGAAAGAGAGCGGCAAATTCAAGGCCCGTCTGGGCTGCCCAGCAAGACTTGCCTTGGAATGCATAGAAAGCAAAGCCTTTGTCATCCATTCTGGTTTGGAAGGCTTGCTCCTTATTGCTGTGCATACAAGATGAGAGAGCTTATCAAATTAAAGCAGCATGGGCTTTATCTTTGAGACAGAGGGAAAGCTAAACTTCACTTGGTGTGAGCGCAGGAGCCTTTAGCCCACACAATACTCGGGTATCTCTGAGGACCTGCTGGTCCCAGTGTTCAAGGTTGCTTTCTGCCCCTAGAGAAGCTAACATGCCAGTGAGATTGACTGGCAGCCCTATAGCAGCGCTGCCGTACGTACTGGGTGTAACGTACCCTTTAAAACTAGGAGCCGTAAAATAAACTCTCAAGTATGAAAAGGAAGAGGTGGTACGAAACCCAGGTATGTACTGTCCCAGGAGCTCAGTGTGGCCCTGGCGGCCGCAGAGGTAAACCTCAGTGTCAGGTGTGTCAGGCGCGTCATTGCGGGCTGGTTCCGTGAGGTCCAATGCAGTCGCTCTGTTCTTTTCCAGCTACTACAGAGCCAACGAAGTGCAGCAGTTCAGATATTCCCGGCCGTTCCGGAAAGGAGAAAAGGACCCGGAAAATGAGTTTGCCGTGAGTTCACTTGGTTTGTCTTCTCTGCGAGTGGGGTAGGGGTTGGGATTGCACATGAGCGTTCAGAGGCCAGAAGTCAGCCTTGGGGGTCATTCCTCAGGAGCTTCTCTACTTGTTATTAGGACAAAGGGTCCTTCCTTGGGGCTGCAGCTTACCAGCCTAGCTTGGCTGGCTGCCAGGGAGCCCCTGGGAATCTCCCTCCATCTCTCCTCCCCCAATGCTGGGACTACAAGTTTGTGCCACCACCCCTGAGTTTGTGCATAAGAGCTGGGGATCAGTCTTGGGTCTTTTGCCTGGCTCAGCCTGAGCAATCTCTCCAGCCCTTTTGCCGTCTAGTGAGGAGGCACAGTGTCTTCTTCCTCATCAGCGAGCACAGCAGGTTGGAGCTTCCCCTGTAGGAGAGTGTTTAACTGTTCATTACTGACAAAGCAGGCTGTCATCTCAGGACTGAAGGTCTCAGATCGGGGCTCTACTGCTGGTCTTGCTGCTGCTATGACCCTAGGCGAGACACACCCATCCCTCCCAGACCTCAAGTTTCCATCTTTAGAATGAACGGGCCCAAGGAGATTAACCCCAGGCAGACTCAAAGCCCACGATCCTTGGGTTTTTATGAAGAATTGGGTTCCATTCCTTAGAAGACATATGAGGATGGATTGTCACCCAACTTGAGCTAGAGGTTTTGGGGTCAGAGGTGACCTAGCAGCTGACCGCCGTTTCATTTTGTGTTTTCTTTCTTGCCCCAGACAATGTGGATTGAAAGGACCACATACACAACAGCCTACACCTTCCCTGGGATCCTCAAGTGGTTCGAAGTCAAACAGATTTCAACCGTGAGTCATTTGAATCTGTAGCTCCTCCAGCAGGGTGCGTGCGGTGGGAACCTTTCTGTCTGCAGAAACAATGGCCGCTTTTGTTCCTCTCCACTGCAGTCTGCACCAGCTTGACTTGCCTCCTCTGGCCAACTCTGTTTTTCAGAGGGGGAAATAAGACGCTCACTTGTATAATAGGGTCGCTTTGTAAAACTGATGTTACAACACCAACCCAAAAGGTCACACTCAGAGAATGACTCTTTCACGGTCTAAGGGGCCTTGTCCACGTATCCCCCCATAAGGCTACCAGTGCCCTGTAACATCGCTGGGATGCCTCTGGGGAGCGGCCTGTCTGCCACATCATTTGTCCCAAGGCCCCTTTCATTCTCAGCTCTTTGTGCCGCTGCTGCAGCTCCTGCCCACATACTCCCCCCCTCCAAAGCTGCCATTTAGCCTTTATAATACTTACTCCATCTCTCTGTGGTATTACCTTGTTGTTCTTCCTGTCTGGTCTCTGAGGAGTATGACTAAAAAGGTCTCCTATGGCAATGCTCCTCATAACTCAGAGTGTGGCTTCCACTGAGCAAACCAGAGTCTTTCATGCATTCTTGAGTTCAGGCCCTCCTGTGGCTTCCTAGCCGCTGAACTACGGAGCCCATTCTCATTTCTGCGCACCCGCGGTTATCTCGGCCCATGCCCATCTACCTCCATTGGCTTCAGTCAGTTCCCACCCATGTGCACCCATCTCCTTTCATGTCTAGCTCTCTCCATAGCCTTCTTCCCCTTCTCTCACCTCTGCCCACCCCCTTCTCTCTCTCTCATGTTGTCATCCATGTCCCTCCACCTCCATCTGTCTCCTTCTAACTCTGAGAAAAAAATAGACATTGGTGCTATTTAAGGAGTTAATGGCATTGGGTCATTTAGGGGAGCTGGGTTTCAGCGTCCTCTGCCCACTGCTCAGTGTTGTTTCCCATCAAGTGTAGGATCCACCTTCTCCACGCAGCCAACTCTGGAACACCCAGGCACAGGTGGCTGTCCTGTGTGGTGCGTGTGCTCTTATCATTATCCGGACATGTTTCTGTCCGGATACATGTCCGGACATGTATCATTATTCGAACATCTTGAGTTCCTGCTAAAGCTACACGCTCCTACAAGCTTTGAATTGCAGTGGACCCCCAGAATATGTGGTTCCGTATTCTCAACGACTTAGCCAACCATGGGTTTCTCAGCTGTGGACTGTGTGCTGTGTATTTAGGTCTAGCAGAGGGGCTTCTATTCTGTGTATATACAGACTCTTCCCCTGGCTTATTCCCTGGATAATAGCCACCTCTATAGCTCTAGTTTCTACCAGTCATCCCGAGATGAGTTAAAATATATGGAAAACCAGGTGTTCTGGTGCAAACCTTTAATCCCAGCACCTGAGACCCAGAGACAGGTAGATGTCTGGGAGTTCAAGGCCAGCCTGGTTTACATGGTGAGTTACAGATTCTTCAGTATTATGCTCCTGCAGCTTGTGGGTAATTTCTCTCCCTTGAGAAGAAGGATCAAGTTTGTTCAGTCTTTGCAGCGGAGCTTATGACAGGTCCTTCTCCCATGTGCTGTATTCCCCAGGAAGAAATCAGCCCGTTGGAGAATGCCATCGAAACCATGGAGCTGACCAATGAGAGGGTCAGCAACTGTGTACAGCAACACGCCTGGGACCAGTCCCTCTCTGTGCACCCTCTCTCCATGCTGCTTAGCGGCATCGTGGACCCGGCTGTCATGGGGGGGTTCTCCAACTATGAGAAGGTAAGTCCAGCTCCCGGCTCTCACGAGACGAATGTGCCTCTTTCCTCTGGAAATACACAAGGGTTGTCCCTGGCCTCACACTGTCCTATGAAATCTTGATGAAAGAGTGCCAGGCCCTGGTGCCTCATTCTGTCCTCTGGAAGACGGCTCAGGGTAGTTCCAGAGCCCAGGACACGCTTCCACTGAAACCGCGCTTAGGAAGAGCTGAGATGCTTTATGTAAACTGAATGTCCAGGACTCTCCAGCCTGACTTGAGCCAAGTTGTACAGATAAAAGACAGTTTCGGTGTGTATAACTTACTGGTGCTGAGATAAAATACTATGACCAAAAGAGTTTATTTGGCATATGGCTCCAGAGGCATTGAATCCATCACGGCAGGAAGGGATGGCCGATCATCACGGCAGGAATTGGAAGCTAGCAGATTGCGTTTTTATCCATGCACAGAAAACAGAGAAAGGGGGCAGGAAATGGGGTAAGCCTAATTCTCGAGTCTCATCCCAGTGTTGGGCTTCCTCCAGCAAGGCTCCACTTCCTACTGGTCCGTAACCATCTGGGAACTGCCACGCAGCTTCATGCATGTGCTAACTGCATGCTACATCAGCTACTCCGAAATGGCATAAGAGCATCCTGACCATGAGATAGGATTTGCTAGAGTGTCATTTATAGTGGAGGTCATGATGTCAGTCCAGGTGAAGGACAATTGTTAGGGACAGGAATCACAGCTGTTACGGTGCATGTTCAGTGGCTGAATATTTGGGGAGTCTTCTTGGATATAAATATCTGTGTGGCCAGGAAGCCCCTTCCAGGAGGCGGGAGATTGGATGGCACTTCTTTTCCATTTATACACAATAGCCCAGACGAGTGAAGGCTCTGTCACCTGTCACTCTCGTGCCTTTCTACTGGCCGCTGTATGCTCTAAGACACAGGTCCCCTCTCTGAGCTGCAGGCGACTGCATAGTGAGAAAGCTTCCCAACTTAGGGGATTAAGGGAGCCATCCCATATATAGGCAGGAATTTAATATACATTTCTGAATCATTCACTGTGCAGTAGAGGCTGTCCTGTGAAAGGGACGAGTTTTCAGGCAGACCTTCTATCTCTGCATAAGAGGCTTCCTCCCTTCTGAAGCTGGCCGCCTCTCTGCGGCCATTAGGAGTGTGTCCTCAGTAACATTTGCATGTGCTCCACTTTTAGGCTTTCTTTACGGAGAAGTACTTACAGGAACACCCTGAGGACCAGGAGAAGGTGGAACTGCTCAAGCGACTGATCGCCTTACAAGTATGTACCCAGGGGGGCGTGCAGCTGGCCAGCTGTGCACAGTACTGTCCAGGGGGTCCACTGCACTTGGCACTAAGACAGGCTCCAGAGCTCACATGTAGCTTCAGGCCGCTTCCTGGCCTCCCTTTCTCTCTCAGTCTCTGTCCTTCTATCTCTGTCTCTCCTCTTTCTTTTTCCTTCTGTGCATATGTGTGTGGGCATGTGCATGCGTGTGTATGTGTGTGTGTGTATGTGTGTGGTGTTGAGGAGCTAAAGCAGGCAAATTTCATAAACTTACTGACCAGTCATCCTAGCCTCACTGGTAAGTTCAGGCCAGTGAGAGATTTTTTTTTTCTTAAAAAAAAAAAAAAAGTGGATGGCATCTGGGAATGACAGCAGAGGTTGTCCCGTGGCCTCCATATGTACAAGCACACATTTACACACATACACACACACAAACACACTGGCACACACAGGAATTCTGTAATCTGGTTTACTAGCCAGTGTTTCTGGCTGGCACATATGGGTCTAATTCTTTTGTCTTATCATTTCAATAAAAACTTCTAGAAAAGCAGCCATCAGATTGAGTCTAAGACCAGTGCCTACCCCAGTGGTCAGTTGTATTCGTCCGGCCAGTCAGACTCTCTAGTCTTCGGCTCTTCTCCGTTCCTGTGTCGCGGTCCCCAAGCCCCGATGGAAAGGAGGCGTTGCCGTTAGATAGTTCTGTGACTGTCACTTGGCCTCGCCAACTCCATCCCACCTTGCCCCAACCTCCAAATCTAGATGCCCCCTCTTCCCAAACCACGCCTCATCCTTTTCATGCCCTTCCTTCCAGATTCCTCTGCTCACGGAAGGGATCCGCATCCACGGGGAGAAACTGACGGAGCAACTCAAGCCGCTGCATGACCGGCTGTCTTCGTGCTTCCGTGAGCTGAAGGAGAAAGTAGAGAAGCTCTATGGGGTCATAACACTGGTAAGCTTTGTCTAAATGGCGCTCACGCTTCCCCTTGGTCTCTCTCTGGCTCCGGGTTCCAGATGCCAAATGAGTCACACCGGCACAGGTGTGGCGATACCTGTGATGACAGGGAAGTGGGCAGGCAGGAGAGAGCATGTTCCCCCTTCAGTCGTCAAGCCATCCTGCAGCCATAGAGCCTCAAACCTGACCAACTTTCTCAACAGAGAGACCTTGTTAAACACGGACAACTGACTTCAGATTCCAGGGATGGGGCAGGGCCCAAGCTTCAGGTTTAACAAATGGCCAGCTACACTGTTCATCCAGGTGGCTGGCTGGCAGGCCCTCTGAGAAGACTTCCTTGGTCCACACACTGCCGGTTCCTTCTGCCCTGCCTAATTTTTATAGCTTTTCCAAATCTTTTCCTACGTTGATAAAAGCTCGGTTGCCAGACCTTTTAAGGGAAGGGAGGATTGTAAACTGTATTTTACGGTGTGTGTGCACCTAACTGAATTCTCTGGCATCTTTGGCACACATCCTAAGCCTGCGTCATAGCGAGTTTCCTCCCTGCCTCCCCCAGGAACTGAGGGGAAGCCTGGCACTATCATGTCCCCTCTCACAGTTGATGGTGTGATTGGCTTTGGTTCACTGCTGTAAGTCTTTCGTCCTTGACTTCCCCTTTTCCTCTTTAGCAGTCTTCTTGTGGTGAACCCCCGTCTTTCAAATTCTTTCCTCCAGTCAGAGCTCTGCCCATCCCCCCACTAGAGTTTCTCTCAGAAGATCAGAGTTCCCACTACCTTGTCGCCTCTTTCACTCACCCACGTACCCAGTCCTGCCAGGGGTGGTGGTGATGCATGTCTGTTATCTCCGTACTCAGGGGGCTGAGGCAGAAGGATGGCTGTGAGTCCGAGGACAGGCTAAGTTACATAGATTCTGTCTCCCACCCAAAGTGTCCGGTTCATTCTTCTTCCTGACACTTTCCCTCCCCCCAGTGCTGACTAGGTACGTGTGTCTTTTGTGCCCACGTTCCTGGACCACAAGACTGAGCCGTCCTTCAACCCACTATCCTCTATCATTGCTAGGATGAAGCCAATGTTAGCAAGCAAACTTAATAGAATACCACGTGGAGTCGGTCCTGGTAGCATTTGTCAGGAAAGTGCAGCATCCAGGGCTTCCCGAGACTCACGCCGCTTGGTTTAGGTTCTTTGGCCTCCTTAGACTTTGTTCTTAGGTCAACATTCCTCAGGTTCAAAAGAGCAACAGGGTGGCTGCCCCAAGCTTGCAGGCTTCATTGCAGGCTGCTGACTTTGAGGATTGCCTGTGTTTTAGCCACCCAGCTTGACAGAGAGGAAGCCGAGCCGTGCAGGCTCAATGGTACTGCCTTACATCCTGTCCTCCACGCTGCGTAGGCTGTCTGTCACCTCAGTGGCCTCCTCGGTGGTCTCCACTTCCTCCAACTCTTCTGACAATGCACCCTCCCGGCCAGGATCTGATGGGTAAGGCTGATTGTTACAGTTGGGGAGGGTAAGACGGTACCTCGTGACCTTAGCTTTGGGTGCCACGGTGAGACCTGTGTATCTGCACACCACTCCTTTGAGGAGACTTAGTTTATAGTTGTGGACTTCATTCGCTTCTCATATTCTTTATGAGGAACGTCACTGACAAAGCCGCTACTGAAAATAGAGAATGAATTAATAAATTAATATTTTACCACCTACTGAACACAGGTGCCTTCTAGACACAGTTTAATTTCTCCTCCTGTGCAACATTTTTAAAACACTTTCAAACTTGATTCGCTTTGTCAGTTAATCACAGAATAACGTGGTGCAAAATGCTAAAAGTAGAAGATGATAGAACACACACAACACACACACACACACAAACTCTTCATGCATGTTTTTAACGTTCAGGTTATTAGAACATCAGTAGACAGTTTCGTGTGTGTGTGTGTGCACGCGTGGATGTGTGTGTGTGTGTGTGTGTGTACCGCATGCACATGTAGATGTTCTCTTGCAAGCATGTACAGAGACCAGATTGGCATCAGGGTACCTTTCTAAGTTTCTCTCCACCTGATCCTTTGAGGCAAGGTCTCTCCCTGATCCTGGATCTTACCTGTGACTAGGCTGACTGGCCAATGAGCCCAGAATCCCCATCTTTGCTGGGGTTCCAGGTGCTCACTGCTTTGCCCAGCAGTTCTCACATGGGTGTTGGGTCCTCATGGATACTAGTAAAGACTTCAGCTCCTCACACTTGTACAAGTATTTTACTCACTAAGATACCTTCCCAGCCCCCAGATCTCATTGCTGTCCCTGGCTCCTAACCACCAGTACCACCTCAGAGCTGAAGTGGGCTTTCGGTTCCTACCAGCCCCCCACTCTTCATATGAATGCGTGTTCTTCTCTGTGCTTATTCAGATGGCATTCTCTTAATGTGGCTCTTTTTATTTGCTGTGTCTTGACAAAGACTGTCCCAGAATGCAGTGCGCCTCCTTTGGGTGCAGACATCCTAGTGCATATCTACACCGTGGCATCCTTCACCAGCGGCCAGCCAAGGGAGAGCTGGCTGAATTCAGTTCTCCAGTACTTTTTCAACTGCGAGTGCAGTTAAGAGAAATGTTGAGAGTCACTCCTTTATGTACATCAGTTGATACCGCTTTTTTTTGTCAACAAATGAACATAATTACGGGTTTGCTCTGCGAGGATGGAAAGATTAAATTATCTTGTTCAATTACAAAATCGAAGTACAGAAGTTTGTTCAGCAAGTGAATTAACGAATGAATAGGAAATGCTAGGTAAGTCAGTAGTTCAGATGAAAACTGTAACAACTGGAAAATGCCCTGAGGAAAGATTTGGGCATTTCGACTATTAGATAGGTAGGTAAGTGGGTAGGTAGGCAGACAGACAGATGGATAGATGTTGCTAGTATATGAGAAAATGATAGATGGGCTCCAAAGCTACAGAGAAACCCTGTCTCAACACCCCCCCAAGATAGATGGATATTGCTGAAATGCAGTAAAATGATAGAGAGAGATAGACAGATAGATTAGATAGATAGAACTTTTAAAAGGAGAAACTAACTTGAAATGAGATCAAGAACTTTCAACCATGTGTTATGGCTCATGCCTGTGATTTCAATACTCAAAAGGCTGTGATAGGAGAATTTCTGAAATTTCAGAGCTATTGTTCTGTTGCTGTGGAGAGGCACCATGACCAAGGCAAATCTTGAAAGTATTTAATTGGAGGCTTGCTGACAGTTTCAGAGAGGGTTATTTTATTATCATCATGGGGGCGGGGCACAGCGGGAGCAAGGTGGCAGTCATGGCACTAGAACAATAGCTGAGTTTTATCCTGATCCACAGGCAGAAAGACAGACAGACAGAGTCGGAGGGAGACAGAAACTGATAATACAGACTGGCTAGTGTGGGCTTTTGAAACCTCCAAGTCCACCCCCACTGGCACACTTCCTCCAACAAGGCCACACCCCTAATCCTTTGCAAATAGTGCAACTCCCTGCTGGTTCAGTATTTGCATATATGAGCCCATGGGACCATTTTTACTCAAACCATCACAGTTAGAGAATGATGCCTTGACTAAAAATAAGAGCAACAACAAGAAACCTAGACAGAGGAGCTTGGAGTGTGAAGGCACATCTGCAGAAATGTCAGTGCTGCCTCAGACAGACCTCCCCAGAGTTTCTCCTTCCTGTGTTCTCATAACTAGTAACAATACTTAATCCTGGGAGACCTAGAGTATTAAGAGCTTAAGTGACCTACTAAGCACATCTACTAATGCAGATGTTGCCTCCTGACTGGATCCTGAGTCAGTCAAACCATCCATTTAAGAAATTGTGAGAGAATTTGGAAATCTGAAGATTGTGTATGATGAGCTTGAAGATTGGCTGTCTGATGAGATTGGGGAGTGACTCAGTCGTAAGCATGATGATGGGGTTGTGGTTATGAAAATGAGACCTTGTCTTATAGAAATGCCCTCTGGAAATGTGGTAGATAGGACAACTCTCAAGTAATTTAGTAAAGAGCGAGGGCTGTAATTGGGTATGTAGACTAAACAAGACAGGCTCTGAGTTGATCTTTGTTGATGACAGGAGACATGTACATGAGCTTATTATCCAGGGTTGGGTGTGTGTGTGTGTGTGTGCTAAAACTCAATAATAAAATGTAAAAACCAACAAAAACAACAAATAACAAAAACTACCCAATCTATTTCTAAACCCTTGAATTTGAGTGATCCTCCTGCCTCAGCTAGCTGAGTAGCTGGGACTATGGGCATCTGCCATCACTCTCAGCTTCAAATACCTTATTTTAACTTATATAGTAATAAATGAAACCAAACTTGAAGATTTTGCACTTTTTTTCCGTGAAATACCCACTTACGTTGTAATTTCTAAAAATTAGGCTCCTCTTTCTACTTTTGGATAGTAAAGATACCTGCCTTCCATCTACAACATGTATGTCGTGTCTCCATCTCTCCCCTCTGTGTGTAGAGTTTGATCATGATGCCGAGTGGACCCGTTTTCATTATGGTACTTGGAAATCTATTATTATGCCTAGAGGACATTTCTCAAACACTTGCTGGTGCCAAATGTTGTCCCGTTTTTGCGGATAAGGAGCCTAAGATGCCGTGCCCAGGTTACCCAGCAAATAAATGCTGCAGGCCCTCCAGCCCCAGACCACGAGCTGTGGCCCCTACAGAAGCTAGAGATATATGCTACTCTTTTACATATGGGCTCTGTCTTTTATCACTATTTACTCTATAGAGTAAATAGTGGTGGGGCCTGAGGAGGTGGTTCCACCAGCAAAGTACCTACTGCAAAGTGCCTACTGCATGCGCTTGAGGACCTGGGTTTGAATCCATAGCCCCACATCAAAAGGAGATGTGGCAGCGCACATACATAACCCCAGTGCCAGGGTCGAATAGAGACAGGAGGATTCTAACAGCAATCTAGCCAAATCAGTGAGCTCTGGGTTCAGCTAGAGGCCATGTCTTGAGAAGGCGGAAAGTGATAGGGGAAGGCAACCAGTGTTGACCTCTGACCTTCACACGCATGCTGACATGCCTACATGTGACCTGTACCCATGCACATATTCACAAGAGAACAAATATTAACACACGGGAGGGCAGTGGTAAATATTCACTCGTATTTTCTCTCTTTCGAATAATAACCTCCTTTCTGTACGTTTTACCCTGAGTTGTTTGTCTGGTAATTGGACTCTGAGAACTTGGGAAGTTAGGTGACAGTGGTGTTGAGGGTCTTGCTGGTGCTTTGAAGTAAAGTGTATCATTCTGGGATAGATAATCCGTGACTTTTGACCTTCCGGACTGACAGGTCTATCCTGGAGCCACTGTTTGAGCGCAGAGCTTCTTCAGGTGCTCGAGTTGAGGATCTGCCAACCAAAGAAGATGGCGAAAACCGGATTAGCAAGTTCAAGAGAAAAGACTGGGGTCTGAGCAAGTCTCAAGTCATTGCAGAGAAAGCGCCAGAACCTGATACAATGGTAAAAGGAAAAAAAAAAAGAAAAACGAAAGAAGAAAGAACAAGTGAAAGCAATCACTGGCGGGCACCACTGGGCGGGGCACTCCTGGCAGGGGGGACCACTGGGCGGGGGACCACTGGCAGGTAGTCATTGGCGGGGCAGCACCGCCTGCCCCTCAGCCTGCACATCTTCATTCACTGCATAGCAATGAGTCACAGCAGCCTGTGGTGACGTCAAATCACAGATGGCAGGAAGAAAAGTTTCAAGTCTCCAAGTCAATATTGGCACGAGATCTCATACCCACAGCGTAAACACGTGGGTGGCACTTGGAATTGCGGCTCTTGCCACCGTGTTTCGCGAGTCGGTGCAAACCTTTTCACTGCACTTTTTAACGTTTGAAAAAGACACTTTTTGCCTCACATAAGCCACGCCAAGTTAAGTGTTTCTGAGACCCACTTTTACTAAGGGTCAAGGCTGCCTGCCTCCAGCTTAGATGGCACAGTGTGTGGTCAGAATCAAGCCAGGGGCCAGACCAAAAGCTATCTGTGTTTCAATGTCATTCTCGACAAGTATGTACGCCGAGTGCCTGCTGTGTGACAATACAATGACGTTGGAGACGGTAGGGAGAGGGGTCAGTAGGTAAAGGACTTGTCACACCGAGTGTGAGGATTGGGTATAATAGCCTGCACGTGATTTCAGCGCCTGGCTAGCCTAACCCAAACATGGAGCTTTAGGTTCAGCTATATAGGGGAGAGGAGTAGAAGAAGATAACCCATGGCCCTACCATGCATGTGCGCACACACACTTGAGAACAGAAAGGAAAAGGCCCCTTGGAATTAACTAAGCCCTTCTGCTAGTTTCTGGCATTTAAGGCTGTTCAGGGTATCACTGAGGTCTGCCAAGTCCACCATGAAATTTTAAGGTTTTCGGTTTCCCTCTCTGTTTTCAGAGCCCGGGTAAGAAAACACAAAGGCCGAAGAGTCTGCAGCTGGTGGACAGTCGGCTGACACCCTTCCACAGTGCCTCGCCCCTGCAGCCCGCAGTCTTGAGCCCACCTCCACTCACTCCCAAAGCCACGAGGACCCTCAGTGAGTCTTTCTGTGTCTTCTAGATTCGTTCTCCTGGGGAGTGGAATACACCTGTGAATCTGGGCAAGTCTTAATCAAACGGGCCAAAGATGGGATGAGGCTCTTGCAGAGTTGATTCAGTGGCCGTTGGCATCGTCAGAGGACTGGGCTTTGAGGCTGAGCTTATTTCAAGCAATCCTGAGGGCCTGCCCATCCCTTCCCAACCACAAGTCACTTACAAAGTTGCTAGACCCTTTCAGGGATAAAAAGACAGACCCATCCTGTATGCTGCTATTAATCTAGAGCCAGGCATATGTAGCACTGCAAACTCAAAGGTTCCCATTGTAGGGAGGATGCATCCTGCAATTGAGTCAAGAGTTCCTACAGTCAGAGCCTACTTATTGCCCTAAATACTTAAGAGTCCATCGGAGAACAGTTTCCTAAAGTTAGAAAATGTTCTTCTTCCCGGCTTAAGAGTAAACACTGGAATTTAGCTTCCATTTGAAGCTGTCTGGGGAATCAAAGGCAACCATGGTTGGGCAGGGTGCAAGGTCTTCTCCATTCTTTCCGAGGAACCTCCAGACTGGCTACAGCAATGCGTATGAGGCCGGTATAGGGGTGCTGGTGGCAAGCATTATTTTTATGAAAATCCTAAGTAAATCCTTCACTCTGTCTCCTTCGTATCATTTCCAGGCTCCCCATCTTTGCAGACAGATGGGCTGAAGGCTTCTGTCCCTCCTCCACCTCCCCCCAAAAGCAAGCCATATGAGAGCAGCCAGAGAAACTCAGCTGAGGTAAGAACCTGCAGGTTGCCGTCAGTGTGGCCACCAAGCACCATCCCTGAGGAGACACCACTGGACGTCCAGTCTATGTAGAGGAGAGGCTTTACACACACACACACACACACACACACACACACACAAACAGCCACACTCGGTAGCCAGTGCTTGGCTCACTTCCGAAGCCTCAGGGGATGAGAAGGGAAATATGCCAGAAGCCGGCTTCATTTGGTTGTGGGACTGAAGGAGGCATGTTCTCCGCTTCACACACGGGTGGTGAGATGAGTGAGTTCAAGTTCACACCAAAGTGTCACTTCTGAATGACAGGTGTTTGTTCTGTAGTAGCCTCAGACGGGTTTCATTCCTTCTTCCAGTAACTATTTACTGAGTGCTTCTTAAGTAGATGCCAGGTACCTAAGTGTTGGTGATGCAGCTCTGTGTGTGTGTGTTCAGCTAGAGAGAACAGGCCAATGAGTGTCATTCCCTTTCTGTCTTGTATAGACAGTATAAATGCTCATGGGCTTGACCATAAATCGATCTTATGGAATGGGAGCAGGATAGGTTGGAAATACTTAAAGGACTGTTTGTAATCCCAAGTGTCTTCTCCCCAGATTGCACCTCCCCTGCCTGTCCGCAGAGATGCCAAAGCCCCACCCCCACCGCCTCCAAAGGCTCGAAAGTCAAGCATCCTCTCCTCTGAGCCAGGCCCTCAGTGAAGGTGTTACTCACGCTGGCTCCGCACCTCTGAGTGCCTTGGACCAATGCAACCCGAGAATGGCCCCCAGAAAGGGTGAGCTACCATGCAGGACTCCCAGCCAGCACTGCTGTCTGCAACGAGACGATTCTCCAGCCCGGAACTGTTTTGTCCGTCTGAAGGCCATGTCACCTCTTCTTTAGCCCATGGAACTTCTAGAAATGGCCATCTGTATGCAAGACGTTCAAGCAAGTGCTCCCCTTTTTCCACGATGGCATGTTGGCCTCAAACACTGACTTGCTGGGTCTGTGGATACCTCCGCCAGCTATCCTGCAGTGACACAGCACTGGTAGAGAGGAGAACAGCCCAGCAACTGACTCCTGAGTGGATTTCCAGTTTGCTTCTGAACTGCTGTGTTTAAGACTTCCTTCCTTCCTTCCTTCTCTCCTGTCTGCATCCCTAACCTCCTGAAAGAGCCAGATACCAAGGACAATCTGGGAGCCGCCATGGTTCTCTTTCCCTAATGTCTACTGCCTCCTTTGAAGGAAAGAGCACCTGTGTGTAGCAGAGGTGGGGCCGCTGTCAGGTGAGGAAGGCATCTCTGAGATCCCGAGGACTCACATCCTGGCACTCTCCTGACAAAAGGCCAGAGAGTCCCCCCACCAGGCAGCAATCACATGGTGCCTTGGGTTCCTTTGAAAGTCTTTTGCAGGCTCTCATCCTCCTCTTTTCTCTAAGCTCAAACCCTGGGCTCTGAGGGACCTAGGAGCCATGGTTCTTCCAGCTACATTTCCAGGCCCTATTGGCCCGATGAGGTGGTCCCTGCCTGGTACTTGATTTACCATGGAGAACACAGTGCAATAGTCCCTTTGATTATTTATTCCTCTTGATCATAGAATTAATCTGATTGCTTGCTAATGGTACTAATGTCCCTATTCCTTTCAGAAGGAAAAATTAGGGTGACTTGGATGCCCAAGTATTATGTCTATACAAATGACCACAAGGTGTACAAATGTTTTGAGTTAGATGGGTTTTAAAATTCACACACACACACACACACACACACACACACACTCACCTCATTTTGTAGGTAAGAAACTTGGAGCTACACATAGAAAGTAGACTACAGGCTTTTCTAACAGCCCAGCTTGCTCACATAGGATGTACCCAAGATAACACATAGATCCAAAAGACACCTCTACAAAGTCCTGAGTGCCTAGCCCCCTGCTAGAATGGTTTCTGAGAAATTCCAGATAGTTCTATCAGACATGGGTGTTGATGGCAAAACTAAAATCTCCTGTATGGCTTGGGTCTACCCTGGGCATTCTAGAATTGGTCGGTGGCCTTGTCCTGAGTCTGTTCTTCCAGGTTCAAGGGCGCAGAGGGATTTCAGCTGGGAGACTGCCCCTGCCCACCTGCTGCTCTCTTTGCAGAGCTCCTTTCTACACCGCCTTCCTTAAGAGAGATGCACCTGGTTCATCACCGGGAATCAAGGAAGCAAAAGCCAGGGATGTGCCTGGCACAGTACTAGAGAAGCTAGTGTGCCTGCCCTAGAAATGCCATGCGGACAAATTGCCATTCTTTACTTCTGTCAGGGAGCACCCACGTGCGATCATGGAAAACACACAGGCTCTGACATTTTAAACTACTTCAGTCAGAAATGCAAAGGTGTTGCCGTTAACGTCACATTTGAAATCCTCTGGGCGTTCACCTTCTCGGTTTCCAAAGTGGAGACATTATCTCCATATGGGCGCTTATGGGGAACCATTAAGATGGAACGGGTCGTGCAGTCAGTGACTCTCTTTCCTCTCCTGGACCTGGGTAAGATTTGATTTTTCTTCAAGGTCTATGAGCGTGAATTCAGGTGTGCGTCTCTTCCTTGAAAGGTGGTGGCCTTGGGCACCATTTGCATGGAAGGGCTCTTAAGAGTTGAAGATCATTTGAAGGGAAAAGATCCAGAGAAGCAGGAAGGTCCCAGAAAGATGATAGAAGCAGGAAGGTCCCATGGAGCTTGGGGCATCTGAGAAGAAGGATTTGAAGATGTCACTGTGCTTTGCAGGCTGCTGTGGAAACACAGAAGCTGGGTAGGAAAAGAAGAGCAAATGCCCGGCCTGTTCTTGAAGATTAGTAGAAGTGAGTCTTGAGTTTGGTCTCTGAGCAGAGTTGGACCTGTCAATGCCCAGAGGTGCACCCTCCCTTCTCCCCTACTTTTTTTTTTAGTAAGGCATTTTTTCCATGATTCCCTGTGCACATTAATGAAAATAATAGCTTTCTGCTGCCTTGACACACAGGATTCTGGGTGATGTTGTAGGTACCGATTTACAGGGCACTGGGAGACTCACTTCTTTGGGAAGCTGTCTTAGGGTTTCCATTGCTATGATTAGCTTGCATCAAGTTGACATAAAACTAGCCAGCGCAGAAGCCAGACTTCATTTGATTAAAAGAAAAATCTTTATCTGTCCTAAAGTTGAAGACTGCAATGGTGTTAAATATAGAAGGGACAGGAAGCAGAGGGCAGGAAAAACCAGTTCTTACTGCCCTTGCTAACATTCCTGGAGTGTTCAAAGGCCCTGAAATCAGCCCTGAGATTGTCACAGTCTTTATGAATGAATGCTGATTGGTGGCTTGTGAGTTCGTGGTATTGTTATATTGCTTTTTTTTTCTTTCCCTCTCTTCCATGGTAACTGCCTTGCTTTGAGACTGTTTTTGTTTTTTTAAAGAAAGATTTCATTCAATACGCAGTTGCTGAAGGCCAGACACAGACACAATACTTGCCCCTGGGCACACTTGATATAAACAACCTGCTATGCAGTTCACTCCGGTATGCTATTGAATCGGAAAGTCAGTGCTAGATGAAGAGGAAAGCCCTAAATAAGGCTGCTTGGCAATGAGTGGCCTCCTCCCTCCACCTCCACCTCCACCCCTTGCTTGACTCCAGCCAGGGATGCCCATTATACCCTTAGCCACACTGCAGATCCCTTGGATCAAACAAGGCGTCTTCCAAGAGCTCAGATGGAATGGTCACCACCCTTGTCACTGATTCCCAAGCTGACTCTTTCCCTTCCAGTTACCCCCAGATTAAGGGGCACGTTTTCATTTTGCAATTCAAATGCAGCTTATATACAGTGAGCACACAAGTCACAGGAGTGCAGACAGACATCCTTAGATAGCTAGACACGCATGTGACCTTTTCCCAGACAGACATGGCGTCCCTATCCCAGAAGGGGCTGAGTGTCAGTGTCACGAGTCTGTGACGTGTAGTTAGGAGGTCCTTCCCAGTGTGTGCCTTCACCCTTACCCTTCTCAGGTAATAATGGGAAGGGGATAAGACCCACCCCATCAACACAAGATGGCAGAGATAATGTACCACATCACAAGTCCATTTCCTTGTCTCTTACATATTTGATACTGTGTGGACTTGGCCAGGTTCTTTCTGTCATGGCCTTCATGAGTCTAAAGGAACAAATGAAGCGAGACTTCTGCCCACAGGTTTTTGCTGTCTGAACTGGAATCCACATTTCTCATCCTCCACTGGTGCTTAGAGCCTCCCAGGCCTGGCTGTTATGGACAGAAGATTTTAGTGAATATTAATGAGTCTCCCATCTATTTTAGGTATTGGTACAAACTGTCCTGATCCTCTGCAGCCGCGGATGGATCATAGTCTTCAGGGTCACCCACCTGGCCTACTGTGCCTAGACCTCCAGTCCCCTGTTAAGGATCACACTTCCTTGGTGTGCACTTTGGGAAGTTGGCGCCTACTGCTTTCCTGGACATTTTCATTTCTCTCTACATATGTTACTTAGAATTAAATTGGAAGGGCTGCAGATGTAGCTTGCTGGCTTAGCTCATGCGAGGTCCTGGGTTCTAGTCTTGGCACAGCAGAAGCAGCAAAAAATGGAAAAAGTGCAGCTTCTCTTTGGTTGGGTTCAGAGTCCAACCGTTAGTTGTTACCTGCGAGAGGAATCGTTTTCCCTCTGGGATATTGACTTCTACTTGACTCTTCAGACCCTGCCGCGGTTGGTCTCCCACATACATGCCCAAGCTCATCTCTTAGCCGCCTCTTATGGGTTGGTCACCCAGAGTCCTGTCAAAATTCCTCACCACGATTTTATAAATAATTGGATTTCATACACGGACAGTTAAGGAGATGTGTGTTGAAGACTTTTGTTCATATTTGCTGTTATTTATTTTGTAAATTAAAAATGGAAATGTATTTTAAAGTTTACTATGTGTTTAGCTTGTTTTTGGTTTTAGATGATCATGGACTTAATGGTTCTTCCCAGTTGACAGCTTCTTCAAGACGCTTCACCCTCGGGGCCCCCTCTGGCTTATCTCATGACAGAGCCTGTTGGAATGCATACTGTGGGATCCCGGTGTCCGTCTTTCACAGAACTAATAAAACCTGCAAGCTTGTCATTTCTTTTTGCCCCGCCCACCCATGCATTTTGTTGTCTGAGCTGGGTTTTCTGAAGAGAATGTCTTTCATGTGTGCAGGTTTTAGGTGTGTTCTTCATGGATAAATGGGCACGGGGAAATGGGGAAATGAAGCAAGAGGAGCTAAGCTGGCCCAATTGAGCTTACTTTTAACAACTAACAATGCCCAATTGTTGGAGTGTCAGAGGATCTTACCCTATGTGCTTATGAAAAAATATAGGTGGCTTTCATCCCCGAGGCATGAGTGAATGTTAGGCTTGGTGCATTCAGATTAAGAAATTCTACTTTTGCCTGCTGTCAGAATCTTTTGAGTGTTATTACCCTTGTATAATTAATATACAATTAATATACATATATATTGAGGTACACTGAGGTGTAAAGTCCTCAGAGGGAACAATTTGATATTTAGTAAGAGTAATGTTTTTACTCTTCTCTACTCCACTTGATCTTTGGGGCCATCCATGGATTAAGTGGACCCAGTAGACTTGCAAACTGCCATGCGTCATCCCAAGTCTATACCAGCAACAGCAGCTGAATGAACACATTTTTATCCCATGCAGAGAATTCATTGCTGGCTCAAAAAAAAAAGTTCCCTAGAGATGGTGTTTGACAGCAGAAACTCAATGCTCCAAACACACGTATAAATTAAGAAAGTCTGTTGCTTTTTTTTAAAAGATATGTTTGTTAATAGCAAGTTTGAGGCCAGTTTGAGCAACATGAGACTGTCTCAAACAAACTGAAACATTCATGAAGGATGGTAGACTTTCACTTGCCAATCACGGTATTTTTTAAATATAATCAAGTTCACATTATTCCATGGGCATTTGCTGAAATTTGAGTTTTTCCATTGTTTCCATAGCTACCTGGAAGTTTGTGAGACTTGTGTTCACATCCAGGACCTCATGAAGTTGCCACAGTAGAACCAAGCCAAACTCTCCCATAGCTCAGCTTCATTGGATGTTCTTTGTTCTGCAGTTTAGGGCGTGGTGAGCATAGATCCGGCAGAACTGAGTGGGTCTCCTAAACCCTGAGCCTTGGCTTCATCACCTTAAATTGAGGACAGTCATGGTTTCCCAGCTTGCTTGAAGATACACGTGCATGTACATCTAGCATGAAGCCTGACTTTGTCCTTGTGGGGGCCGAAAGGTAGTCCAGGAAACAAGGGAACACCAGGTTCTGTCTCCAACAAACTATGCACACTTTTGTTTCTTACGTTAAATTCAAAAGTTCTCAGGAAGGAAAGCTGTGTAGGCCCTGGTCCCTGCTACGGTTAGCATGTGTCGTGTCCTAAAGAGTCACATTCTGGAAGCCTGTTCCCAAAGCCATCACACCTTTAAGAAGAGGTGGGTCTTAGGGTCATGATGAGAGCACCCTCAAAATGGACTAATGGCTGTCTAATGAAAGTGGGTCAGGTCCTGGGAGATTAAATCAATTACCGTAAGAAGAGGCCGTTATAAAGTGAGACCACTCAGTGTTTGGCATTCTCTGTGAACATCCCATTCCACCGTGATGTGTGGTTCCATGGCATGATACTGTCTGCCAGTTTATGATACAACATAATGAACATGGCCTCCCATGTTTGGACAACTTGCCTCCAAAACTATGAGCCAAAAGAAACTACCTTTCTTTATCAAGAACTTAGCCTCGGGGATTTTGTTATAACAATTGAAAACTGAAATAGTTTTGAACCCCATACCACATGGCAAGACAATACAGAGCCAGAAGGAGCACTGGACTGGGAGCCCAAAAGGCTCGCTCCTCTCCTTTAATGGATTCTACCTGACTTCAAGAGGTAAAGGGAGGCAGTTCTTCCCAGCAGCAGGATGCCATGGCTGTAGGTGCATCTGACTTTTAGAGAAGGTCAAAGATGTAGTTATAATCCTATAGAAACCATGGGAACTAGCTAGCCTCAACCATAGATGACCACTCTCTTCCCTTTGTGAATGCAGGGTGGCTGTGAGCCATGGATTATGTCTCTTGGTCAACAAGACACTTTATGTCATTGTGGCTTCTCTCCCATCTACCACATGTCCTCACCTAAAGACCTTTACCCACCCTGTCACCGCCCCTGCCACCTGTGGTGGGCGGGGGAGCTGATGCCCCCTTACCAGCTGCAGCACTCAGGCAAGTGAGCCCTGCATCTCTCCTGGGCAGCACTGGAGAAGCTGACCCCATTGGCAGGAGCAGGTGAGCTGCCCCTGAGAACATGAGCATGGAAGAGCTGGCCCTGAGGTCATCAGAGCGGGAGCGTTGTCCCGACCCCACCCTTCCTCCAGCTGCAGAACTCGGGACAGTGGCCACTGCACCTTGCCTGGGTAACACAGCAGAGCTGGCTTTGATGGTGCGGCTGTGGAAGAACTGAGGGCATGAAAGCAGAACTGGTCCCGCCCCTTGTTCATCTGGCAAAGGGTGAACTAGACAGGACAGGGCTGGAGAGTTCACCCTGGTGGTGGTGGGAGCCGGACAGAGGACCAACCCTTTAACTACGCAGGCCCAGAACCAGGGTTATGAGTTGGTCCGCCCCAATGTCCATCGCATCTGTGATTTGCAGGAGTATGTAAAGCTGCGGGATCTCCAACCCAGGCAACAAGGCAACAACAGGATATCCAAGAAGCCTCTCAGTGAGGGCCCAGCATCGATAGGGCAACAAAAACCAGAGACCTTGAACCAGACAATGACTCTTTGCAATGAACAATTTGCAAATAAAGATGCATGGACAAGGGGTTTACTGTGTGACTCACTGTGTCACACTAGCTTCCATGATGAGATTTTTTTTCCTTTTTCTCTTTTTTTTCTCTTAAATTTTGTTTTATTGGGGGGGTAGAGGGCAGATATGGAAGGGACAGGAAATGAATGGGATGGAGATGCATGATGTGAAAGACACAAAAGAATAAAAACAATTTTTTAAAGCTGCATTCTGAGCTTGGAGTCAAAGGCACGTCACATTTACAGTACTTGATCCACAACACATTGCTTTATTATGAAATCCATGCCACTGGGCATAGAAATGCTGAAACCCACAAGTACAGATCTATAACAGGTCACATTTTAAAATGTCCACGTCATACTTGGGTGTTGTGGATCCTTCAGGGCCAGTGCACTTACATCTTCTTCTGCCTGGTTTCCTCTTCGATCAGACTTTCCTGGAAAATACATAACATAGGCTTCAACATTGCATAGCTAGCTGAACGTCGTTTCCAACATTTATACATAACATGGCCACCAATGTCGGAATGGCTAGATGAATTTCATTGTTTCCGACATTTATTTTCTCAAACTCAGATCTAAGAATAGGTGCATTTGTTAGTCATTCAAAAGAACTAGAAACATGGCAGACAGAGTCTTGTGGCGCTGTTGCCACCCCAAAATCCACATTAACTGCTAAAGAAAACACTATCCTGAGTGAGGTAAGCCAGACCCAAAAAGAGGAACATGGGATGTACTCACTCATATTTGGTTTCTAGCCGTAAATAAAGGACATTGAGCCTATAATTCGTGATCCTAGAGAAGCTAAATAAGAAGGTGAACCCAAAGAAAAACATATAGGCATCCTCCTGAATATTAACCTTCATCAGGTGATGAAAGGAGACAGAGACAGAGACCCACATTGGAGCACCGGACTGAAATCTCAAGGTCCAAATCAGGAGCAGAAGGAGAGAGAGCACGAGCAAGGAACTCAGGACTGCAAGGGTGCACCCACACACTGAGACAATGGGGATGTTCTATTGGGAACTCACCAAGGCCAGCTGGCCTGGGTCTGAAAAAAGCCTGGGATAAAACCGGTCTCGCTGAACATAGCGGACAAGGAGGACTACTGAGAACTCAAGAACAATGGCAATGGGTTTTGATCCTACTGCACGTACTGGCTTTGTGGGAGCCTAGGCAGTTTGGATGCTCACCTTACTAGACCTGGATGGAGGTGGGTTGGACTTCCCACAGGGCAGGGAACCCTGATTGCTCTTCAGGCGGACAGGGGAGGGGGACTTGATCGGGGGAGGGGGAGGGAAATGGGAGGAGGTGGCAGGAGGAGGCAGAAATCTTTAATAAATAAATAAATATAAAATACAAATGAAATATCACTACAAAAAAAAAAACCCACTAAAAGGCTGGCATGGTGAGACGTTCTAAAATCTGCATTAACCTCTGAAGGATGAATGACATTGTGAAGAAGGATTTGGATCAGATAGGCCTTTCCTTGGAGTCCTTCATGATGTCACACCAGGGAATCTCAACTTGTTTTCACTGGGCTACAGGCAAGATTAGAACACGAAAGGAAATAGAGATGCCTGCCCACCTTCATCTTTGTCCCCTGGGTGTGGAATCTCAAGCCAATGGAGACACTTTTTAAAACTCAACCTGATTTCCTGAGGCTCTCCGTGCTCCTCTGAGGAACTGGACCGCTAATGAGCAGGAAAGCAGCCCAGGGAACACTGACACTCACTTCCAGGTTACTTTCCCATTCGGTGTCCTTCATACTTCTATTCTCACGATCAAGCAATCTTACAGCCTGAGTGGTTACACACCCCTGTAATTGTAGCTTCTCTGGAGGCTGAAAAGAACCTCAAATTCAAGTCCAACCTCAAGTTTGAAGTCAGCCTGAGAAAGTTAGTGAGATTCTGTCTCGCACAAAGAGATGTGTTTTTAAGTAGGAGGAAGACTAAGGATATAACCCAGTGGTACAGTGCTTTCCAGCGTATGATCTTACCTGGGATGGATACCCAGTACCGAGAGAGGGGAGAGAATGAGAATGGTGGGCATTTAGGCCTAACAAAACTGCAAGTCAGATCTGGGGCTCTGAGTTATAAATTTTGTAAGTTTTGAATATTGTAATCCCAAGTGGCGGAGTAGCGGAGAGCCTTGTTCTTGGTTTCTACAGTTCCCGGGGTCCTGCAAGCAATGGCTGCATCAAGTGGAGGGTAGGAGTCTGCTTGGGCATGAGGAGCTGGGAGGTGGAATATTCTTTGAAAACTGGAGGATTACAGTGGGAAGAAACTTGCTGGCCATTCCAAAGGCTGAATCTGGGATTACTATATAAGGGGTATACAGACACGTTTAAATCAACTAAGAGAAAAGCAGTTTACAAACATGAGTGCTATCTGCACAGAGGGGACCCGCTGTAAGATACCGAGGGCCCTGCCGCAGGAGCGACTCGGTGGCTCTGAGGTGGTGGCCTTCCTGACTCTAGCTCTGCGCGGTGACCACAGTGACTCACCAGAGCTCCTCGCAGGTCCCTGAGGGGCGAGCGGGGCCAGTGGGCAGTGCATTCGAAGTGCTGGGGTTCTGCCGGTTGATCCACCTCTTTGCCCATCTGCAGACAAAGAGTGAGATTCGTAAAGATGAAGATACAGAAACAAAGCAGAGTTTTCCTTTTCCACCAAGAGTGAGCACTGGGGGGGGGGGGTCCTGAGGCTGAGTGGGAGGCCTGGGGAATTGTGGGTCTGGGGAGTTTAAGGATGCACTTTTAAAGAATGAGCTGGAGTTCAGGAGGTGATGGGGACAGTAAGAAAAGATCGTGTTCTCTCAGACAAGAGTGAAGTGTTCTGAGCCTCACAGACAGGACACAAAAGCTACACAAGCTTTATAGTCCTGACTGGGCTGGGTTTCTGTTGTTTTTGTTGCTGCTCCCCTTTCATTTTATCTCAAACAGACTGCTCTGAGACTCAGTGTATCCTGGTCTAGCCGTGAACTAGTGGTGTGCTTGCTTATCGAATGACAAGAAGCAGGAAGATGAAGCCCACTGTGGGTAGCACCATTCCCTGGATTTGGGGCCTGGAAAGGAGGCTGAGTACTAGGCATGCATAGATTTACTGTTTCTGTTCTTGACTACCAGCATAACTAGCTGTTTTGAGTTCCTGCCCTTGCCTCCCCACAGTGATGGACTCTCAGAAACTGTAAGCCACATAAACCATTTCCCCCTAAATGACGTTTGGTCAGCATGTTTTATTACAACAAAAATAAAACTGGGACAGAACTCTTCCTTTTTAGCCTCCAAAGGACAGTGATTATGGTGAGAGCATCATACCAGGGAGGACGGTGACTACGGTGTGAGCATCACAGCCAGGGAGGGTGGTGACTACCATGTGAGCCCCAAACCCAGGGAGGACGGTGACTATGGTGTGAGCCCCACAACAGGGAGGACAATGACTATGGTGTGAGCACCACACCTAGGGAGGACAGTGACTACGGTGTGAGCCCCACACCTAGGGAGGACGGTGACTAAAGTGTGAACACCACACCCAGGGAGGACGGTGACTACAGTGTGAACACCACACCCAGGGAGGACGGTGACTAAAGTCTGAACACCACACCTGGGGAGCCCCACAGCCAGCAAGGCTGATTTTCAGTTTCAGCACCACATCCTAGTTCTGTGACATCTGCTTCACAAGTAACCTAGAGAGCGGAGGCTTCAGATTCTGGGGTTTCATTTTATCTTCAAAACTTGGTTTTAGGTTTCTCAGCTATGTTTCTTCTTTGGATAACCAGCTAATGAAATGGCTTCTCTGTTGTAATTCCCCTATCCTTAAGTGAAGTTTTAAGATAAATGAAGCGTCCTACATTAATGCTAGTGCTAGCGCTGCAACCTAACCTAGAGGAAATTAAATCTAGTACATTTTTCACCTCACAGCCTTAAATTTGATAATTCATGGAGTTAAACATTCTCCAGGTTCTTTACTTAAATATCTCCTTCAATAACAAGAAATAGCACTTATGCCCTTGACACGGATACTGATACAAGAGAATTGATTTAATATCATGGACATTTGAGAAGACGGTGCCTTGTCATGAACTTGGTGTTCTACTGTCTTCACATCTGTCCTGCTGTTTGTTTCTTTAGTCTCTATCAAAAGTGCAAGGAAGAATCTGGCTTACACTCCATGAAGTTTTGTCTCGTTGGAGTCAGTATCCAGGGTAAGCTCAAAATCGAGCCACCGGGGCTGGCACTGCACAGCTCACAGTTAAGAGCCAGTGCGGACCAACTTACCTCTTGGAAAGAATCGACCAGGTGTTCCGCGCTTCTCTTTCCTCCAGGGCGCAACCCATAGGACCAGTGCTGGCTGGAACAGCCTTCCAAACCCAGACTCAGCAGAAGAACAGCAGCTATAAGTTTGGGGATCATCTCCACTCTAAGGCACATCAAGAAACAATCATGACAGCCCCAGACTGAAGTGAGTGAAAACAGAGTGCTTAGCAGAGAGACCAGCATCTGGCCCACTGACCCTACAGAAGCTGCAGGGGGAGTCGTGCGGCTGACATGTATTCCATGCAGGCAGTGAAACACAGGGGCATATGCCTCTCCTGAGCTTCTTAGACATTGGGGACAAACACCTGTACTTCTTCTGGCATCTTCTGCTTTTTTTTGTGGCAACGTAGCTCGTTTTTATTTTTGTTTGGCTACCTGGAACCCATAATTCATCCCTTACCAAATTCACTTTGCCTGTACCCTCCGTATTACAAAGCAGTTCTCAACGTTGTCATCCACGAGGTTAGAACTGGGCCGTCTGCTCTGAAACAGGAGTTCCTCCTAGATGTCTCTGGGTAATAAAAGGTAATAAAATGGCTGCCCTGTGGCACTGCTGAAGTGTTTCTGACTGTCATCTAATCTCTAAGGCATTACAGCTGGCTGGACCAGCTTCAAGACCAAGAGAGAACTCGATACTGATCTAGATGGAGACACCTAGATCAGATGCCCCTCTTGCCAAGGAAACCTAGGTTTGGTTGATAAAAATGTGCCTTTAAATTCATCTGATGGGGATAACACTAAAACCAATGTCTAACAATGGGCCATGAGCTGCTGGGCTCCTCCAAGGTTGGATCTCCCCCAAGGCTGGTGGTTGATAAGGTCAGTCAGTGAAGGGCAAGGCTTCCTTGGATACTATCACATCTAGACTTTAATCATCGAGTGCAAAAGACCCTTTAGACATAAACAACAAGCAACATTAAAAATAGTGCTAGGAATACAAAGAATTTTACCTGTTGGGAAGTGAAAGCCAAAGAGATGCCAAGCTTCCTTTGGTTGGGATGAATGCTGCGATGTTCCTGTTCTCCTGGCTTCCTTTTTATATGAACTCTTTTTCTGGGACACTGAAATCTTCCCCCGCTGGTGAATGACAAGATGGAGCGCCGCAAAGATGATGGCTTTAATGATAACGTTTGAAATCCTCACAAAAAGCCTTTTAATGGCGAATGTAAGTGGGACACCTGCTGGTCTATCTGTTACATTTACTTAAACCCGGTCATTAAAATCTTAGCTAAGACAGCTGCAGTCGCCATTCTAAGGGATTAGAATCCAGCTACTTTGTGTGCTCCCGAGGAAACTGGCAGCCCTATGGAGAGTTCAAGGAAAATCAATGTCTTGGGTAAAGACACACACACACACACACACACACACACATGCAAAGGGAAGTTAGGCAATAAATAAATAAAGTTGAAGAGCTAGTCTTGGCATTTGAGTCTCTGTAAAGGGAAAAATTTAAATCAGATAATCATAGTGTTGTTTCCAAGCTAAAAGAAAAAAATCTAAGTTTGCACCAGTGAGATGGCTCAGTGGGTAGAGGTTGCTGTCAATACTGATGAACTGGGTTCAACCCCAGGGTCCCACAGGGTGGATGGAATAAGAAAACCGATTCTCTCAAGTGGTCCTCTAACCCCGTGCACATGCGGAGTGGCACATTCATACACACATTCAAACACACGAATATAATAAGTTTTCCTGTCTTTACCCTGACTATAGTCGTGGAGCTCAGTTCTCTGCCTCTTGCCTGTTAACAACTCTTTGCATCTGAGCAGCATTCACCACATACAGGTTTCGCCGAAGTCACTGAATGAAGAAAGAGCCTTATAACAAACAGGTTTGGCAGACCAGCCTCGGTTTCAGCTTCCACGATATTTTATCTGATACAGGATGAAGCCTCTATGTGCAATACATTGTAAAATCTGTTATGCTACCCGAGCTATAAAATGCTTTGAAAAAAAAAAAAAAAACACGGTATTTGATTTTTATACAGCTAAGATTGTCAACTTCACTAGTAGGATGCTAATCCCATCACTGGCTGCCCAGTGTTCTCTGAAATCATTTCATTTGCAAGGCTTCCTAGTAATGAGTATCGGCCCAAATAAGAACCAGAGGCTTCCCTGGTGATGTCTGCCCGATCCTTATGGCAGGGCAGGGGGACTTCAGTGAAGATCATTTCATTTACACCTCGAGGGGGACCACATCTCATCAAGATATGCAAGTGAGGTGATTTCTCAATTAAGAATTCCTGAAGTTTAAACAACTTTGCTTCAAACTGTCCACTGTGTTTTGTTTGTTAGAGATGTGCTTCTCGGTGTCACTCAAGAAAAACAAGAGCAGAACTATGTCATTTAGCTAGAACTAGCAGAATGAAACAGATGTGGGAGGCCTGTGGTCAGTGAACCTCGATGTTTCTATATTGATTTTAAAAAATGTAAAACATTTCAAACTGTTTCTGACCATGGCAACACAGACTGAAAACATCAGATAAGCCTTGGCCTAAGTACACTTAGTCTTGTCTCAGGTCACACAGAGCCCAAGGACAGAAACCAAATCGGTCCTACTTTCTACAGCATCAAATAAGCTAGTAGGCCATTATGCAATCAGGGGGATTTCAAGGCTTAGAGACAGACTTTTAGATCTCTCATGATTGCCTGCTTAAGTCAATTTACCAAAGATCTGAAATTGATCAACTGAATTTAAATAATTGGACTTCATAATTGCCACAATTTTCTTTTCTAAATTCAAAAGGACATTTTTTATAGGGGAAAACTACTTCACTTTGAGCATTAAAATAGCTCAAAAATAATCACAATGATTTTGTACCTTCCTAAATGACAGATGAATGACCTCTTTCTTGCCCTAATGTAAAATCTCAGCAGGAAGACTGTGGGGCTAACGAGCTCACACCACTAGGCCAGGCAGTAAAAGGTCTGTGAGTGAAGCCTTGGGGAACATACTTCATCCTGAAATAATGTAACCACTTTTCTTTGTACTTTGACACTTTTCGTTTTAAAGATACTATTCTCTTGGGGAATTTAATATAATTCTAGAATTTTCATGTATAAAAGATAATGTAAAGTTGACTTGGGGCAGACTTATGACATAATAACATTCATAAAATGAACTGGAGAAAGTAAGTCTTGATTAATAAAGAAAGCCATCATGTAATGACTTTACAACATTTCTTAAGCAAAATCCCTTCAGATGGTTGCTGAGGAACTTGACCATATCAGAGTCTGACACATATTGCCTTAAATAGAGAACTGAATTTTATCAACGGAAATCATCTGACCAACGTAGGCCGAGACCTTTCTGCAGGCCTCCCACAAGGGTCTATTTTAACTTATATAGACACTTGATCATTGCTAGGGATAACACAAGTTTTACTATTTGGAACTCTTCCCTTTCTTAGAAATCTCTCTCCTAGACATCAGGCAGAACCATATTTCTTGCTCAATACAGCAAATGAAAAGTGATATTCATCAGCTATAGAGTAATACAAATCACCGGATGTCTTCCTTAGTGTAAAACCAAAGTACTGTAGCATGGTAGTCTCTGGAAAGAGGATCGTGAGGCCACACCCAAGAAGTGAATTTGCTTTAATGGCTTTTCCAACAAAACGCACATCCATTAAGAGCACTATGCAGTTGGCTCCTGCATGGCACCATCACGAATAACCATGGAAATGCAGAAAGCGTTGACTTCCCAAAGCAAGAGCAGACACAGCCTGCCAGCGTTCCACACAGTTTATTAACGCGGTTTACATACGATCTGAACCCTGCAGTTCCCAAGCACACTGTGTTTACATCTTTTTGGCTCCTTCTGCAGTCTCAGGTCTGTCTGCAGAGGACCATTCAGTGAATGAACACAGTCCATAATTACTGAAAATAGAGTGCAGTGAAATGAATTAAATATAATTTAGGCACATATTGATTATGAAAATAGGTATCTCTCAATACAATACTTCTCTGTCTTGGTAAAAATAATAACGCAAAGAAAATAATTCATTTTCAAAGTTGCTTTCCTTTCCCTGTAAAGGAGCACTCTCCTCCCGCTGTGCATGTGAGCTCTTTACTGTGAAGGAAAGCTTTGCATATGTAGATAGAAGAATAAGCTACAGAATAATGAAGACATGCCACTCTCCTGGAGGAGACAAGGTCACCTGTGACAATTCACTTGCTCAAGCTGACAAGTCTGGAGGATCTCGAACCCATTTGGACACAGCTTATATCCCTGCTCTTAGAAAACACATAAGGACACTGGGACACCCACTAAGAAGGCCCTACTGCTGCTGTTGCACAGATAATGACTCAAGAAAATGGGACTAAAATTTCATTTAAAAACAAGACAACAGAAAATATTTTTTAAAAGAGCCACAGTTACTGACTGATAATGCAGCTTATACCAGCCAAATGTTTAATTTTTATTCATCAATTTTTTTTGGTGGCTATAATCAAATCATCAGTTTAGAATTTCTTAGTTGCTACTGAAGGGTTTTAGCTGTAATTATCTGATGTTGCATTCTCATAGGCAACTCTGCAGAATTTATTCAGACTTTATAGCTCCAACTGCATGGAGTTTAGATTGGATATCTGTTTTAAGCTGATCCTGTATAAACTACTTGGCATTACATGACCTGTGCTGAGGATGCAGCTTGGTGTTTTGGCTCTGAAATATCTTCCTCTGCTTGTGATAACTGAGCACGAGAACTGGACTAGTGAATGGACAGAGCAGCCTAACGTGGTACAGCATGGAACTTGCCCATAAAGAAGCTGAGGCATGCTCACTGGACAGCTGCAGCAACCGGTGGATCCTTCGCTCTGCTGTAGAATGATATACAAGGTCTTTCCTTCCGTCCTGTCTCAAAGTGTGAGAACAGAGTACGGCTCACATTTAGCTCTGGCTTCCTCTTACACAGTAAACATTCTAGAAATGAATCTGAAGAGAGCCATAGGGAGTCTCGCCCTCACCACACACGCATGATGAGAGGCATCTCAAGAGGGAGGGCACACTAAAGCTATTTATAAACCTGAAGAACTCTTCAGATTCCAAGACGTTTAACAATTTAAGCATCCTTACTGCATCTAGGTGTTCAATAAATATATTTGCATATATTGTGCTTTTCATAAATTAAAATTCCCAAATGCATCTTAAACCAAGATGGTATTTCCACACAATGCCTATATAAAAGCAAATATAATAGATACTACTCCTGGTCAGACACCAGATAAATGCCCCAGCTCCACTCAAAATGCTGCAGCATGGTCTACTTTCCCTATTTCTAGAAACAGAGTGTTCTTCTATTATAGTCACAATGTGGGGAAATTCAACTGTTTCCCCTTATGCACCTCTGGGAACAAGCATTTGCCTCAATTCCCTTACAATGTTATCTCCTCTAGACAATTCGGTGGATGGAGAAATAAAATAAGGACACATTTCCGTCAGGGACATCTTCCTCCAGCTCTTGTCACTCTCATCTGACACTCTGGGACATATGTAATGGTGTCAGCATCTCTTCAAATATGGCACCCTTCACGTTGGAACCTCTCAGGTTGGCTTCTTGGAGGTCACACCCCGACAAATCACAGTTCTGTAAGACAAAGAAAGACTCATGGAGCTCAAGTGATTTAGGATCAAATTTAGGTCCATATAAAATGATTACAGGGCATACCAGGATGATATTTCCAAGTGTTCCCATTTTTGAAACACTTCTACTAATGCCCTGTGGTGATCAGAATAAGAATGGCCCCCAAAGACTCATATATTTGAATGCTTAGTCAACCGGGAGGAGAGCTGTTTGCAAGGATTAGGGGGATTGGGAGGTGTGGCCTTCTTGGAGAAAGTGTGTCACTGGGGGTGGATTTTGAGATTTGAAAAGCCCATGCCAAGTGCATGTTCACTCCCCCTACTCTCTCACCCCTACCCCCTCACCCCTGCTTATGGATCAGGATGTAGCTCCAGGTGACTTCTTCAGCACCATGCCTGCCTGCCACCATGCTCCCTGCCATGATAATGGATTCAGCCTCTGAGAGTGTAGCACACCCTGGTTCAATGCTTTTCCCAGTATTCATGGCAGCCCACCATGACCTCTAACTCAAGTTCTAAGGGATCCACTGAATGCCCTCTTCTGACCTCTACGGGCAACCGGCATGCATATGGCACATGTACAGGCAAAATACTCATAAACATAAATAGAAAGAATGGAAAGGACTATACTAATAGTGCAAAGTCAGTTCCTTTTGCCTTTAAAGAAATTTGTTGCTGTGATCCTAAGAACTATCAAGAGATCAAGGTTGAAAAAAAAAAAAGAAAAGTCCACAGTAATCTAAATTTTCATATACAATTCTGTCATGTGTTCAATATAACACAGCTACCAGATACATGTAGCTATTTAAATTTAAATGAATTAAAATGAAGTAATTTTCTTTAGAGTAGTGTCTTGGTTGTACCAAGTAAAACGTCCAACAACGAAGTGGTTAGTTAGCCACTGGACTTAGCAACACAGATACATATACCCCTTCAGTGCGGGAAGTAGCATTTGGCAGCACTACGTAGACAACAGCCACCGAGCCAGGTATGGTGACACACCCCTATGACTCCAGCACTTGTGGGGGCTGAGCAAAGAAAATCAAATATAGATCAAGCTATATGATGAGTGATAACAAACAAATATGCAAACAAACAAGCTACCTAAATCTACAAATCAAGAAGACACATAGAATACAGGTCTTATGAAAAGGAACAGGCAAAATTAAAAATCTCAAACTGAGATCCAAACTGAACATGATGCTAAATTAAAATGGGCTTTTCCTGAACCTAATCTTAAACCCAGAAATGATTTACATTTCTCAAGTAGCTCAAGAAAGTCCATTAAATTCTGTTTGGCATTAAATTTATGAAAAACTTAGTATAGGCTTGAGCAAGATCCAAGAAAAGAGAGGTAAATGAAATCAAGGCCGACAGCACCGCATCAGCTCCCTCCGCACCTGGAACTGGCACCTGCCACTTAGGTAACAGGTCAGACCTAACGCCGGAAG